ACGGAAAAAAAAAAAAAAAAAGAACAAGAAAAAGACTTCTCCCCCACCACATATTTGCCCAATCAAGTAGTTTGTCGGCCAACCCCATCCGTCAGGTTGAATCTTTGGGTCAACCTAACCTAAGCTATGGTAATTGATTTCCGCAGACCCTGTCCAGACTTACCCCATTCTACAACCAGACTTGACACCCAGAGGATCGATTTGGACGATGAGGCCTGGCTCCCGTTGTCTACATTATGGTTTCTGGACCGTGAACATGCTTAGACACGCCACACCCAAGGTGTTTCTACTTCCGTCCCAGTCTGGCGCTCGCTTCTTTTCTTTCTTTGATCATTTTCCCCCCGAACCTTTATTTTCCTTTTCCCATAGATATTTTCCTTTTTGGTATCGGACGATTCCCGTGACTAGAGTTCAAGCATATTTGGTAGAGAGGCTTAGACTCAACATCCTTACAGCAATCTGACTTGGCGTGACTCGCGTTCCACCCACTTAAACTACGGGGATTGATTACCTTTTGGCCCCAACTATTTTCATTTGGGTCCAAATTAACCTGCGATGGAGGGGGCACGTAGAAGCAGAGGAATGCAGTGGAAGGGGAAGAATTCCTTCGGTTCTTTTCGAGATGGGACCGCAGGAAGGGGACTTAGCAATTTCCGGAATAGACAGTACTAGTAGCAGTACTTACTACCAGGGGGGGGGGAAGAATTAGAATAAATTAATCCTGGTGGTGGTGGTGCTGCCATGTGGTCCTCGCCCGAACAATGTGACTAATGAAACTCATGGGCAGCCACGCCGCCGTCCAAAGTAACCCTCCATGAATGGGGGCTAATCCAGGCCTCACATTCCCTGTCGGTACTAAGTTAGGTGCTAACTGTATCTGCTCCATACATGTTAATCCTGCCTATCCTTTTTTTTTTTCCCTCACTTTTTTTTTTTATCGATATCTTTTTCTATTGATTATTTTGTATTTTTCTCTTCCCTTTCATTTTAAATTAAATTTTTTAAATCGAGAAATCCAAAAGGGAAATTGACGGGAGGAGGCTCAAAACCATGATTTTCAGGAATCCTCGGTTTTTAACCCATCCAACTACTAATAATAATTCCCTTCGGGCTCCTATTGTGGTTATAGTCCATACTTCTCCCCTCCACCTCTCATCTCTTGTCTTTTCAATTTTCCCCATCCCCACATCATCTGCTGAAGGTATCCTTGAATTGTGTGTATTTTCTTTTTCTTTTCTTCTCTTACTTTTTTTTATTACTACTACATTCTCAGGAGATCAGCATCTGACCTGCCGTCTCGTGGCGTTTGGAACGCATCCCCAGAGATTCGACTAGTCCCCTACTTTCCTAAGTTTCTTTCTTTCTTTTTTTTATTTAATTTTTTTTATTTATTTAAATTAAACATTTTCTTTTTATTTCCCTTTGGTTAAATTATTTTTCCTCTTTTTCTTAATTTTTTTTTTTTATCTTTTCCTGTTTGATCTAAACCTTTCCTTACCTTATTATGAGTGGTCTCTCAGCTCGAGAGGCTGCATGCATTCCTGGACTATTCGCCTACTACGGGCCCTGACTGTGACTTAATTATAACCCTCCACCTCTTATAATCCTTTGACTCCTCTTGTTCCTGTCAAAATATTCGTCAAAATAAAACAGCCCAATTCCCCTCCCTTGCCGTTATCTCGTATTCCCCACGTGCGGACATTCTTCATCTCGTTCCTCGTTTCTTCCTCCACCCGGGGCTGAGGCTCGAGGTTATTTTTGGAGTCTGCATCTCTAGGCTTGGCTATTAGTTACTGCTATATACCTGCATCTCTCCTCTGTCTTCCCCTCTTCCCCCATTTACCTTTCGAGACATAACCCGAAAAGAGACTACCTCTTTGTTGTCATTCGACCCTTGCCCACTGTCTTGTTGCGCATTGTTGTGTTGTGCCACGCCTTCTACACATCCTATAGCTGCCGAGTGGGGTAGCACCGTTTGTTTCCATTGAGACCATTGCATTGTCTTGCGCCTTTCCAGTATCCAGACAATATGGCTGGTCCCGGTGGTGGTCCTCCTCGCAAGAGCCATACCAAGTCTCGTTTCGGTTGCAAAACATGTAAGAGACGACACATTCGTTGCGATGAGAGTTTTCCACAATGGTACGCATCTACTACATCGCCATCTTGTGCAAATGTGCTGTGGCTGACGGGCAGTGTAGCCGGAATTGTACCAAACATAACTGTCGCTGCGACTACATGGATGTCGCTACCGTCCACGACGAATCATCTACCACCCGCAAAATCCCCGATCTTCTCATGTCCGCCGAAATCGAGACGGAAATCAAGAATTGGCACATCACGGGTGTGCCTCCGTTCCCAGAACTGGTACAGTACCCACGCAGTTGTTGGAGCAAACTCTCGCGAACCGATCTTCGTTTAATCCACCATATTATCGGATTGTCCATCGACCTACATCGTCGCGGCTTTAGTAACTCCACGATCTGGGCGCAGAAGATGCCAACGTAAGCACAGAGGCTGAGTTTTGTTTCGTGAATGAGGGGACTAATATCCGACAGATTTCTCAATATAGCGATTACGAATGACTTTGTCATGAGTTCCATCCTTACCTTATCAGCGTCACATTTGGCCTGGATCACGCGAAATAAAGAAACTAAGCAGCTCGCTTATCATCACAGGGGGGTTGCGATTCAGGGGTTGCACAAGGCTATCGGTACTTTCTCGAAAGGCAACTGTGACGCTATCCTCGCAGCCTCCATCCTCCTTTCCTGGCAGGCTTCGGAATGGTATGTGGTTCTACGAACCCGGTTCCGCGTAATACTAACAGCTTTCTAGGCATAGCTGGGCGTCCCTGCAACAGGGACTCACAACCGTCCTGAACTCAATGCATCCGATCTGGAAACACGAATCCGAACTAGCCATGTACCTGGAGAACCAACGGTATTTGGGATGTACTAATACGCCAATGATGACGGGCTACCAGTTCCAGGACGAGGACCTTGTTAGCCTCGACCAAACGACCATTGCCCTTCAGAACGTCCAGAAGCGCGTGGCTCACAACCCCGAACACTACCGTCGGATCGGAGAACTCCTTGAATTCGTAAGCCATTTCAGGCGAGATCTTCTGTCCCTGACCCCGGAACAGGCCTTTGAGCGCATGCAGCCCCTGCGAAGATGGCTCTTTTGGCTTCCCCCCGCCATGCTCCGAGGCGGAGACGCAGATCTCGGAGCCCTTGCCATTCTTGCTCAATTCTTCGGTATTGGCGTGGTTCTGGATAGTTTATTCCCTGACCTGGGAGGCGCATACCTCGGCCCGCTATCCGTCGGCCCCATCGAAGACATTTATCGAATCATTATTACTAGAAGCATGTCGGAGCCATACAACCCAGATCTCCAGTTAGCCTCGACTATCATGGAATTACCCCGACATATCGTTGCCCAATATAAAAGCCGACTTCAGTGGTCGCCACGGACCTCACTCGACTACTCCCCGTCTCCTGCGAGCCCTTACCATACTATGCAAGATTATACTCTAGCATCATCATCCTCCCCTTCCTCTACCGCTACATGCGCACCTTACACCCCGCCGCTCCAGTCTCCACCAGCTGTGACGGTCGCTAGCTCTCCATTCGATGTAAATGGTACCTACGTCACAGCACCAGGCGTGCAGAGTCTTTACCCACCGTCTCCAAGTTTGCTCTCAGACCCACGAGAAGAACTATGTGAATACAGCCATGCCGGCTCGCTTCATCAGTCGCCCACCTATCCACCACCATATGTGGATGATATGGTGTGCGGGGAGCTATCTCGAGTGGACGGAACCGTCGGACTGAATGTGGATCTCTACGGCGAGCCTCAACAGATCGTGGGAGGATATAGTACTGCGGAGCCGTGCTGGACTGGAAGTATCTGCACGTGAAGGTGGGAAGATGGTCGACAGAACCAGTGGAGGAAAAAAAGAGAAAAGAGAAAAAAAAAATTTATATACCCTTAACCAACTTGCATTCTATTTACACAGCATATGGGCTTGAGCTTGGATCTCACATGGGGTTGGATGGATAGAAGGGCTGGTACTCTTGTATTTTGGATGGGGGTTGTTTTCATTCTACTATTGTTGCACTTTGTGCACATTATTTTGGATTTTGCATGGCTGACATTCGTTACGAATCCTGCGATATGTTACAGTGGTACAGGAACACCAGGACAGAATGAGGCTACATGAGAGCATGGATTGATATGGATATTCAAAATCATATACCCGCTTGGCGTTTACTTTGAGATAATTAACGTGTATAATGAAATGACAAACTATCCCCGATCATCTTACTCCATTCTGTAAGGTTTCACCAGGTCATCTATTAATAGCAACGAGACGAAACGAAGCCATCAAGGGAGGCATGCGATCATGAAACGGTCGAGTTTCATGCGACTGGATCTGATCGGCAACCTACAGAACTTGACCTGTACAGTACGTACCTGCACGAAGTGGTTAACAGGAAAGGATGATCATCGACGTCAATACCACGAGGTCGGGATATATTTAGAAGCCCGCATATTTAGTTTAAATCTCAAGTAAGGACCTCAGGAACGTACACTGTACAGTACTGTACCCGCCGATCCCCCAAACCCTACCTCCTCAAGCAAATAGTACCAAATAACTTACTCTTATGTAGAGGCATACAGACAAGCAAGCCACCCCAGACACACGGAACAAGACAGTTGCCTCCATACCCACCATCCAAACACATCTACACATATACCAGCACATAAAATAGATAAAATACCAGGTCCCATAGATACAGAACCGCTGCATACAAACCCCCCAGACCCCAAGATCTTGAAAACAAAAGTTAAAAGATATATATAGATAACCCACCAACCACCCCCAAAACTCTAACCCAAACAACAAGGAAGTTTACCTTTCCCTTCCTCGAATGAAAATTCGAGGAAAACGAGATACAGACACCCTGCCATCACCGAGATGATGATGATGATGATCGGCATGATGCATGGGGAAAAAAACAAGGGCCCGGACTAACTTGTTTTGGATGGGCTCGTATTCGGTAGACAGATCGATGGGCGGGTGGATGAGGCTAGGAAATTTTAGCTAGCTTTGACTTTGGGGAAAGCGCGTGGGGCTGGCTTAGGTAGGTAGGGCTATATTGGTTGTTGTTATAGGGTCTGTGGTTTGTGTTAGCTTGGTGGAATACGAGTTTTATTCTGGTAGGGATTTTATTTTTATTTTTTTTTTTTGGGTGGGGTGGGGGGATTTATATGTATATATTCTGGGAGGGTGTGATTGCTTTCTATTGTGTTATAGTAGTGTTGTTGGTGATGTATTTGTGTTTGATGGTTTGTTTTGTAGCTAGCGGTTATTGTTTTCTCTCTGTAGAATTAACGGGGTGGGAGGTTATTCCTTGCGGAGATCTCTCTTGTCAAGAATATATTTGAAGAGGACGGGGGACTATAGGGCTTTACTAGTTGTAGTTTCGCGCTGCAAGAAATAGTTGTCCTGCCATGGCTGAGAGCATGCTATACCGTCGAATCGAGTAATAATATCTTTTGTCCCGATGCGATCAGTACTTCAATGACAGTGTGACCACGCATTTAGATTGTAGTGCCGAAGTGTCTTCGGGGTTTTCTACGAATGGAACTTATTTTTCTTGGTCAAGTGAGGAATCTTGCTCGGACACAAGTTCAATATTCGCTCCGAACAAGCCCTAAAGCTCAATCCTGCCACGTCTCGAACGTATTCGACGACGTGATGGAGCCATGTCTCGTTTTCACACAGTATATTAGATCGTAAGCCTCTAGTATAGCAAAATATCAAATGTGGAAAGCCAGACACGGGCAGTGCTGGACTAACAGACAGCTCTAGAGAAACAAAGGGCTTCGAGGTACCCTGCTCTCTCTGCATAACTGCTTGAATACCCGTGTACTGCGCGCCCTGTTAGCTTCTGTCTATATACAGGTTCGATCGATATATGGTAAGATTTGGAAATATATGCTGAGGGAGACACGCAGATCAATTCAGAATTCGACCCAACAGTGTCGGAGAATCCCCATTATATATGTTTCTCTAGGAACCGTCGGTTTCGATACCTGGATCTGAGGCTATATGCCCTCAGTTGGGACTGTGCTCTCAAAGATACGAAACTCAAACTGGTGGGAGAAAGCTCTGAATCGATCCATAACACAATGCTGATGGCCGACGAGGCACCCATTGAATGGAAGGCACCCGATGCAGATGCTTGTTGGATTGTAGGTTGTCAGAATGCCACATACTCACAAGACTTTTTGATATTTGCCCTGGTATTTATTCGAGGCAGAGCAGTATGTGAAAAGCAGCAAGCACACAAAAACAGCGCAAGACCCCGAGTATGCGATAGGACCTATTGAATAATTCACTTTAGGATCGTTAACCAGACATACATGTACCAGAATAGTCACTTGATCGTCCAGAAACAAGATTCAATCACCGGCCGAAGGATCCTATGCTCTACAAATGAAGGCGTGGGCCATCTGGCCGGATCATCTAAATATTATTTAGGGACCAGATATCTTAAGAGGATGATCTTGCCCATTTATAACGTTGAACCACTTGACTGCACTTCTCAAGGTATGGCCTGTGGTCCTGGAAATCTTTGAACGCGCTCGAGCATGTTGTTATCACGTTCGAAATTCGGAAAGACACCGGCAGAGCATATTAACAACGGAATTATCTCGAAATTGAGCCTTTGTGAAGTGTTAATCTTGGTCGGTCGGCTAGCAGTTCCTACCGCGATCTAGATAGCAACATGCTTGAGGCTTCGGTGGATGACTTTGCTGTCCCTGACAAAGCAATCCCGTTTATTGCAGTGTAAGGGGTTCGTAGAGAGCCCGATCGACACAAAATAGGTCCCTGAGGAGTAGATTGCGCGGCTGCGGAGAGGTGAAAGTGAGGGGAGGATTAGAAGAAGGGAAACTGGACTTAGTCAGGAAGATGCCATGAAGTGGAAAACTACCAAGGGCAAGGAAGATTCGGCAGTTGGAAGTGGTGCTATTCTGCCGCTGTGATATGGAACTGGCAGCATTAATCGTTGGTACTCAATCAAATCGATTTGACTTTGTACATGTGATCTTCCCTTGCCCCGGTTCTAGACTATTGGCAGTTAGCGTAGCCACGTGAGCCATACTCTATTTTTCGGGCGAAGGCAAAATGAACCACTTCATTACATCACTGACTTTCGATAGTGGTCGATCTTATAGCATAATTCGCTTTTTTGGGGTACCGTGCACGTTCCTTGACCAGTCTTTATATACAGGAACACATAAGGGGCACCGTCTCCATCTGGTTCGTGTTATTCATGTTCCAAAAGCCAAAAGGGGGGATCTGCTGCCCTAGCTCCTTGATATTCCGGGCAGGTGGAGGCCGAGCGTGGATCTCGCATGGCTTTCCGGCATGTGCGCTCACTATCTGATAATTAGTCAGTACTAAGCTTTTCAAGTCCTCAAGTTTGAAGTCATTGATGGCCAATACAGTTTGCCTTCTATCGCAGACCAAAAAGTAGTCACTTGGCATAATGATTTTCATATGTTGCATGCAATGTCAAATTACACCATGCCTTGTAACTGCCCTGTCACTCATCTCCGGTGGCGGAACTTCTCCGATTTTGCTGTCTACCGGCACACACTGTGCTCCACATCTGTATCAGTTGTCCTGATTGAGTTTCGACGCCGGTAATATGTGTGCCGAATTACTGACTAGTGGTTCATGCCTGAGATATCCGCCAATGGTTGTGCCAAACCATGGTTTACTGTGTATACTTGAACCCAATGCTAGTCATGGAGCCCACCAAACCCAATTACCGGGCAGGCCCAATAAAAAAAAAAAACCTTAAATACCTGCAGATCATTATACAGGGCTCTGCCCAGTAATAGGGAAGCGACGCCCTTTCCCACTTTATGGTTACTTGTCTCTGCCCACATGGCGACTAGACAGCCTTCTTGCTTTGTTCCTGCATCGAGCTTAATTGAGATCCAACCCCAGGGTTGAGTCAGGGTTATTACCATTCAGACATTCGTTTCTTATACTGAACGACAACCTCCATAAGGCCGACGCTCGATCGCACTATCTTCTGAAGTCTCCGTGGACTGCAGTTTTGTCGTTGGTCTATGCACGTATAAGACGTGGGCTAGGAAAAGCCCCTCTCTGGTGTCTCATCACTCAATTCAAGGCGCCGCCATATCGTCGTTAAGATGAACTATCGCAGTGAATCGATCATCATCGCCACCGCGGTGTCCGTGGGAATATCTTTAATATCGATGTGCCTGAGGTGTTTTGTGCGGTTGCGTGTTGTGCGGGCATTCGGCAAGGATGATGCCACAATGGTGGTGGCCATGGTAGGTCTTGTGGTATCATTCGAGTATGGATCGTGACTAACAATAGCAACACTTCTAGATCTTCAACTTGGCGTTTGCCATCTGTACTTTCGCTGGTGCTAAGTACGGGTTCGGACAACAAATGACCTGGTTTATGGACAAGCCGGGTTACCTTCGATATGCTTTGCTGGTGCGCTACTACTGATCGGCTCCCCATCCCCTGTATGGTCTAACGTCCCGTGTAGTACTGGTGGCTTGGGCAGAATTTCTACCTAGTCACTGCCATTATCGCAAAGATTTCCATCGCCATGACCCTTCTTCGTATTACTCCCAACAAAATCCACACCGTGATCCTGTACACTATCAGCGCATTGACGATCCTTGTCGGGACGATGTTTGTCCTGGTCAGCATCTTCGAATGTACCCCAGTCGACTTTTTCTGGAATCGCTTGACAAAAAGTGGCAAATGTGTCGACCCCAATGCCTTGGTGGGGATCGCATATACAGCCAGCGTTGTGGCAGCGATTGCCGATTTTATTCTCGGACTGTTACCATGCTTCATAGTTTGGAATTTGCAAATGAATAGACGGACGAAGATTGCTCTAGCAGGAATCATGGGCTTGGGCTGCATGTGAGTCTTCCTGGTCAAGGCTAGGACTATGAGCTTCCCTCTAACCCTACAAACAGTGCCGGTGCTACCGTCATCGCCCGCATACCGTACCTATCCGCATATAAACATGCAGACTTCTTGCACGCCACCCATGCAGTGTCAATTTGCTCGAACATCGAGACTGGCGTGGGTATCACCGCCAGCTCTCTTGCGACCCTTCGTCCTATCTTCCGTTTCCTACGCGACACGACGTCTGGCTCTCGCAGTCGCAAACGTCCCACTGAACACAGCTACCCATTATCAAGCGTTGCTAATAACAGTGACAGCCATCACTGGGCGGACAAGACCGGCGGGTACCACGGCATGTCTACAACCATTACCGGCCGTCAGCCGTCGATGCAGAATGTCAGCACAGAGAGTATCACGCCGCTGTACCAGGGCATGAAGGTCGAGCGGTCGTTCCAAGTCGAGCTTGCGTAATTTTCATGATCTGTTATGTTGATGTGTAATACCATTCATGTACATAGTTAATATACCCCCAATTGCTAGTAATACCCAGAAGTTAGGACGCAAATGAAGGAAGAACAGCACTACGCTACTTGTCGCCTCAGGCAGAATTTGGCCCTCTTATTACTAAGAAATGCTCCGCAGAGCTTGTTTGCATGTGAAACAAACAACCCCAACCCAAACCGCGATATCGTCATCAGCGGTTTGAAAAGCTCCATCCAACAACATATACATAATCATTGAAATTTTCATCCTGCATCGCTCATTAGACACCTTACGCCATATAATAGACACGGTACTCAAACCCAACCCTCAGAAGTCAACAAAAATGGCCGACGCAGGCGGCTGGAGCACAATCGAATCAGACGAAGTACGCCCACCACCCATCTACCCTCAACACAACCAAGACTAACAAACCTCCTTCCAAAAAACAGGGCGTCTTCACCTCCCTAATCGAAAACCTAGGCGTAAAAGGCGTCCAGTTCGAAGAACTCATCTCCCTAGATGCCGACACCATCCGCTCACTAAGGTGCATACGTCCCCATCTCACCTCCAAAACCACCTTCAAACCCATGGCTAACAAGAAATACCAAAAAAAAGCCCCGTCTACGGCGTAATCTTTCTCTTCAAATACCTCCGCGACCAAACGCCCACAACCCCCGAAGCCCCCATCGACGGAACCTACGACAAAACCGCGCCAGAGAATCTCTTCTTCGCGGCCCAGACAATCCAAAACGCCTGCGGCACGCAAGCCATCCTCTCTGTAATCCTCAACCAAGACAGCGCATCTTCAACACCCTACCCTATCGACATCGGAAATGAACTCCGCTCCTTTAAGGACTTCACGACGGGGTTCCCGGCGGATCTGCGCGGCGAGGCGCTCTCGAACTCCGAGACGGTGAGGACGGCGCATAATGCGTTTGCGCGGGCGAGTCCGTTTGTCGATGAGACGGTGCGCACCGCGAGAGATGAGGAAGGGGATGTGTATCATTTCATTGGGTATACGGCCGTGAATGGGACGTTGTATGAGTTGGATGGGTTGCAGCCGTATCCGATTAGTCATGGGGAGTGTGATGCGGAGAGGTTTCCTGAGAAGGTGATTGGGGTTTTGCAAAGGAGGATTGCGAGGTATCCTGAGGGGGAGACGAGGTTTAATCTCATGGCTGTTGTGAGGGATTTGAGGATGAGGGCGAGGGAGATTGGGGATGTGGAGATGTTGGAGAGGGAAGAGAGGAAGAGGAGAGCTTGGGATTGGGAGAATACTCTGCGGAGGTCGAACTTTGTTGGGTTTATTGGGGAGGTTTTGAAGGGGGTTGTTGGGATGAAGGAGAAAGATGGGAAGTTTGATGAGTGGGTTCAGAAGGCGAAGGGGGAGACGGAAAGGAGATTGAGACGGTGATTCTATCTGTCTTTCTTTCTTTCTTTCTTTCTTTCTTTCTTTCTTTCTTATTACCCTCTTGGTCGTTCTAGATTATGTGGTTTATATGATATACCGGATGTATACGATAGTAACGGCCAGGCAATATCAATTTGATGGTATTCATGGCATAACCCGTAATGCTGTCATAAAGCTAGTGTATGTATGTATGTACATCGTGAGTCATATCAATAACGCCGCACTGCCAATTTGTTGAAGACAGTTTGGTCACCAGGAATTAAAATGTCACAGGCCGTATTAGTACTCGATAAGGCGGGGTTTAATGTGTTGAACCAAAGCTGCAGGCAATTCCTCCTCCCGAACAAGGTTTAATGACAACAAATCTGCCCAGAAGAACATGGCCCGGTCTTGCGCATAAGCAAGGTAATCAAATTCGTCTGTCTCCTCCACATCAGCATCCGGCGGAGGGGTTGTTGAAGGTGTCCCCTCGGACTCTATGCCATTGGCGCCGTTTTGCTGGCCATTTGCCGCGGCATCGGCTGCGATGCCCTCTTCCATCCCGGGTACCTTCGCTTGCACTATTCCCCATGCCACCCACTGCGCTGAGTTGAACACACGCCAGAGCCGAGCCTGCTTGATTAATGATCGGATTTCCGCTTGCGTCCGGTCCTCCTGGGCCTTCTCAGCATCTACCAAGCTCTGTTGGTCCACATCCGGTCCCGCGTCAAGGTCCAAAGGAGCGAGTGAAGTGATGTTAGCAAGTTCTCCTGCTTGCATGAGTGGAGTTATAGATGGAGATGACCGCACGCCTAAGCCAGGTCGATGTGTCAAATAAGCACTGATAAAGCGATGTTGCTGCTCCAGGGTGGGGAAGTCTCTGTTGTTGCATGCCCAGGGTCTTTCTGGGTCATGATAATTGTAACACCATTCGGTCTATCTGGTCAGCAAGAGAGGAACGATATCTGCAGCACGCAGGGACTTACGAAATGGTTTGCGAACTCAAATCCAGGGAGATTCGCGGATGCATACTCAAAATCAATAACAACCAGCTGCTTATGCTCATTTTCCGGCCGCAGGAGCGGCGACTCAGAACTAGGTTCCATTCGAAGAAGATTACCGTATTGAGTCTGCATAGTCAGCCCTAGTCTAGAGGAATCGCCGGAGAACAGACAAAACTTACATCATTATGGGCAAAAACAAGTTGCCGCTTGATCTCCTGCATGCCACCATAGCCGTTTATGAGGTGATTTCGGTAACTGTCGACGGCTTTCCTGAACGTCAGCCACGGAACACCGCAGACAAAGCCTCGGCGTCGCCAAGGTTCTGCAACCGCTTTAATATCATTGTGCTTGGACTGGATTTCCTTATCCAACCAGTTGGTGACTTGCTCGCAGCGATCTACCCATTTGTCCCAGTTCTTAAATACCATCGGACCCCCCTCCCTCTCGGTATCGAGTAATTCAATGCCCTCATGCAGCTCTCTCATGCGTTTCGCGATTTGCTTCATTGTCCCGGGATCGCGCAGTTCTTTCGGAGTCAAAGGACGCGCCTCGAAGAACTCCTCGAAGCGGCCGTTATTGAAAGTTCCCAGCACTCGGGGCCCGATGTGCTTGCGACCCAGACGACGTAGGATCTGCAATTCGTTTTCCCGGTCGATGAGGTGATCCACCTGGGGGCCGTAAATGCGGAGGAGTAGCTTCCTAGTGGCAAGTTAAATCGAGCTTGTTTCTAGAATATGACCAGAGTACTTACGGTGGGGGCTTCCTGGGTACGAGGCTGTACGAGCCATCTTCGGCCCTGGGCGGAGGGATATTCTGAGGCGGCGTGACCACATACACAGCATTGGTTAGCGCACCACTCAGTCGAACTACTCCTATATCACCGGCGAGTTCCATCGGCAGCTTCCGCCACCCCTTGAGTTGTAGCGTGTGAGTGATACGCAATATCTCATTCTTGAATACAAACCAAGCCTCCCGATCCAGGGCCCGCCTGGCATTTGCACCTTCTTCATTCTCATCATCTTCGGCACCACCCCCGCTGTACGCGAGTGTCTTGGAGTTGTCTAACGTCGCATCAACACTGGGAGCAGCTGAGTCACCATCTAGGTAATCAGATTCAGAGGCAGAACCCCTCCGTAGACCCTTCACATGACGCCGGCGGGTTGATCGCCGAACGGGATAAGCAGGCGCAGCGCTGTCACTGCGTGAAGCGGCGTACTGGATGAGGATCTTCTCCAACTTGTCTAAGGCAAATACATTGTCCGCCCCATGGGAAGTTGTCCTTTCCAAATTGGCACCATCGCCATTACCAGGGTCTTCGTCATCCTCATCATCCCCATCACTCCCCGAACCGTCTGGTTGTGCATGCGCTTTTACTTTGGGATTTTTCCGTTTTGATTTTTCACGCTGAAGCCATTCCAAGACTTGGTGAAAAAGGGCATTTTGCGGATCTTCTTCGCCGTTCTGCATTTCTTGTTCATCCCGTGCTCCTGACTCGGTTATGACACTAGATTGACTGCTTAATGGCGCTGTGGGATAGAATGGGGGGCGTGCGGTTGCCTTTTTGCTTATGGCAGGATGTTGCTTTCTGGAGTCGGGCGCAATTGCGGTATTCCCATTGCCATTTGCGTGACGGGCCTTCTGCAGTGAGGCAATGCTAAGACCGGTACCGTAAATCGGTTGAAATCCTTTTGAAGATTGATTAGAATCCATCAATGATCATAAAGGTTGCGGCACAAAAGGGAGAAGAGAGAGAGGACGTAAGAGAGAAGGATATTATTGGCCCCAGGTAGAAAGTACACAAGTAGACGGTGCTTGAGGAATGGGCAGGGGTGATTGTTGAGTCGCAGTGGGCATCAGATCATCTGATCCGAGAGCAGAACCTCGGGAAATTTTTACTACTACAAATCGGATGATGGAAAAGGAACGGTAACCGCAAAGTTAAAAACCTTCTGCCTACCTTCAATGTCAGGACCAGAGTCCCCGTTGTGGTCGGTGAAGGAAGGCATATCCACGGACACGCAACAGTTTGAGCCAACAAAATGGACCCTGAGACAGAGGGAGTAGCCCAAGCTTCACACCTAGAGAGGGGAAGCTGGTCACACTTCGGCTATATATGGTTCCCTAGAGTGGCCCACGGGGAAACACTCGGGCCAGTCAAGGTCACAGGAGATAGAAATGCGAAGAAAGACTGGGTAACTTGCGGATTCGACGACGTGGACGGAGAGCGAAAGAGGACCCCTAAAAAGATTGTGGATTAGTTCGCCAAGTGGGGTCCCCGATAGGATGAACCAACGCTCGGCGATTCTGTCTCAACAGTTTCCACTTGCGATAAGAATAAAACCGAGATGATCGTGATAGTGGTGAATCAGCGGTTTGCATTTAAATAGGAGATGGTCGATAAGAAGAAGAGAAAATGGAGATAATAAATGCAATGACGACGCAGGCTTGATTAGAATGAGTGGCGAAAAAAGGAAAAATTCAGAAAATGAACAAGGGCTTATCGAGTGAAGGATTGAGAAAAGAGGGAACGGGACATGTGCTGTACTGCTGCGGACGGACTAGTGCCTCAGGTGACATGTTCCCACCGCATTTTCTCAGGCAGGAAAATCAAATCTCAAGAGAGAAGAAACCAAACAAAAATACCCCAATCGGCAGAATCCATCCATATCATATACCCATGTCGATAAGTATATGTTATGATGTTATTAATCTTGTGTCCCAAGGGGGGCAAACACCAACCCAAGGTGTCGAAGAGCATCGTCATGTTTGCTTGTCTTCCAGGCCAAGGGTCTGTGATTAAGCTTGGACCCTAAGAACTTAAGTATAATAAGGTGGCAGCCAGTCGGCGATAACCGTACTCTAGACTGAACGAGATAAGCCGGCCGGGTAGTACTGTGTAGTAGTATATCTCCTGGGAACTTGTCGCATAGGGTCTCCACTGCTCGGAAGTATGGTTCCAGGTACGATGCAGTAGTCGCATGGGAAGAGAAAAATCTATGTAATGGTGTAAAGTAACATCAACACAGATCAGTCATTAGCAAGTACTTCTATCGTCATCATGGTCCTCTTCGTACACGATGCCTGACTACCTATCAAGAACCATACTGTATCATTCCTCACGCTGTCACCAGCAATACATACGGAGATTTGTCGCATAGGGGAGAACGATTATTCGTGCCATACTTGACCGGAGGTCGCAAGGGCACAGCTCCATCCCGGAGTCATCCTTGGCGCATCAATGTGTGGTTCTAGTAGTAGAAAAGGTTTGGGATGAGGTTGCAAGAAAGAGGGGAAGGGCCCTGACTTCTTAAAGGAGGGGAAATGGTCACTGACCCCGGCAGCCTGAGGCACGTTTGCCTTGCAGAATGCCAAGAACGCCAATCAAAAACGACGCCATTCGTCCTCAAGCGTATAATGCAGTTAATTTATGGATCTTTAGGTAGCGTCTAAATACTACTAAAGTATCACACAATCATGCGCATTTTCCCAAGCACGTGCTGAAGGGCGATATATGTGGAGCTTCCGGGCGGTTACGGACATATGCCAAGTACCAACTTACTGTATACGAAACCCAACCTTCCGATCAGTTATTGATACCTTCGCTCTCTGATACTATGTATATATCACACCGAGATCTGTCGCCGCCCCTCGCCGCTCTGACAGAGCTTAATGATAGCTTACACTCCAAACCTTATAGCCCTCCTCAGATGCCTCGCGTCTCTGCAGAGCCAACGCTCCTTTGCTGTCTACCTCGATGGGCGTTGAGTCAGCATACTGCAATGTATACCCCTTGCCATTGCCAACAAAAGTGATCTTCACGTCCGCCGCCTGGCCACCCTGATCGCTAGACAATAGTGTGCCTTTTGGTCCGAGCCATTTGCCGTCTAGGGCACTAGAGATGTGAAACACTCCGCTCTGTTCACCACCGGAGTAATGGATCACCCATCGTTGTTTCTTATCACCATAGCCCGAGCTAGTGCGGCTGCTGCTGATTCGGGTGGCATTGCCCGCATTAGTGAGCGCATAGCCGGATTTCTCAAAGGCCAAGTAGCGACCTTCAGTTAGGTAACCTACTACCTCTTTGTACCCTTCCTCGAACCACAGGGCATCAGTGACGTTGCTTTGCTGGCCATATGGTACGGGAGGTCTCTGGGTTGGATGACTAGCTTGGCAGTTGGACGAACCAACGTACTTACCCAGGAGCGTGGCCGGCTCCTCTGCATCTGGCAAAGTGGGCAGGCTGGTATCAGGCTGATGGCAAAAGCGTTAGACTGCATCCTGTCGAGTTGGAAGGGGAGCTCTCTACATACGTGGTCCAGGTCTAATGCGCTCACGAGGTCTGACATGTGTTCTCGGCGCCACTGCACCATTTCCGGTGTTTCAACGTTTTCATATCCTCTGGCCTTTAACCATTGCTCGATGAAAAGGATTTGTGAGTTATGATCCGCGTGCTCAGTGAAGATGCGGTTGCCCCGTGTCCAGGGAGAAATCATATAGAAAGGAACCCTTAAGCCTATAGGCCACCGGGTATCAGCACAGTGGTCATCTCTTTGCCAGAGTTGCAGAGCTCACCTGGTCCAACATAAATCTTTCCGAATTTTCCGTATGGGTCTGTCATCCAGTCACCCGGAGTATCCTCAGGGGAGTGGAAAGGGACAACGTGATCCCCAAAACCACCCGTTTCTAAAAGTCGTCAGTCAGCGCTTGAACAGGCTTTGTAATAGGCCATCCTTACCATCATAACTGATTATTAGCAGAGTTGACGAGTACTTGGGGCTTTTCGTCACGGCATCCACCACCTTTTTCTGAAGCCAGGCACCGTCCTTTGGCATGTAGGGTGGATGTTCTGACAATTCGGCCGGACCGACGATGAAGCTGACTTCCGGGAGACTTCCATTAGCAGCGGCCTTGTAGAATGCGTCGAGACCCAGGTATGATAGTCCCTTTTTGGCTAGAGGTGATGATGCAGATGCATTTTGGTACTGCTGGAACCAAGCCAAAGGGTTATCATCAAAGTTATTCTTCTCCTGGTACACTTGCCACGAGACCCCAGCCTCTTCGTAAACCTCAAAGATGGTTTTCCATTTAAGAGGATAGCAGTTGATGTTGTCCGTATCGCACCCAGGCGTTTCGTTGTTGTCTATGTAAGGGCCCCCTTGGTCCGAGGTCTGGGGGCTTCCCGGGATATTAACAGAGCCGCTCACCAAGGTGACGCGATTGGGGTTAGTAGATGTGATCTGCGACTCTTGGTACATATCTCCAGCAGTCCAGCCCTCCGCAATGGCAAATTGGACCGGGATATCATTTCGCTTGAGATAACCCCAGCTCCAGGGGGTGTTGTTCCGCGCCCAGTTGTTGTTCAAGTCATGGTTGAGAGATGCTTGGTTGTCCTCATAGCCGTTGCTTCCTGCTACCATACATTGAATGGCATCATTCCAGTCTCCTCCTTTGTATCCCAGATACCACGGGAGAAGGGTCTTTGTATCTTCGGACATGGAGGGGTCTACCTTTCTATAAACGCAACAGTGAGTTAGCCATTATTCATAGCTTATAATTGTTCGTGTGCTCTCAAAACTGACTGATACCAGACGGATAAACCATCATCATTTACTTGGACGTTGGGGTCATTGAAGCCTCGAACACCTGCCATAGTACCAAAGTACTGCGCAAGAGATTAGTCAATGGTCCTGCGGGAGCAGATTCTAGAACCTAGACAGCACATACATTATTCCAGCTTCGATTTTCTTGCATGAAGATAACCACATGGTCAATGTCCTTCAAGGAACCAGCACGAGTAGGCCTGCTCCCAAGGAGCATGGCCAAGGTCACACCCAAGAGCATCGACATAATGGTGTGCTATCTTGAGCATGAGCAGAGAGGGCGTCGAGTTGATCCAGGGACTCGATCCAACAACATCTTGGTAATGGCCAATAAATATACCCTTGAAGGTTACATACGCGCCTGTCGGCACCTGCCGATGCAACAAGCATTTGCAGCATTAGTCAAGGAAACAATCAGAGGAAACGTGATGCACGTTGTCGATCGGATTTGACGAGCCATTGACATGCCGCATAATCGCCATTGTTGAGTTTGATGATGGCGGAAATTATAGCCCACCCGATATCCAAGCTTTCCGACTAGACCGTGACACAGTTGCAATGGGAATGCAAGATGATGCGGAGTTGTTGTTTAGCATTCGTTGGTCTCCTCGGTTAGAACATTGAGATAGGCACGTGTTGCATTCGGTTGGATGATTGAACATCAACCAATGGAGTACGATGGGGCCACCCGCAAGATATGACAAGATAATTTAATTTGCCGCGAGCTTTAGTGCCTGACGATCTATTGTTCTTGACCCCCAACACTTTCCGAGTAATCCGTCAATTGACAAGCAATACAGGTCTACCATCGCTGACCCGAGGACTAAGCGATTGTTCATACGAATTGACCAAATACCAAAGAACTATTATTCTCCGGGTTAGGGTATCAGCCTAGGTATCCCATGAAGCTGAATCGATCACGGGAGAAATGTGCCAGAAATGGAACTTCTAGAAAAATAATGAAGAAGGATTTATTAGTTATTATTATTACTCAACGGGGTCATCGGCCGCTGTTACCAATATCTCTGATTCAGTCATTTGATACTTGAACCATGATTCTTATTATAATTTATTTATTTGGTGTGTCACGATTTGTACTAGAGACATACTCCGCACAGATTATATGAAGGATCTACATATTTTATGTAACGTTCCCTTCACTTTCCCCACTATTGGAAGCGAACCATGCAATATAATGTGCTGACCATTTAAGAAAAAGCTATTCGGAAGCCAAGTGACCCTGATGAAAAAAAAAAAAAGTACTAAGCAGACAATGGAGGGAAGGCCCAGTCGCCGAAAATCGAGAACCCCGAAGATCACAGAACGGAATGAATCGGACACTGGCTCTCAAAATGCGTCTGCCGGAAGAACAACAAAATATTGGCCCTGCAGCATCGTGATTTGTCCACTGATTTTATGCATCCTCACTGCATTGTTTTTCCTCCAGCAGTTCACCACACCTGACTCATTGCGCTTCGTACTAGCCTCCCCTAAGATTCACCATGGTGAAACGCTGCATTCCCAAGTGCACAACCCTGACTTAACTCGCCCGAGCATAGAGCTTCATCCAGAGGACCACGTATATCGGGGACCAGTGACACAACACCTTGACTGGGTGGTCACTGATGATTACCTTCGCCCAGATGGGGTGTTGAAGCAGGTCTACCTTGTCAACGGTAAGATCTTTGTTCCATTGAATATCAGCTGTAGTAGAGTACGTACGTTAATCACAATACGAAGGATAGGTATATTCCCGGGTCCAACTCTTGAGGCCCGTTCTGGCGATACACTTATAATCAATGTCACAAATGCACTACAAGGGGAACCAATCTCTATCCACTGGCATGGGCTTCATGTTCAGAGTAAGTCATTCTTCTCAACATATGCCTAGCATGATCATAAGACTGGCGTTCTAGATACAATGGATGGTGTTCCTGGAGTGACACAAAATGCCATCTCACCCGGATCGACCTTCATGTACTACCTGACTATTCCCCATGACCAAAGTGGCACCTTTTGGTACCATGGCCATACCGGAACCTCGAGGGCGGATGGCCTATACGGCGGCTTTGTTGTGCATGCGCCTTCTTCCAGGCCTACTGTTCGCGGACTCATGGCCCGTGACAGCGCCGAGTCCTTGCAGTACGGTTACGAAAGAGAGTTTCTACTTCTGATTGGGGATTGGTACCATCAGCCTGGTGATCAAGTCTTGGCCTGGTACATGAGCATCGCATCTTTCGGAAATGAAGTATGTTCTTAGCATTCATCTCACCATGCGAATCAGCACTAATACGGTGTAGCCAGTGCCTGACTCGCTGTTAATCAACGGGGCGGGCAGCTTCGACTGCTCTATGGCTGTGCCTGCTCGACCCTTGGATTGCATTGAACAACAGATCAACCTCTCGTATCTATCAGATATAGACACAGCCTATAGATTGCGCGTCGTCAACACCGGGTACCACCTACCACCCTTCAACAGTAACCAAGAACTAACATCACCATAGCTCCTTAGCAGGGTTTACTTTATCATTCGAAAACAAACCCCTAACCCTGATCCAAGTAGACAGCACCGACGTCGAACCCCAAGAAGCCCCATCAGCAGGAATTCTCTACCCAGGCCAACGCATGGACTTCATCCTCCAACCCTCTAAAGGAGAACTCACATCTCTAACAATTCATTTAGACCAAGAGTACGTCCACCAACCTCAACCTCAACCTCAATCCCAAACCAAATCAATCCTAACAACACAATAAAACCAGCTGCTTCAACTACCCAAACATAGCCCTAACGCCAACCCAAACATTCCAAATAACACCCTCCCACTTCCCATTACTCCCCCAATCCCTCCCAGAAGACACCCTAGACCTCCACAACACGCCCTCAAAACCGTCCCTCCTCTCAAACATACCTGAAAACCCCACCCAAACACAGGTAATCTACACCAAAACCCAAAAATTAAGCATAAACCACAACATCCCGAACGGCTTTTTCAACCGCACCTCATGGCGTCCGCAACAAAGTTCCCCACTTAATACCCTCCCGCGCGATAAATGGGACGATAACCAATTCTCATTGGCCGTGCCTGATTCCGAATGGGTTGATGTGGTGGTGAATAATCTAGATGAGGGGGGTCATCCGTTCCATTTGGTGAGTAGTGTTCTCTTTTTCTTCATCCTCGCCTCTGTTGCGAATGATGCTAATGAAACGTCTTAGCACGGTCACCAATTCTATATTCTTAGGGTTTATGAGGCGCCTATCGGCTGGGGCTCGTATAATCCTTTTGTGGATTCGGTTCCGCCGGGGTTGGAGTCCGAGTCCGGGTATGATCTCTCTCGTGCGATGCTTCGGGATACGGTGTATATTCCCAGTCGGGGTTATGCGGTTTTGCGGTTCCGGGCGGATAATCCGGGGGTGTGGTTGTTCCACTGTCATATTGTTTGGCATTTGGCGAGTGGGATGGCGATGTTGGTTGATGTTGGAGAGTATAGTAGCTACCAGTAGTTGAAGATGTATGATACGAGGTGAGCCTTCATGGTGTTCTGGTAAATTATATCTCATGGTTGGTATTATTGTTGTTCAAGTACTTCCAATTTAGGAGGTAGAACGTGAAGATGCTTGTAAACGTTCAATGCTGAACGATGCTATTAGGTATGCTCCCTGCAACCAATATGCCCGTTCCGAGGTACCCTTACCCACCCATTTGAAACAGATTTCGCCAATCTAGTAAAGCAAGAAGCAGCCGCCAATAATACATAGTAAGAAAGTAAAGAGCATTTTGAACGCCAGCCACCGGGTCGTAAAAGCGATTATAGTCAATCTCGTAGCACAGAGACAAGCTTAGGCCGAGGCGGAAGCCCATTCCACCACTTCCATGGCACACATAACAAGAATTAAAGTAGAGGGAAGGATCCTGTAAAAGTCAGTACATAATCATTTTGTTAGCCTCAAAGGTGACGTACCAAACAACGTAGCTTTGGAACAACAATTTGGACATAGCGCCCACGTATACGTTATTGATTTGGCATATCTGAGCCAACTGAAGCGCGGATGGGGCGCCAGTGAGAAGAAAACAGACGATGACGAAGATCGGATCATCCAGGATGCTGACAGGGACGTATTTTGCCAGAAGGGCTAGCATTGGAGCCATGATCAGGGTCGGAAGAAGCATACGCGCCACCAAAGAAGCAATGATCAGCTTCTTCTCCTCCTTAGGGTGTTCCATATCCTGCTGCGCGTCTTCAGGTAGAGTATTGCGCTCTAGATTGGCGCCAAGGACCACAAGAATCAATGGCACAGCAACCTGACCATTTTGTTGGATTGCCCGAGTCACGGAATTCTGCACGAAGGTGCCCTCGTCGAAGAATACACGCTGGAGCGAGGGCACGGACGCCACGATGATAGACACAAGCATTGCCCAAAGTGGAGGGTTCATGAATTGCCAGAGGCCGCGGAAGAATCTCCGGACCCCGTTCACAATGCCCGATAGTACTTTCTGGAGGAATTTCGGCAGGCGTTGGAACAAGGCTCCTGACTGTCTTTCCCAAGTATTGGTTACGCGACCACCAAAGCGACCTACGGAGTTTCTAAAGCGGAAGCCTAGCCCGGCCTTTCCGGGGTCGCCACCTGACGCTTCAACGCTCGGGAAGCATAAAATATCACCCTCGGTGCTTTGCCGGGGTAGGAATGGCCCCCGTGGAGGAGGTCCAAGTAGGGCCGGGTTGTCGGTGTCCTGCGGAGACAGCTTTGTGTACGAATAGGCGCGTACCAATACTGGTGTCTGCTCACCGGACCGGAATACCTCGGACTCGTCATTTGAGTCAGTCGGGGAACCATCAGCAGATGCGGTTCTGATCAAAGGCTCATCGGGATCCGCTTGTTCTGGGTTGTCACTGTATCGTTCCTGGCCTTGTTCGACACTCGTTGTACCCTGCTCCCTTTCTCCCTCCTCAAGATACCGCTCTCGGGGGGCAAGAAGAACGTGGTAACCCCAGCTCCAGCGTACGAGCTGGCCCAGCTGCTGAAAGATGAGCAGGTAAAGGATCCCCCGCGCCGCTACTTCATCGTCATTATCATTGGGTACCCTATCCCAATGGAGACCTTTCAAGGTCTGTGACAGCGACATGACAAGGGAAATCGGAAGCGAGTTTGAGTTTCCGAAGACCTATTGATGAAAGATGTTAGCGTGATGGTTGCATGCAGCGCTCGCGTTCAACATGAATTAACGTACCGCCATAGCCGTGACAAAATTGGCCGGCCGTTTCTTGAAACCACAACATTTCGACACGGTGAGTGCGCAGATATAAGACACCAAGGTTTGCACGACAAAGATCGCCGGAATAATGGCTAGATCAATAAGCTTCTCTGCGGTGAGTTGGGAACCCAGTTTCGTGAAAACTACAATCCAGGGAGATCAGTTGGAGCCAGGTTAACCACAAGGATCATACACATACTCAGACACGGAGTAAATAGGGTGACGTTGAGGTTGGCGACCAACTTCTGGGCGTCCGCATCGAACAGGCCTTGTCTAGCGGCGATGTAACCGGGCAAGCTGACGCAAACAACTTCCAAGACTGCTTCAAAGACCAGAAGAATCAAGTGCGAGAAGGATGGATGGCTTGAATGGGGAACATATCCGAGAATGGACGGCGAGACGCCTATTTGGTGTTGGGTCAAAAGCTGGCGAGGAACGAGAGATTGCGCATTCTGAAACGACGTGGGAGCAGTAAAAATGGCCATCGAACGGAGGAACAATAAGTGTTGTCTTGTGTGTCGAATATGAACGGAGAGGAATTTTTGCGATGAGTCTGGAGTGACGTACTAGATACGGGAGATTCGGTAGTTGAGGAGCTTAAAAATTTAAGGTTGCAGCTCGAAGCAAAGGGGGTAGGCGGAAGCTCAGGGCGAAATATGAAGAGGAGCAAACCAGGGAGACAAGCGGAGGAATTTGAATATCTAAAAAGAACATTGAAGCTACTAATGTACTACCGAATGTTAAGAGACACCCGTGCCTGGGAGTGGCAGTGTTTTGCAATCTGGGGAAACCTTTTAATTTTTTTAATTTTTTTTTTTTTTTTGCAGCTTTGGTGATTCCACCCGGAACAAGCATGGTGACAACGATGTCCCATTCACTCTTTTGATTGGGCGATAACAGGACGATCGATCGCTAGGGTAAAAACACGCCAAGACCTCTAGAGTATTTCATGATATCGTCATTGTTCGCATCCCTCCTTGTTTCTTTGTCCTCCCGGTGTAAAATAGGAAGGGGTGCCTTTGCGTCAAAGAAACTGAAGTTGTCAGCTTACAAGGTCCCTTAAGGTACCCTACCTTCTGCCACAAAAGGGTGTACTTCTGTAGACTGTGGCACAAAAGGTACTCAGAAAGAAAAAGGAGAAAACATGGAACTCTGTCTCGGCACCAAGACCTTCCAAGAGACCACAGCCACCGTCGTTCTGACTCCAGATCATATTCTGCACTCCAAAACGCTAAACGAGGTCTACCGCCAAGAGAGATTGTTTCATTGCCAGCTCTCCTTGCGTCAGCCACTCTTGAAAATTCCTTATCTAAATCTCACCATTGTTGCTCATTGATTGATAACCAGGGTGGCATCGCGCCATGGTAGAAAAATAAAACTAAAAATTAATAAATAAATGCAAGATGTCGCATCACCCTGGACATTATGTATGATGTAAGCGTATTCATTTGTCCCTTTGAACCCATATTTGCAACTCCACAGCTACAGTACATGGGATTTGTAGAATGGAATCTAGGGCCCCGTTCTCGGCAATCATCGAAGCCGAATTCACTAGGGGAAACGATTAATCCAACGATGAACATTCAACTTCCATGAGTTCAAGATGAAATGAGGTGATGTATTCTTCCTCCACCTCCACCAGTCAGCAATTGGGTTGTTGCCTTATCGCACGCCTTGTCCCATGGTTCCCTAATTGGCCTTTGGTGATTTCCCAACGCCGCAGCTAGTAAAATAAGCAGCTGAAGTGTACTTCTGAAGATGTGATGGATCCATGATCACAGCTTCTGAAACATTTGTTCTCCGCCAATCATCCCCAGATTACCACAAATGACGCCGCTCTGCCTCGATGACGCCACAGTGGACACATCGAAGGCCGGGGATCGTCGTCAACAAATATCGTACTTTTGCTGACCAAGAGAAACGCTTATTTGGCGGACTGCAGTAGCTTACTGGGTGCTTGACTGACTTAAAAAGATCGTGGAATTAACTCGGAGTCGTGAGAAATATCAGTCAACGGATCAGAGCTAAGCCTCCATTTGACCAGAATAGCGCAACTTTGCCGACAGTAGCGGCTCCGACCACGGACGGATATCATTCCCTTTCACCTCCGTAGGACTACCCATGGGTCTTGAGAGGCGACAACCTCCGAGTACCGTATGTACCATCTATACCGTAGTTCGCAGCGCTTGTGGTCTGATCACTTTCGCCGTCGAAAGAAGCATTGGGAATAGTTCAAGCTCATGGACAGCCCCATTTAGCCCGGGGAGATTACCAAAGTCTCTCGAGAAACTATCGTACTCCCAGGAATTGGCCAAATAAACTTTCGGCCATTTTGGGGATTTCGTGTTGGATGGTCGTTTAGTGACACAGATATGGACTTGACAGTCGGGAGCACGGTGGTTAACAATCCGACATCAGAATTTTTAGGCTACTTGATGAGTCACTTTCGAGCGCTGCTGTACTGGTACATTCGCCGATTGTCTACCTCAATGCGGAGCTCATTCTTTACTTTTTACTTTTTAAAGGGGAAGCCTCGGAGATCCATTAAATGTAGGTAATATTGTTTGCCTATGTTCGATGCCAGAACCACAATGAGTATAATTAGACTGTCATTCTCTACGGATAGTAAGTTATTAAATGAAACTTGTTGTGACTGTCAATCATTGGTGCTGCATTTTTGACAATACCCATTTATGCCAGGTGATGTGGTCGTAGATCAGGAAATGAGTATGACAACCAACATGGATCATTCTACGACACGTGGAAGGGGCAGCCTTGGCCAGGAATTGAAGGCGATATAGAATGGAATGATATCATTGCAAAAGTATAACTATCTGCTTGCAGGGTTACCGGGAGTTAGCAGATATACTGAAGATGAGAAAGCGTATACTGTGAGTAGCATAATGCAGGATGCCTCTCTTCTTATGTACATCTGTACGGAACACATGTATATTCATACATGCATATAATACATATCGAGTGGATTGAATCCAGAAAACGTTGAAACCCACAACCTTAAATCAGGAAGTGTATCAGATCCTATTGGGTTGATGGTGGCCCGTCCAATCATATTTAGGCGTTCGGCACGTACCTGAGTGACCGCACGTGCCAGAACAGTGAGTAGACACTGTAGAATGTACTGTGTATATTAAAATACTACTAGTCAAAGGTATCGGTATGTGATGTGATGTAGATCATCAATACATGGATGACCTCATTCTCGGCAGAGAACGTTGGCAACGGTGTGGGGGATTTGGAAGGAAAAGTCTTACTTTTGGGATATGTTGGGCAAATCTCATCGGTTACACAAGGGATGTTATCTGTTGAAATATTTTGGTTATCTTTTGTTTGAAGCGATGCCTGACTTCGCCACATGTATGTTCGCCTAGGCTACTGCGATATTCTTCTTCTTCTTCTGTTTTGTATTTACTACGGAAGTGTTGGATCTCGTCCCGTATCAGCTGACGACCCGTCCTTCTATCGTTTCCGCCTTGTATCAAGATTGCGTAAAATGAAGTTCTGACCTGCCCGATATGTGCAGCACATCCACTCGGCGAACTATCGGGCGTGCGAAGTGGCAAAAATTAATTTATTTTCTCATGGTCAGGCCGACATAAAGTTGCTCGCCACAAGTTCAACCCGTGGAAGTTTTGCGTTCTTAGTGCGTGCGTCCGTTTAAAATTTACTACAGTGGCATGTCCGCCGATCATTGGCAAAAATAAAAGACCCTAGTAAGGATAGCTGTGAGGTAGTACCTGAACTGGAAAAGGGAAAAGGAAAAGAAAAGAAAAGAAAAGGAATAAAAGGACTGTCTGCGCCTACGGCGAAGAGCATAATACTACTACTGCCTACTACTAGTAGTAGTATATTGCCTGACATTGTCCATTGGCTGGACTACGTCCCTTAGCAGCAAACAAAAGCAGGGAAGAGAGCGGGAAACTACGCTTACGGAGTATACCGTCGTAGGTCAGATACTATTTTCTCTCTTTTTCCATATCCTTTTTTTTTTTTTTTTTTCCACTCCCTTGATGTTCCGCTGCCAAAACCAGATATTCGCCTCTCACTTCCCCATCTGTCTGCCATTCGAACTTCTCCGTATTCTCGCTCCCCACTCTTCAGTCTAGTCTCTATTTCCCACTCCTCGTTACCATTCTTGATTTATGCCCTCTCTATCTTCTTCATAATATTTTTGTTGCTGACAAGCTCGAGCTAAGCAGTGTTGGAAGACCCATTTTTTCTTTTTCTTTTTCTTTCTTTTTTATTTTTTCCCGAACGGTTAGGTGTTGTGCTTCAGTGTACTCTATCTCGTTATCTATCCTTCCTCCTCCGGGAATGGCTTGAATCGTGCCCCGCGTTGAGAACAAACCTTCATCTCCAGCCAGCGAAACGTTTCTGCCTTTCCACTATCAAATCACCTTTTTCTCCTCGAGATCGGGCCATCCACGACAAAGACGCACTGAATCCCACTACCTCACGAATTCCGACCGTTACGATATTTTGTCACGTCCTTTCATGACTGACATCGCGTGGGTTTGCGACATCGCTTGAAGCCATTGGAGACGGCACTTTGAACATTGCGCCCTGAGTTCAGTCACAAAATATCTCGTACGCTAATCCAACACAATGGCATCTGAAATCGACCCTGTAGCGGGGATCTCACCTTCGAGGGACTTGGACAACACGTCCGATACTACCGACGACGACCTCTCTCCCTCCGTGACCACTCCCCCGGCGTCAGTGCCCTCTTTACGCCCGACCGATAAAATCCCCGGCATTACCGCATCGTCGACACACTTGGGCCAGATCAGTGCGGCTCGAAGAGGTGCGGGGACACCTCCGCGTCCACAGGCCTCCATGAGTGGTGCGTCGCAAGGGGGCTTAAACCAGGATATTTTGGCGAAAATGAAGGCGTTCTCTCTTTCTCGGCAAGGCGCGCCCCCAACTTTGCCCCATGCGGCTTCAACCGGAACTGTACCCAAGACCCCCCGCCCGGGTGTGTCTCCAGCCGGTTTGTCGAGCCCGGGGGGCCAATCCCCTCCAGTTGTTAATGGTCCTTTGGCGGGATCTCTCGCCGGTCGACTGCCCCCGGTAGCTCGCCCGAGCACCAAAAACTGGGTGTCGTCTCCATCAATTCCCGGCTCATCACCGAGTCCCAGTTCCGCCAAACCGGGTGGCCTCGCTGCGAAACGGATGAAACCTGGGCTCAAGCTATCCGATGCCACCGGCACCAATGGCACTGCTGGAAATCAGTCTCCTGCCAACGGAACTGAAGGAGCCGGCGAGACTGCGTTTAGTAAATACTCCGAGTTCATTGACACTAAGTCGGGGACACTGAACTTCAAAAATAAGGCAATTCTGCATGGCGGCGGAATTGAGTTCTCATCTGGGCATAAGTTCAGCATTTCCCTGGACGAAGTTGATCGTCTTGAGGAATTGGGCAAGGGCAACTATGGAACAGTATACAAGGTTCGACATAGTCGGCCGCATATGCGAAAGCCCGGTATGGGTTTGAGAGGCATTGTCAGCCGTCCGACAGGGCCCGAAGCGTCTGCACCCGACGGGCTCAAGGATAATCTTACTGGGGTCATCATGGCCATGAAAGAGATCCGCTTGGAGCTAGATGAGAACAAGTTCGCTCAAATTATCATGGAGTTGGAAATTCTTCATCGCTGCGTCTCGCCCTTCATCATTGATTTCTACGGTGCCTTCTTCCAGGAGGGAGCAGTCTACATCTGCGTTGAGTATATGGATGGCGGGTCGATTGACAAAATCTACAAGGATGGCGTCCCGGAGAATATCCTCCGGAAAATGGCCTTATCTACTGTCATGGGACTGAAAACACTCAAAGACGATCACAACATCATTCATCGTGACGTTAAACCCACAAATATTCTGGTCAACTCGCGAGGACAGATCAAGATCTGTGATTTTGGAGTCAGTGGAAACCTGGTTGCCAGTATTGCCAAGACAAACATCGGTTGTCAAAGCTACATGGCTCCAGAGCGAATCGCTGGCGGTGGTGTTCAGCAATCCGGAGCGAGCGGTGGCGGGACCTACAGTGTTCAAAGTGACATCTGGAGTTTAGGATTGACCATTATTGAATGTGCCATTGGCCGATATCCATATCCTCCTGAGACTTTCAACAATATCTTCAGCCAACTGCACGTGAGTATATTCTTTACTACTTTGTCCCTGCCCTTTAAAGGCACCTCGAATGCTAATTCTTATCGACTAGGCTATTGTTCACGGGGAGCCACCAACACTTCCGGAGTCTGGGTATTCTGACGAAGCGCATTCCTTTGTCCGCGCTTGTCTAGACAAAAACCCCAAGAATCGTCCGTCGTACAGTACGTTGCTCCGACATCCCTGGATTGCGCCCCTTATGCGCCCACCGGAGGAGTCGGACGGTGATGATATGACGTCTGCCTCTTCGGCCGGAGTTACCCATTCTTCTGTCACTGAAGATAAGGAGGTCGCCGACTGGGTTAAAGAGATGCTGGAGCGTCGCAACAATGGCCTTCTGCACGATTCCAATAAGCCGGCACTACATGCTGTCGCCCTGGATGCTGTTCCAGGCAGCCCTCTTCTTGATGATCCTTCCTCAATTTCCTTACAACCTTGATGAAACACAGAACTTAGGCTTAGATCTTTTTCCCCCCTTGGCATATACCTGCATATATCCCGTGCTGCCTTGAGTTCCGGGTTAACGGGTGGATGGGAAGTGCACAGATAAGCTGAAGACTTACTGGCGCAGGCGCCTCTTGCCGAAAGCCCTCCGGTATAAGGGCCATGCGCGACGACATAGGTCCTATATTAGCTTCGGCTTTGTCTTTACGGGAGCTTGCAGCATGTATGAGCCAACTTACTCTTTCTAGTGATGTCGTCATAGTATCTTGGAATTTCTCATGTATTATGAATTAAGACGTGATTTAACGCCATGGCTTTTATTATAACGACTATCTAGGAGCAAATCTTTCACCAGTGTTAGTTATCTGACTCTGATGTTATGTAATTAGCATTGTATAACAATAAAACCATACTCAGTTGTTTTCGGTCCCTTTCTATGAATTAATAATTGATAATTCGTGATAACTTAGTTAACTAGTTACGAAGTCTGGCTGCTTAGCAATCAGCTGAATCACGTGTAGCTACGTCCGGCCTCCAGCAATGAAGATGAAACCCCGACTTCGGCGTTTGGGAATAGTTTATTCGGCGTTTGGAGAGAAGTTTTTGATCCTTGACCTTCTTCAATGGTAAAATTCGACTGAACAAGAGAGCTTCTTGGGGCGCAATTGGATGCAAAATTGAAATTCTAGTCATATATTACTAATTGGTAGGTGCCGCTGTGACTCGACGTCATGCACTATCGAATCCGTCACTGACCGAAGGATGGAAGCTTTTCGCGGCTGGATTCCCCGCCAGACATAATTCCTGCAGTTCCTCCACCCCTCCTCCGCTTACTCTTCCAAACATAAAGCCTCCATGCTGCCCCGCTCTTGTTCCCGTTCCTTTCCAGTTCAGGCTTTCAAGAACCGGCTTCTTCGACCTGAGTCGTCCCCTTCGATCGCATTCCAGGTAATTGGAAGAAAAGCTATCTCTACAGCTACAAACCGGTGTGCTATTATCAGAACTCCAACAAGAGCCGCTCTGGATTCTTCGTCGACCTCCATACCTTCAACTGCCGTTGGCACTCGTCTCGCTTTACTCAACCGACACTTTACGTCGACGTCCGCGACGCCTGACTCGAACAAGATGCCTCCCGTTGAGCCCCAGCAGTATGACTATATCGTTCTCGGAGGTGGTAGTGGTGGTAGCGGTAGTGGACGCAGAGCAGCCGGTTGGTATGGTGCAAAGACATTGATTGTGGAAAGTGGACGCTCGGGTGGAACTTGTGTCAATGTCGGGTAGGTTTATTGCCCCTGTTGCTATGTCTGTGGTTTAAATGGGGTTGTCTGACCGCAGTGTGCAGGTGTGTCCCGAAGAAGATGACCTGGAACTTTGCAACTGTCAACGAGACACTTCATGTTGCTGAGCACTACGGATACACCATTCCCAAGGATGTCAAAATCAACTACCGTCATTTCAAGGAGCTCCGGGACGCCACAGTCAAGCGGTTGAATGGCGCTTATGAACGGAACTGGGGACGTGAGGGTATCGATCTCGTACATGGCAGAGCCCGCTTTGTTGAGCCTAAGGTCATTGAGATTGCCAACAACGATGGCACCAAGGCACGCTACACTGCGCCTCACATCCTGATCGCCACCGGTGGGCGTCCCAAGCTCCCGAATATAAAGGGAGCTGAGCACGGAATCACCAGCGATGGATTTTTCGAGATCGAGGAACTGCCCCCTAAGATCGCCGTTGTCGGCGCCGGATACATTGCTGTCGAGCTGGCGGGCGTCCTTGGAGCCGTTGGTGTTGACACCCACATGTTCATCCGTGGCGAGACCTTCCTTCGCAAGTTCGACCCCATGATCCAAAAGACCATGACTGAGCGGTACGAAGCTGCGGGCATCACCATCCACAAGGGCCACCCGGGCCTTAGGGAAGTGCAGCTCGTGCGGGACGGAAAGGGCAAGGACAAGCTTCTCAAGCTGATCTCAAACGATGGGTCGGAGATGGAGGTAAATGAGCTGCTGTGGGCTATCGGCCGTGCGCCCGAGGTTGAGGACTTGCATCTCGATATCCCAGGGGTTAAGTTGAACGACGCTGGGTTTGTTGACGTCGATGAGTACCAGAACTCAAGTGTCGACGGTATTTATGCTCTGGGTGACGTGACTGGACACGCCGAGCTGACTCCCGGTATGTCAACTACCCGCCATTTGACTTCACTGCGTTGGAATAATTACTGATGAAAATAGTTGCCATTGCCGCTGGCCGCCAACTTGGCAACCGTCTGTTCGGACCACCGGACCTGAAGGACTCCAAGCTTTCTTATGACAATATCCCAACCGTTGTGTTTTCCCACCCTGAAGTCGGTACCGTCGGTCTCACTGAGCCTGAGGCTCGTGAACGCTACGGTGACGACCAGATTAAGGTCTACTACACCAAGTTCACCGCGATGTACTACGATGTTGTGCCGCCGGAGGAGAAGAAGAAGAATCCCACTGAGTTCAAGCTTATCTGCGCTGGACCGGAAGAGAAGGTGGTCGGTCTGCACATTCTCGGACTCGGCGTTGGAGAGATGCTGCAGGGATTCGGTGTGGCCGTCAAGATGGGCGCCACCAAGCGTGATTTCGACAGCTGCGTTGCGATCCACCCTACCAGCGCCGAGGAGCTGGTGACTTTGCGGTAAAGTGTATTGTATGCGAGTAGATAGACGGGTAGAGTTGTATAGGATAGATTATGATCTAGATTTAAAGGAAACGTTTCAAAAGTTAAGTACTTATGGTTTTTCCAGGGTGAGAACTACAACATGGTTTTGGGCGTCACAATAAATAATACATTTCATCAAGTATCATACAACAAAAGAACATTAACAGGTCAAGAGATGCTTGGGTTCCTTTTCTCCCTACCTAGGATAGCAGTTATAATTCACTCGGAGTTACTTCAAGCACGGAATAGACTTGGTTCTCTGTAAAGAGACCTCTGGGCTGAAGACCATATACATTTCACACGCCTATTTTCGACCTTTAATGAAGAAGCTTGACTTCTATGAATCTGGATCCTCTGTCCATGAGCCTCTACCATGTGTGGGCTACCAACCAAATCCTGTGAATATACCGTCGCAGAAATTGTGACACTCATTCAACCCCAATACGGAACTGATAGTCATGTTCGCAGTGTCGAATATGCCAACACGCGCCCGAACGTTCCTTGCTAATATTACGGCAGTCCACAACAACAACAACAACACTCGTGTTACAGCTAGCAACTGCTTATTGTATTGAGCATCAAGACATATAACACTACCGTGCACAAAAAACTCACCGAAAGAAGAACTGATTGATACCCAGTATATCCTGAGTACGTCAGATACGCAGGAGCAGGCTTTTTGACCTCCCCTAAAGAGCAATGTTATGGATTCCGACATCATAGTGGATGTATTACCATCGAGCTTTTGGCTAGCCTACAAACTACATATCCACGTCGCTCTCACATATGGTGGTAGATATCTTGATCGCGAACTCTACTATTCGGAGATTAGGAGGTCGATGATAGGCTATGGCATACAGTGGCTGGTAGTAGTCTGAAAGTGAGGCATCAGGAGCATGGCATTGACGGGCTTAGCGAACTTCAGCGGGCATACTATGGGGGACTCTATCCTCGGAATGGTGTATACTCTCAAGATTGAATGTCATTTTGTGCCAGCGTAGTGCATGTCCTATTCTTAACATCAGTTGAGCTTAATATTCATCTCTTCAAGAGCGTCGATATTCAACTACGCTTTTGGTCGTCTTTTGTTCCATAATAATAAGAAAGAAGAAAGAAGTACCGGACATCGATTGATTCACTCTGAGAACGATATGCTATCAATATGGGCACTTGGTAGTATCAAATATTCATTCATATATTACATAAAGTTACACTTCTACTCAACGAAAACAGATTGCCAACAACAGGAAAGCCCTTCAATACTACTCCGTATACCCGAGGCTTTTAGAAACGATCATAAATAAATGCCGAGAAGCAACTCTGTAATACCTGAAACCAAAAATAAAAATAATAAAAATAAAAATAAGTCAGGTATGCGGACAACTCAGACAATACTACAGAGTAGTCAAACCAAACAATCGGAGGCAGGGTATAGCCCAAAATACACTTTAGATCTATCTAACCTCCGATCATCTCATATAACTTTCCCATGGGATAATCTGTAACAGAAAGCCCATCATTCCTTTTGTTCGAACTTATGTCTAAACAAAGTCAACTGCAGAATGAATTAAAAAATCCCTCAAAGACCCCACAGGACACAATGGAACAGAATAGAAAGGATGTTCAGGGGGGCTTGGTATAAGGTTCCCAAGATGGCAGTGCATAAATGGTTCACTATCAAAGTTTACGGGAACCATTTGTTGTGTAGCTGGTTGGCGGTGTAAGTATATGTTTTTTTCCTCTTTTTTTTTTTTTTTTTTTTTAAAGGTAAATCTTGCTATGAAAGAAACCGAGACAACATATAACCTATTCTGATGAACAGTTTGGAGGCTGCGGATCGGGGCGCAGTTTGCTTTGTGTGTTTTTGACCCACGATAGATAACCTTATATAATATTCTTGCTCTACTAAATGGATGATATGATACGCTACGCTTAAGCTACCCGAGAGTAAATACGAGATATGTGCGATCAGAAAAGTAGGCTTGGATTGCTAAATGTGAATATATAGAGGAAAATATAACGATCGTCTATGGTAGTATAAGTTTGGGTATAATGGTAAGTTGGTTTGAGGGAAAGAAAGAAAAAAACAAAGGAGAGAAAAAAGTGGCTTGTATCCACTATATGCATATATATGTAAACATGCATATTTCAATTTGCTCTGCACGCATCCCCAACAAGTAATGCGACTAGGGAAGGTTGGCCTTAAGCCTGTCTTCAGCACAATCAAAACCAGGGGGATATAGGCGCAATATCCGATCATGTTCCGGACATGTCGGATCAAGTGCGTTGAGCACGGAGGTCAATCAATTTGTTGAAAGCTAGCAATCTCGCAGGTTCCTTTCACTTGCGTCGCTGGAGCAATGAGGTCGATGTATCGTAGCTAAGACTCGCTTGTTGATATCCTCACACTTGGCTGCTCGTGCGGGTATAAGAGGATGTTGTACGTTGTATGTCCCCAGATCGATAAAAAGTCCATGATACGTTGTGTACCGGAGTGACGCAGTTGGGCATTGAGTATCGTACTCTGGCGCGTTGTCTTGGTGATGGCCGTGTCGAACCGCTCGAGGTGGGGCGGTGAGTGGTGGGCACATGTGGCTTGAGGGCTCGATCCCGGACACCATGCTGGTCTATACTTTGTAGTTGCTTTGGGAAGCGGGACGATAGGTTTTATGGACGTGATAGTTGTTCTTTGTTCACTTCCGTATCCCGAATCAATTCACGTAGACCATGACAGCGAAGGAGATCAGGCAGAAGCAGAGCGGAATGTAGACTTTCCGGTCCATATCTGGATCCGACGAGGCTGACGAGGCACCAGCAACGTAACGAGAAGTACTGGAGCGTGAGATCGATTTGGCGGATTTGTGAACCATATTCTGAAGTAGTTGTGGTGGTATGGAGATATGAAGAAAGAAGGAGAAAAGGAGCCCAGTTCAAACGGCGGGAAAAGGAGGGGAAATTAACTGATGATTACTGAAAGTGTGGTACTCAACGTGGCGGTTGATGATCGCCCAACACGCCGAAGATCCTCAACAATCAATCAATCATCGATCTTGATTTCGTCACGGGTTGCGGGGAACCCTCACTTAGTCAGCCGAGGTTGGTTTTTGGTGGTTTGACCAAATCAGGCAGCAGAGCTTGCGGGAGGGTCACGTGGACTCATACACATTACGACCACATGATCTCCAAGGAGGAAGCTAAAGGTGGGAGGGTTCGATTCCCAGGGTTGGCGCCCCAGCTTTTCCATGACTCTTCGCTTGCGGTCCGCCAAGGTATGTACGTAGTAGTTGATTCGCATGTCATACTGTTTTTAATTTCCCTGCCTTGTTGCATTGCATGGCGTTTAAATTAATCTATATTGTTTCTTCAGGAATGTGAGGGGGAGGGCCGATACTACATCACAAGACTAATTATCTCCTATCAATTCATGTAACTGTACACAAAACCGACCTTGTACTCAGTAGTTAGTGTTAAGTACTGGGGAAGAAAAGTCATTTTGGAGTAACCCTAACTCGTCTTAACTATCCCATGATCTCATTGTTGTTTGTTTTGGTTTGTCATCTCATTTCTATTTCTATTTCTATTTTATTTTATTTTTATTATTTATTTATTTATATATATTCTTTTTTTTTTTTCCTTAAAAAAAACTCTTTTTGCCCGCCCTGCCTTAGACTGATCTGTGGTTCGGTCTTCACCATTGCATTTGCGGTGTGTGCGCGTTATCAGTGGGTCGCCCATATTTGGAACAGTTACCAGTTGCGTTCAAGGCTGTGGAGTGTGGGCTTGAGATAGCTTCAAGCCATCAGAAGTTAGGACAGATTCAAGATTAGTATGATACAATTGTGCGGTGAGACATGTCTTTCTCGTTTTTGTTAGTTTCTTTCTTCGGCGGGTGAAATGCTGCCCAAGGTACAGTAGAACCCCCGTTTTGCTGGATTTGAGGAAATTCTCTCAGGCCGCGCCCGGTCGAGAGTCGGATATGGAAGGTGATCTGGAGCATCGGAACCAAAACTTGATTCCTTGATACAGGCCGCAGTAGAGGAAAGCAGGTACCCGTAGCCATGGCTCGATCGGTCTCGTCCTTTCGACCTCTCTCATCGACCAACAATGGCGCGTTCTGGGCTGCGACACTTTCAGTGACCCTTTAATACTGATCAGTGCTGATCAACTTGCGTCGTCAGCCATTGAGCATTTTCCCTTGACCTGCTGCCTGATGGATACAGTGGCAACAGGTTTTGCCTTGGCGCCACCGACACCTTGACCTTGGCTCAGGTTTTGAAGGGCTCTCCGAAAACGTCGCAGTTACCGAGGATCGATGATCAATATGCGGTAATAAGGTCGGCTCTTCCGTGTATTTTCGTTTGTTTTCTTTTTTTATATTGGCAGTGAGACAAGCTGTCAAAGCAAAGAAAGGAACGTAACGTACTCTGTAGGCGAGCCGACACGAGGTGGTTGGCGCATGTAACACTGCGCCGGCTAAAAGTGGGAGTGAGACACGGGACTTATTTTGACATACGTGCAGCTTTTAGCACACTTAGTACATACTACTTAGTCCTGTCGAACAAGAGAAGGTATCAGCATCCCCCCCTCCCCATGTACGGAGTAAGGAGGGAAAGTCAGACACTGAAAGGCATAAGCTTTTTTTCCCTTTCCCTCTTCAAGCGCTCCGCTTGCATTTTGTTGTGGTGCTAACCCCAGTTGACCATGCGCAATGAGAGGCAGGTTAGTGGAGAAACAAGGTGGTCCACTGTCCACGTCGGCCGGTGCATACGATTATACGCCTATCATTGAGAACCCTTTCCCCATTGCACGGCCCCCGCTGGATCAAAGTGGTTCTCTTATCCGGTCGCATTCGTTCAATCACATTGCCTGACCACACTCGGTTCCATTACCGTGACTTGTGACTTTCTGGTTACTAGCTTTGGTCGGGCCCTTCGGACGAAGCGCCAAAGAAACTTCCCACGCTCGATCCAGAGGAGACACCGTCGCTGCCGCCTCCAATGACGCTTCATCCTGTGGCTCCCTCGGCCGAACTATTGCTCAGGGCGGATGGCGCTATTCCACTCTTTGTCTCCTGAGGGGGGATTTTGGAAACTTAGTAAACCCTTACTTGGCGGTAGCTTCGCAGCTATAACTATAGTCCTCCCCTCCTCGTTCCTTAGCAACGAGGTCGTCATCTTACCGTCTTTATTACCTGCAAGACGGGTCATTCTTTAGCATAGATCGTCGCGCCTGTGGGCCTGTTTTTCGTCAGAACCACTGTCATTGTCCCGACTTATTTAGACCCTCGCCCCGTCTCGACTACTCTCTTTGAGAAATTTGATTGCGCCTCGCATTCGTTTCTGGCAGAGCTGCGTTCGCTGGTCGCATTGACCTGTTCAGGCATCATGTATTTCAACTACGCTGCAGCTACACTAGCTGCATTGCTTCCACTATGCTCAGCCCAGACCTACTCGCAGTGCAACCCTCTTCAGAGTATGCTTTTAGCCCCATCTGCCTTTCGTAGCAAACCTTTCCATAGTTCTCTGAGCTGACATGTAAAACCAGAATCTGGTTGCAAGCCCAACCCGGGTATGGGTTCCAACTTCAACTCCGACTTCACTACCGGAGATGGAGCTCTCGGCGGCTGGACAACTACCGCCGGAAAGGTCACAACTAGTGGCCAGGGCGCTGAGTTCATTCTGGCTAAGAAGGGCGATGCGCCCACCATTGACACCAGCGATTACTTCCTATTTGGTAAGGTCGAGGTTGTCATGAAGGCTGCGCCGGGAACCGGTATTGTTAGCAGCATTGTCCTAGAGTCTGACGCCCTCGATGAGATCGACTGGGTAGGTTGCTTCCTCCCCAACATGGTGTTGGGGTATGCGTCCACCAAAAGGAATTCTCAACTGACCTCGATGCGATTCACAGGAAGCCGTCGGTGGCGACACCTATCATATTCAGACCAATTACTTCGGCAAGGGCGACACTTCGTCCTATGACCGTGCAACTTTAGTGAACATGGCTCCTCCACAGGCTGACTACCATACGTACACCATCGACTGGAACAAGGACAAGACCACCTGGTCCGTTGACGGTAATGTTGTGCGTACTCTCAACTACAACGACGCCAAGGGTGGTTCTCGCTACCCCCAGACCCCTATGCGCCTGAGACTGGGCATTTGGGCCGGTGGTGACCCCAGCAATGCTCCAGGTACCATCCAATGGGCTGGTGGCAAGACTGACTACACCCAAGCCCCCTTCAACATGTATGTCAAGTCGGTTAACATTGTGAACTATACCCCCTCCGACTCCTACACCTACTCCGACACCAGTGGCTCCTGGCAGAGTGTCAAGACTTCAGGCTCGGGCTCGTCCCCGGAGCCTCGCAGCACCTCCAGCACCACGAACACCTCATCCACCTCTGAACTCGCGTCCTCGTCTGAGCCCGCGACCGAGTCTAGCACCACCAGTAAAACCTCTCCTACTGGTTTCATTACCAGCACTACCAGCAGTACTACCGGCAGCACCACTGACTCCACCGAGTCCACCACTGGTACTACCACCAGCTCTTCCTCCTCGGAAACCGGCTCTGGATCCACCACTGCCGAGTCCAGCTCGAGCACCGGTTCCTCCGGCGCCGGTGCGTCCACGACTGAGTCTTCTGCTCCCGGGTCTTCTTCCGGCGCTGGATCTTCCACTGGCGGGGGATCTGCCTCTGGCTCGGCTTCTAGCTCGGCCGCTGGTGCCACTTCCACCGTTCCTCTCTCCAACTCCGCCACAACACCTTATGGTGGATCTTTCATGGGCCTCATGACGGTCATGGGCTTGATGACTGCCATGTTGCAGTTGTGATTGGATCTGGCTTTGTTTTTGTTTTTGTTTTCGTTTTACTGACCTAATGACCCCATGGCGGATTTTGTAATGGATGAGATTTTATGACGCTTTTGGGAGACCACGCTCCTTTTTATGACCTGCTGATTCATGTATCGTTAATTGTAGCCTTAGGTACATACACAACACACGCTAGGAAGAAGAATCTTTTGATACTGGCTTATATTTAAGCTCGGGCGGATTCAAGCAATATCATTTCAAATTCATAAACAAGCTGTGTCATGCAAGTAACTGTATCCGCCGCTTTTACGTTTACTATCTGTTTTTCTTTTGAAGGTAAAATATCACATTAACATAGGATCGTATAGCGTTATCTCCAACCACCAAATCACTAACATCAAATAACAAGTAATATAACCAAACAAACAACAAGCAACCAAATGATGACTCGTATCCAGAATCGTTTTCGAACTCCTAAGCTCCCACCTTATCGGGTATCGTTTCTTCATTCAGACACATCACATGAACATAACAGCACGGCACGTCAATATGCCCTCTTCTTTTGTAAGGTTTGCAACCCTGAGGACAATCGTCGCACGGCATCAACAACGGGACGATGCTGCCCCGCGGCGTCTTGGAAGAGCTCGGATATTGACAAATCCGGACGGATTAGGTCCTCTCGGTCTATTATTGAACGGAAAAATGAAGGTAATTTGTCAACGAATGCCCGAAGTCCACGGCCAGGAGCCTCCACAGCGGAGTCCGTCGTACCTGAAGATGCCGATGACAGTTTCATTTCGCGAACCAAGATGTTGCCAATAGATTCCAGGTGGTCATCTAGTGTGGCGAGATCGTTGGACAAAGAGTCAGCCTTGCTCTGCATGCGGGCAGTCAGCTGATCAAGATACTGTTCGCGCCACGACATTTGCGTCGATAGCCGGGCGCCCTGAGCGGCAGCTTGCGAGTCACCTGCCGTTGGCCCGCTGGTCGCGATTAAATTGTCGACCGCAGAACGGATATCAACTTTGAGGGAATCGAATTTCTTGGTGGCGGCTCTGGTGGCTTCCCAGCAGCCGCTAAATTCAAGGTCGAGCTCGTGTTTCATGCCCGGGTACACCTTCTTTAGTTCCGTCTCGATGTCGCGGAGTTTCGATTCGCTTTGTTTCAGTGTGCCTGATAGCGGGGTCATTGCGTGCAGAGTCGTATTGAATAGGGATTCTAGCCGCGTCTGTGAGGATACGACGGTGTCGTAGCGGGATGCACCGTGACGGTTGGGTTGAGGCTGGGGATACGGTGGAATACAACTGGCCGGATATAGAGTGGAAATAGCTTCTATCGCGCAAAGAGTCTGATACTGCTGGACTACTTCGGGAATGATGAGCAAATGCGAAATGGCCACGACGAGCAGTACGTTTATTATGGTTCGAATCAATGTTTGCACCGTTTTAGACCTTGACGCCGACTTTGAACGAGCGAGCTTCTCATCTACCTGTCTAGAATTTGACCTTTGATCAGAAGAGTCACCGTCCCTGGACACATCCAGGTCATGTTTCTCTGTTCGCGGTGTGTTTCCACGCGCTGTTTTATGTCTGCGCCTAAGAGAATGGGTGGTTTCTGATTTGGATCGCACAGCTGGCGCAACCCAGGAACCCTCTGCGATGGGCGTCTCATATATTGAAGGCATTATGAGCTCGGGTCCTGACATGGAGGAGGCCGACGTAGTCATCGAGTCAGACCCATTGTTACACTCATGTTGGCTGGCCTCTTTGTTTAAGTGACGACTTTGACTTGGGCTTTCATGAGGCTGACTCTCATTCTGTCGCTCTTCCTTGTCGGGGGAAGATGATGCGACTACCCAAGACTCGCCCAGGATCGAACTATCCTGAGGACGAGGGGCACCCGTAGACATAGATGAAATAGATGAAGGATGATTCTCAGTTGCTATATAGCCGAAGTACTCACACTACTGAATCGCACCCCTGGGAAGTGTAAAAGCTGTCAGGATAAGTAAACAAAGGGACAATAACTTTAGGATGAGCAGGAAGGACTGGAAAGACCCTTGCTTTTCGACGATAAGGTTTGTGTATATTGATTGTTGACGAACGATAAGAAGAGAAGTGGGGATGAATCACGAGTGCTTTATTAAAGATCGGGCCGATCGGCAATCGCGTCGTGTTTCACGGGCAAGCTTCGAAAAATTCCTTGTACGATGATATCAACCCCCCAGCAACCATGCGCCGATTAAATCCTCTGTTACGGCAGACCTTGCTCCTGCGAAAATCATGTCCTAGGACACGTTACACTCTCCGACAGCCGCGCTTGCAATGGCTGTCTACAACCTCCACTCGACCCTGTTCATGCTCCGACCCGCAGCCTGAACAGCCGCCTTCTCAGTCCTCATCTACATCCGCCGACTATCGCGCACTAGGAACTGCACAAGACCTGTTCACCACCTCTATCTACAGTCCCGGATCGCCCCTTTTCCTCCCCAATGGCACTCATGTCATCAACAAACTTGTTTCCTTCCTCCGTACACAATACCTCCAATACGGTTTCCGCGAAGTCCTAACCCCGACCATCTACAAACGCTCTCTATGGGAGGTATCGGGACACTGGCAAAACTATAAAGATGACATGTACGAAGTACGAGGCCGAGGAGCCATGGGAGATACTGAAGGAGAGACCGGAGAGGACGAATCATACGGACTGAAACCGATGAATTGTCCCGGTCATTGCTTGTTATTCAAATCGCAAAACCACTCATATCGAGAACTACCCATCCGCTACGCCGATTTCAGCCCACTACATCGGAACGAGGTTTCGGGTTCTTTAAGCGGACTCACCCGGGTTCGACGCTTCCACCAGGACGACGGACATATTTTCTGCCGGCCGCAACAAATTAAGAGCGAGATCGCTTCTGCGCTTGGATTCGTAGATATGGTTATGACTACTTTCGGGCTGGGGCCATATCGACTGGTGCTTTCTACGCGACCGGAGAAGGACTTCATTGGTAGTCTGGAATTGTGGGACAGCGCGGAATCACAGCTTCGCGAAGCTCTTGATAACAGCGGAAGAGAATGGGCAATCAATGAGGGTGACGGTGCATTTTATGGCCCGAAGATCGATATTCAGCTCCAGGATCAAGCCGGAAAATATCACCAGCTCTCGACTATTCAGCTGGACATGAATCTACCACAGCGTTTCGGGTTGGAGTATCAGGTGGCTGAGGGAGAGGAGGACTACAATCCAGCAACCCCTGGAAGGGCAACGCCCGTGCTGGTTCATCGAGCGAACTTTGGCTCTGTAGAGCGGTTCCTTGCGCTACTCATTGAGCAATACGCCGGTCGCTGGCCATTTTGGCTGTCTCCGCGACAGGGAATCGTCCTGACGGTCAACCAGGATGAAAATGTTCTACAACAGGCGCATGAGGCTGCGGCTAAGATATCGGGATTCCGTGCGCTTGAGCCTGGTCAGAATGGCAACAATGCTCCACAGCCTCTCTCCTTTGTCGACTCGACATTTTTGATTGACGTGGACGATAGCCCTCAGACGTTAGGAAAGAAGATCCAGAGGGCCAAACAGATGAAGTACAACTTTATCTTCATCGTTGGACCTAAGGATGTTGCTGAATCGCGCGTCACAGCGGATATTACTGGTCAACTGCAGAGCAAACCGGACGGAAATGCGCAGAAACTGCAGGACATGCTGGTTGGCCGGCTTGGAGAGAAGGCGGTTCAGAACCCCCGGGCAGTGCCATTAAAGGTTGACGAGGTGCACGATCTCCTGGTGCAGTTGGAGAAGAGATTTGTATAATAAGTATGAAGCGTATGGAAAGAGCTTCCATCATGTACAATATGATTTCGTATTAAATTTGGGAAGCCAGAGAGACGGCCCAGGTTAGAGATTCCATGATTGACGTTAACACCCGAAGCGGTTAGATTCCTAAGCTTTAAGGCCCGGAAACTCCACCGTGATCACCTTGTTCATGGTGTCATCTGACCTTAAGCTTAAGATTATTCTTAGGAAGAATGGAAGTCACTTGAAAAGTCGCCACAAACCAGACCCTCATTTGTGTCTCTGATTCGTCAACCATCGTCAAACCTGCCCTGGAGACACCGTCATTACCTTCTTTTTCTGGTATCATCGCCATGGACCTTTTTTTTTTTTAGGTGAAAAGTAATCCAGAGAAGCTTTTTTTCCTAACCACGCCAGCCCCACGACTAGACTCTTTCTCGCCCGAAAATCCTCCTGTTGGAGAAAATTGCCCCCTTTGGTCGTGTCTCTCATTCGCCTTCCCAACACCCCCACTCTTTGCTCCCCTCGCTCCCCCTCTCTTCTCCTCTCGCGTGAGCCTTCAATTTCACCTCATGGCGGCTGTTGTGTATCCTAATCGGTCTCCCACCGTCAACTTGGATCCTGCCCCTTTCGCAATTCCATGGTGGTCGAACCTAGCTCCTCTGGCACGGCCGACGTGCCGGCTAAGGCCAGTCTGCCGCGGAAGAGCGCCTTCTCGTGTGAGGCGTGCCGCAAGCGAAAGGTGGGTTCCCCCCCTCTCCCCTGCTTTATCTTCGGATGATTTCCGAGATCACAAGCGATCAAAGATCTCCTTCATGTACCTTGCTTATTGGCACGCTGACATACTCTTCCCCAGGTGAAATGTAATGGTGCTAGTCCCTCATGTTCACGATGTGCGGCGCGTGGAGAAACCTGCGTTTATAGCTTGTGAGTGAGAGTTTCCTTCCATTTCTTCCCTCTATCTCTTTTGTTGTGACATTCCCACACGGCTTCAACATCCTCTACATGTGATAGGTCCCTACTTTATTAACTCAATATTTTTAGAGCTCCAACTTTATCGTATACCAAACAGCTAGAGGCTCGTGTCGCTCAGTTAGAAGATGCACTGTCAAAGCTACGGAGCCAGCAGCAGTCGGCTGCAGAGGTGCGGAAGGCGAGCACCCCATCATCTACCGGCGATGGTAGAGGCAGCATGAGCCCAAGTCTTCGGACTCGCATCAAGGAAGAAGACGAAAGCAGTAGCGCCGATCTCGCTAGGGATTTCGAAGGTCTGAAGGTCGAGCACGATGGTCGAATATCTTTCCACGGCCCGACTAGTTTGTTTCAGCTTCCTAGCGGTGCTCTCAATGAGGCAGCGTCGACATCCCGACTTGCCGTCCAGCACGAGGCGCGAAAGGAAAGGCTGATCAACAATGCGTGGCGGGAAAGGGCGTTTGAACAGATGGCCACTATGCCAGTAGGTCTAACCATGGAATCTCTCTTGCTAAAAGAATAGTATCCTTATCCTACTGTTTTGTATTTCAGGAACCGTTCCAATATCTCCTCGACTCGCACTGGTGTTGGATCCAGCCGCTCTTCAACTTCGTCTATCGACCAGCATTTACTCGTTCGTAACCTTGTCGCTGCTGGTGGAGGATGAGAACTAACCACGAGCAGGCGATATGAAGATAAACGGTCCATACTATTCAGATGCTCTTCTCAATGCGATTCTCTCCCATTCGGTCCGGTGGTGCAAGTCTGAACCAAGAATCGGCCATATCCTCGATTCGTTTGATGGCGGCGCACAGTTCTCCCACCGCGCCGTCTCTGGTCTATATGATTCGCTCAAAGTTGGTAATCTCGGTATCCCGACTATCCAGACATTGCTCCTGCTCAGTGCGCAAGAGTGTGGCAGAGGAAACCGGTCACAGGCTTGGTTATACAGCGGCATGGCTTTTCGAATGCTGGAAGATCTAGGAATATCCATCGACAGTCGCAAGTATTCGGACTCCGCCCACTTGAGCGACGAAGATATCGAGATCCGGAACCGTCTCTTCTGGAGCTGTTACTTCTGGGATAAAATGGTTTCCCTATACTTTGGCCGATCGCCTACGATGCAGCACTCGCGAGTTAGTCCGCCACGGACAGTATTGGACGACACTTCGGAGATCGAAATCTGGACACCGCATGGAGTTGTCTTCCCGGACGGTGCTCATTATCCTCCGACTCAGGCCCATTCTACGTCCTGTTTTATGAAAATGTGCGGATTAGCGGAGGTGCTCAATCAGATCTTAATTCACATCTATGACCCAATAAGGCAAGTGTCAGAGACAGAGTTCTACAATTGTGTGATCGAGCAAGCTAGGAATCTAGCTGAATGGTGGGATGAACTGCCCGATTATCTGAAATTGGTGCCAACAAGCCTTCCTCCGTACTCTCCGCCGAGCCACATTGTCATCTTAAAGTACGCGACCCCCACTTCCTACTATATTGTCCACGCACTTACCATTCCCTCACTGCAGTTCGTTATATCATACTATCAACATCCTTCTCCATCGTCCGATCCTCTGCTCAAAGACAAATAGAGAGTCATACGATAAGAGCCATTTGGTCCAGTGCATGACATCTGCAACAGCGATCTTGTCTCTATTTGATCTATATCGTCGCACATTCGGCGATGCCCATGTTGTCCTCTCACTTTCCTACAGCGTGTACACCGCTGCGTCGATATTCCTGCTCGAAATACAAGCTTTAAAATACGCTGCCCCAGGAACGCTAGACAAACTCAAATTCTGCATTTTTGCTCTAGAGAGAGTGAAGGTCTCAAACCCAGGTATGTTTATTCATTCATTTAATATAGGGCCATCATAATAACATTGATACTAGTGATCTCGACCGCACTCAGTCTCGTTTACCAAGAGCTTCAAAAATTACAGATCGATATCCACATTGTGCTGCCAACGCCACAACCGGAACAACCTCCACCTCGCTCACAACCCCCGTCTCGTCATAGTCACTCCCCTTCCCAACCCCAAGGTCTACCACTGCAACAACAGCAGCAGCAGCAATTTCACACCCCTTCGACTTTCAGTGATACCTCCCGTCACGTCTCCCCGTCTCATCAATCATCCCCCGATGCCTCATCTATGGCTGCCTCCGCTGCCCCATCAGGCGTGAATACCTCATTCCTTCCGGGATATTCCTTCCAACAGCCCGTTGCAGATTTCGAGCTTTCACAGACAGGCGTTCCTCAAATGGCCGGGGCGCATCTTCTGGGTGGAATGCCCAACGCAATAATGACTCTAGAAAACCCTGGCTCGTATGAGATCACGCCGGAGGTCTTTGAAGCATTCTCGTATGCGGAGCCTATCACGACTAATATGACACCAGCATTTGAGACTCGGTTAGGGTAGTTTGTGTCAACGTTGCAACAAGCAAGGCTTGAGCATTTTACAGCTAGAGAAGCTATAGGCGAATGGAGCAATCCTGGGTTGTTTATATCTCTGAACAATTATGTTAATCTTTTCGTGTCTTTGTGGGGAGGAGACAAAACAAGACTTTTGGTGGTATAGCTGTAATCTCTAACTTCTAATCAATACAAATACATAGAAGCGGGTATAAGACAACAAGAAAGTACAAAGTGTATAAGCTCTATATGAACATGCAGGAAAGTCTCAACAGAGACAAGGAAAGGGTATGTATGCAAAAGAAATATTAAATCTCGTATATATAGAGACCGAGAATAGATTAGAAGGGGCAGGGTATGCAAGAAGAAGATATTACAAGGACGTATTCTTGTACTCTGCCTGCTTAGCACCAGTACTAGAAGAGACGCTAGGAGCCGTCTCAATGGAGTCATCAGACTTGGGCCGGGCACGCCAACGCAGGTACCACGGGGTATCGAAAAGATCACCCATGCGCTCGATCGGCACACCCTTAGTCTCAGGCATCCAGATACCCAAGATAACTAAGCCAAGAGTACAAATGATAGCCCAGAAGAGATAGGCGCCCCACACATTCAACGAGGCGAACATATTAGGCGTGACGCGGACGACGGCAAACTGGAAGAACCAGTGCAGCGACATGCTGATCGCATAACTCACGTTCCGGATACGGGTGGGGAAGATCTCCGTTCCGTAAAGGTAAGGGATGGTACAGAGGCCGATGGACCAGCCGACGGCGTAAACGAAGACGGAGGCGATGGCGGCGTCGGACGCAGATTTGTTGTCGGAAGAGCCGGGTTGCAGACCCATATAGACGCCCATGTAAATGTGGGCCGCTAGCTGGAGACTGAGACCCGCCAAGGCGCAACGGCGGCGGCCGAACAAGTCAATTAGCCCCCAGGTGAAGGCCATCGTGAAGACCAGCTTAACGATGCCGTAGGCGCCGGAGCTGATCAGCGAGGTCGAGTTGCCTGTTACACCGGCGTACTGGAAGATCGTCGAGATGTAGTAGGTGATGCCGTTGCCACCGGTCCATTGGGCGATTGTGTGCATCGCGATGAGGAGCCAGAAGCGCTGGCGGTAGTTGGGGTTGGTTTGCGTTTCTTTGAAGGCTGTCCAGGGGGTGACGGATGCGAGATCGCTGGCTTTGGCGCGTACTTGGGAGTCAATTAGGGCGAATTCGGCTTCGAGTTCGGGGTCGTTAATGTCTTTGCCGCGGAGGCGGGCGAGTACCGCGCGGCCTTCGTCATGTTTTTGTTTGGAGACTAGGTAGCGGGGTGTTTCTGGTACAATGTAGGAGGCTATCACGGCGAGTCCGACTGGGATTAGGGGGATGGCTTGTACCAGTCGGTACTGTGTCCGGGTTGGGGCCATGTGTTGGTTGGCGCCGTAATTAATAAAGAAGCCTATTTTCCAAGATTGCCGAGATTAGCTTCCGCAATCCAAGCTTTGTTGGATCTATTGATAGGATATTAAGACTTACCCATAGCCAAAACGGCCAGTAAGATGACCATGTAACAGCTAACCACAAGTCCTCTAGTTCTTGTGGGGGCTAATAAGCATTAGCAATGTAGCTCCGGGGTGTCTCAGCTTAAGATGCACCACGTACCAATCTCAGACAAATATAGCGGTGTCGTCACGGTCAGAGCTCCGGCTCCCAGACCGCTCCAGATTCTCGCGAACAGCAAGAGGCCATAGATGCCCGAAGAGAAGACCTGGATGAACAGGCCCGATGCCCATACCAAGCAAGCCAAGCGCCATGAGTTTAATCTACCGAATCGGTCGTTCAGGTCCAGGGCAAAGAGTGCGCCGAAGGCAGCACCCAAGACATTGAAAGAAGTAATATTAGCACTGCGGTTGGCAAGCCCCGTCTTATCGTGGGTCCAATTGGATGAGATGAGGTTGTAGTCTTCTTTGAACGAATCCAATTTCACACTAGCGCTGAAGCCACCCTCGTCATAACCTGCAAGAAGCACGCCCGGTCAGAATTACAATGAACATATATATTATATGGATCAGGATCATGGTATAACTCACCTTTGGGGATACTGCCACAAGCAATAATGAAGATAACGAGAGCATAATAGGGGTGGGTCTTCCACCGGGACCAGTCTACCATGATGGCGATTGGACGGCGAGAGGATTAAGGGGACGCAATGGAATGTGATTTGTTCGATTATCCCGAGATCGAAAAAATCCGGGGAAATCAGACGATGACAACAGCTAAGCGATCCTTCGATATAGTATTATTACTACCATCGGTATAAGGGGGGGGCAGTATAAACGAGGGACGGGTACTCTCCGAACTGGAGACGGGAAGAGGACCTTTTCGGCGCGATGGGGGCAAACGGACGGCGAAGAGTTTTAAAAGAGGGCTTCCAGGTCACGCCCCTTCCGCCTCGGTCAACTTCCGCTCTGTCGCCATGCATCTTCTCCTCCTTCAATCTAAAGTTTTACTCCTCACTTGTGTAATGACATGAAGATCTTCTCAGATTCATTGAATCGTGCTGTTCTAGGCTACGCCGTGCAGAAAAAAGGCAGAAAAATTACTGCATCTAGTCATCTGTCACTCGGGGAATGCGGCATTAGGAGCTTTAAGAAGAACGTGTGGACTCTCTTCCAACTTGGCACGGTTCAGGGCGTGGTCGTTGTCGGCTGTCTCCGCTCATATTAATCCACTCTCCCTTCGCCTAGTACGTGGAAGGACTGAGGAGAGAGACCCTCACGGCTGCTGGGGATCTTTACACCGTATACAGAGTACGCCATCGATAGAAGGGATGATTGTTTTTCCTACAGTAACCAGCAGTGACACCTGAGATATCACCCTACCATTGGTTCACTCATTCGTATAACTTCCGGTTAGATCGGATTATCCGAAGCCCCCGGGAAAGAGTATATCTGATAGTATCCGCAGTCTGCTGAACTCCCTCACGGACAACCTCCGTTGTCAGCATGCCTTACTTAAGGCTTCAAGGAGAGTAGATAGCCACCTCCCCTGTGGGTCACTGACTGATTCGTCCCTTTTTAAATTTTTTTTTAACCCTCTCTTCCTGCCTTGCGTCCGGTAAAGCAAACGGGAAGTTGGCGAGACTAAATCCGCTGCTGTAAACCTGTTATTATAACTTGGCGGGCGTGGAACTAAATATGATATTCCTACGGACTTGTCTATCAACGAGGGCAGTCGGGAGAAAACCCCCAACTATCTTAGTGAGTTGAGTCCTGACTATTCACCGTTTTGGGTCACTATATACAATCGGTGATACTCTTATCCTTGTCATTGTTGCACGACCCTTCTTCGTCCTCTCGCCTTTGAATAATACCCGGCCGTTCTCTGTTCAACATGCTTACGTCTGTCCAGCCTCGACCCGACGTCCTTGGTTCTCGTGCCTCCTTGTCCACCTTCCAAAAGGGGGAGCTGTTCGCTTTCGGTAGAGATGAACAGAAACCTGTGCATGTTCTTCCGTTAAGGAAGAGGCTTCCTGCCAAAGCATGGGATACACATATGCATGTCGTTGAGCCTCATCGCTTTCCGGTTGATGCAAGTGCAGTATATCAACCCTCGACACATACTATCGAGGAGGCTCTAGCGTTTGAGTCCTCACTAGGAATCGAGAATATCGTCCTTGTTCAGCCATCAATATACGGACATGACAATTCCTGTCTTCTGGAAGCGCTCAGGCGTATCGGTCCCTCTCGCGGGCGAGGGGTGGTGGTGATTGATCCGATGAACACAGATATCCAAACATTATCCAAATGGCATTCACTAGGCGTGCGTGGAGTACGTGTGAATTTGAGATCAGTAGGGAAAGTGATGGACCAGGATGAACTAGCACAAACGCTGTTACAACATGCGGAGATTGTCCGTCCGCTCGGCTGGGCTATTCAAGTCTACGTCCCCCTCGAAATGATCCCACTGCTCGAGCCTATTGTCCCACAGCTTGGTGTCAAACTCTGCATCGACCACTTTGGTGGCCCAGACCTACTATCGACGAACTGGAAAGATGGAGTCTCGTTCGACCCCTATTCACTGCCCGGGTTTTCATCCCTAGTTTCCCTTCTCCGAGCGGGAGACACATATGTGAAAATCTCTGCACCATATCGGCTCAGCAAGGACCATGAAATGCGAGACATTGAGATGATGGCCCGAGAACTTCTCCGAGAAGCCCCAAACCGCGTACTTTTCGCGACGGATTGGCCGCATACACGATTCTGGGGGACCGATATCGCCCCGTTCACAGAACTGTGTCTACGGATATGCGGGAACGATTCCGTGTTGACCGAGCGGGTGTTTCGTCGGAATGCCGAAGAGTTGTTGGACGCACAAACTATGGACTGATTGAGGGTACCTGGCTTGGAGGCAAATTACAGGGTTAACGAGTTACGACTATTTACCAACCATTAGACTAATCTTTTACGCTACAATATTATGAATATGGACAAATTTCACAATTCACAATGTAAATGACGTTGAGTACTACGTCTCGGACAGGTTCCGTCGGCTGAAGGAGTGTGGAGACGGACGACGATTCACGCTAAATTTGCATGGACAGGGTTTTACTCCGAGGGCATCACTGCATACTGTATAGATTTGCACTCAGTGCCACTCACTTTATCCGATAATACTTGGCCATCCTCTCGCTAGTTCTGGCTCACTGAATATACCCGAGCATACCCCTAGCATGGCAAATACGGGAGAACGAATATCCTCAATACGATCGTATATCTTACCATGTAGTGTCCTTCTGCTGTCTGACATTCACTTACCACAATCTCTTTTACTATTCTCCGCGTGGTCCAGGATACGTGAAATGATTGGTTGAAGACACGGGCTGGGATATAGTCGCTCGTTTGTTGAAGATTCCAGCAATACCTGAAAGACCGCGCAAACCCATTTTGGCATGAGTACGTGGTAGTGATCAGACAAGTATTGGAACACTATGTGCAATGTTTGTTGAAACACTTATTCACAGAGGAAAATCAGAAAAGGTTACAGTTGACTCAATATATATAGTATAGTATATCAGGGCGATATCATAGCATGAACAGAAATTGTTTGAGAACACTTACCTCGTTAGATCCTGAAAGATCTAAAGATGATTTAGCTGTTTATGTTTGTTCGTTCTTTCTCCTCTCATAAAAGAAAAAATTAAGATCTGCAGTGATGTCGTATACTATGTATGACATTTGCAATTACCCTTCGTAAAGTACATCCACGTAGAAGATCTCGGAGGGTCATGTTCCGTCTCCTGGTCTTTATCAACACCAAAGCCCTAATCAGGTGTTCAGCCGACCTGTGACGTTGAGATAGCACAAAGCAATAAGTGGTGCTAATTAAAAACATACTTCGTAGTACATCTAGTCTCTTAATTTTTTCAACAGCTCAACCCTGTCCTAGCCTGAAACAACCAGACTCCACAGGCAACAATGAATCCAACGATCCCACCCTAACCAACCCCCCAAAAGCCCTTGTATCAAGCCTCATCAGCTACATCGACAACACTCACCACCAGAATACCACAACTAAAGGAATAGTCCACTTAATCCACGGCTTCATCTATGACCCTCCTTGTTTGTGGATGTGGCTTTGGGGCTTGTGGGGAGGTATTCTTAGAAAGAGAGCTTGGTGTGTTTTGCTTATATCTGGTGATTTCCTTTCTTTTCTTCTTTCTGTTTAATGAGGGAAGTGTAAGTACTTGGTGTGGCTTTTAATTGACCATTGTCCGGGGATGACGAGGGCGAGTATATGGCAGATTAGTATGTATTAGTTTTTCTGCTGCTTTCTGGGTCGTTTAGATTGTTGGAAAACAGTGGGCGCTTTTGGGTAGACTTGACCTTGAAGAGAGTATGAATGCCCCTTCCAGAGGTACTCATCGCTATAGTCCTCTATGCTACAAATTTACTCCAATTCTATGTTTTGGAATTTAACCCGTGATTGAAGAAGGTTCCTACGAAGTTCATGATTGTAGAAATCTGTTCTTTGCGTAGGACAACCCAGTTACCATCTCGATACATTGCAAATGCGATCATTACTTATTCCAACTTAATCTCCATTGGCTTCAAAAGCTCCAGGTTTGTCAGAATCGTCTTCTTGGCACTATCCTCACGGCGAGACCGTGATCCACCCTTGCCTTGTCCCAGAAGAGTGACCGATTCTAACAAACTGGCGTGACGCTCAAACTTTCCATCGATATGAAGCACACCCCTGCGATACTCGAATTCGACTTCTAGAGTGGCCTTTTGCTCCAAGGAGTCACCGTCATCCAAGTACAGGCTGCCAGACGCAGTGCCATCCAGTCCCGGTGCGATGATGAGTTGGAAGCTCTTCTCGCGAAGCTCAGTCGTGGTCATGGCACTTGAAGACCGGATGGGAATAATGCTGCCTCCACGGATGTGCAGGGGAATGTGGGTGATATCGATATGGCTGAGTGTGATATTTGCGCCATGACCACGAACGGGTGTGCCTGTGTACCAGTCGTAGAAAATATCATCGGGGAAGTATGCATCGACCGAAGTAAGGCCCTTGTCGGGGACTGGGCTGACAAGAAGGGCGTCACCGTAGAAGAACTGCAAGTCGATAGAGAAGGTATTCTCATCCTCGGGGTACAAGTAAAATATCGGCTGCAAGAATGGCTCGCCAGTCTGCGACTGCTTGTGGAACGAGGTGTAGATGTAATCGAGAAGCCGGTACCGGATGTCGATAGCCTTGCGCGCGGATTCCGCTACTGTGGGCCAGACGTAGAACTCCTGTCCAATGTTACCGATCTCATTATGGTTGCGGTAGAAAGTAAAGAATGCCCCCAAGGAGGCCCAGCGAGCGCAAAGCTCCTCGGTTGTGTTACCAGCGAACCCACAAACGTCAGCTCCAACCATAGGGACCTGGAACATTGATGCAAAAGCAAGCCCCTGGGCGATGCTAATCCGGTAGTGTTCCCACTTGCTAAAATTATCACCGAGCCTGTTGTATGTTAGCTACAGTTCTCATCCTGGATGTACCCAACGTACCAGTGTCCAACGTCTCGTCCTGCGCCCGCGTAAGTGCTGCGGGTAATAACCAGAGGCCTCACATCGGGGCGACGATGCTGCATAGCTTCACGAGAACTGGAGCTCATCACTAAGATGGATTAGCCTAAAGTACAGGCCCTCGGGGTCTCATATATACTCACTCGTTCCATATAAGTTGTGTGTATCATATTCTACGTATCCTTCTCCGGCATGAACGATACCAGTGTTGATGGTTTTGTTGCTAAGGGACCCGGCCGCGTTCCGGATTTTGTATGGTGGACTAAGTAAATCGCGGCCCTCAAGTCCGAGCTTTGCCTTGAAGATTCTCTTCTGAGAACGGCTGGCAGAGGAAGGCTGGAAGTCGGCAGGAAAGCCAGGCAATGGACGAGGGCTGCTTGACCGGACAGGTGGTGGTGCAGGTGGAAGATTGTTCTCATAGGAATATTTTTCTGGATCAGTACAGGGGTCTGGGCAGAAGTTTGAGGCCTCATTCATGTCGATCCATAGGCCATCAATGTCGACACCGGTCTCTGCGTTGAAGAAGGTACTAAATTCAGAGTTCCAGTAGTCCTGAATGTCAGGGTGAAACCAATCTGGATAAGCAGTCACACCAGGCCACACGGCACCTGATCCTGTCTCAATATGTTTTCATTTATCCTGGGTGGTCGTGATTTCATACCTTTGTACAAACTTCCATTCTGAGTCTTTAGGAAGACACCCTGCTCGAGTCCCCTGTTGAAGGCCCCGTTGTCTGGAAAGAAATAATCAATCAATTGTTTTCTTAAAAGAGGATAATAGCTACTTACCGCTCACGCTAACAGCAGGATCAACCATAACAATGTAATGCTGATCGTGATCATGAAGATAACCGACCAACTCACGCATCTTCGCCAGGGGGAAGCGGTCTGGGTCAAGAGAGAAAACTCTCCTTCGGTCCATGTAGTCGATGTCTGTCCACATAGTCTCCAGGGGGATGCCTGCCTTGCTATAGTTATAGACTACCTCCGCAACCTGATAGACGTCACGGTAGCCGTACCGGCATTGATGCAACTATTAACCATAGGTTAGTCAATGCACTAGAGTCTTGAGAAAATCATAGAATAAGTGTGTGGATAGGGTATCGCATACCCCAAAAGTCCAGTAACTCTGCATAGCAGGAAGGCCGACAATCTTAGAGTACTCTATACTGGCTTCTTTTGGATTCGAGCCAGTAAAGAAGTAAAAGTCAAAAATTCCTCCTAGGGCGTTATACTCAAGGTATTGCTTGCCGTCTGCCGTCTTATCGATGAAGACGTCCATCCCGTTAGAGTTCAGCAAGAAGACACCGTGAGTTCCGGATTCACCGCGATGGTCGTAGTACACAGGATGAGTGCCGTACAAATTGCTATTTTCGGGAGTACCATAGGCGTCACGATTCCAGAAGGTACGTGTGTAGTTGGTCGTAGACAGGCGTAAGGAGTCGGTATGCTCTCCAAGACCATACAAATGAGGGTTCTCTGGGAGCCAGGTGCGAAGCTTCAGATATTGCGACTGAAATATAAGATTTTCTGCAGAGCTGTCGAACAATACTTTATCGTCTCTTTTAACGGTAAACGAGAAGGGCTCTTCCTCAAACTCAAACTTAAGTGCGGAGTCTTTGCTAGAGCCATCGCCACTGTCTACACGAGGGACCACCTTTTCAGGCACCTGGTACACACACTCTTCGGCATCATATATCTTGACATGAAGACGCTCATCTAATCTGATGCTTAGCAATGGAGTTTTTCGAAAAAGAAAAGGGCGGTTGTTCCTACCAGTCTGGTACTCTACCAGAAGCTTGAGGTTCTGCAGGTCTGTACCATAGGTATTGCAGGGTTTTCCTGCGAGGGTTAAGTCGGCCGTCAAAGACCGATCATTTTCCTGGACATTGGATGCCTTGTATCCAGGGCACTGCTGGGTGTCCGCTCGTGACCCAATCACGGCAGCCCCGGCCAAGGAGGCACAAAGTAGGAGAGAACCCAACATCGGGTTCAGGGTGAGGTTGATGTTGAAGGTTGAGTGGGTGCAGCAAGAATCCAGGGTCCAGAGCGAGCGGAGAGTGACTATTTATAATGACAAGACATGGCAGTTGACTTTATGGGAAATGCATGGATGGGTTACATTTCCACGTTAGCCCAATACGGATATAAGTGGCGCACTATTGTATGACTGCTCACATCAACTGCATCACGGTCAACCCAAGCGGGATAATCGGAAATTGGAGGTGAGCCGAAGCTTACACTGGCTCGGGAATCGGCCGGAACAGAAGCAAACCAGGAATCAGGATAAGAACAAGAATATGGGGGGTACTGAAGTAGCACGAGGGTAACTATGCGGCGAACCCTGTCCATCTCGCCCAAATATCGGGTATTCTCTATAGGTGAGGGTAACTCACTCACCCACGAGATGGAACGCAATGACGACCTTCGAGTAACCTCAGCATGTTTGTTGATTCTTGGCTCAAGGTCAAGGAAAGGAACATGATAGAAAAGAGATCGAATCATTATAATGTTGGGTGGGACACAAAAAGAATTCTAGTCAACCCCGAACAATGAAAATTACCCCACATTTCCCCGCATAGATGAAATAATTGTATATTATATTATTATATTAATGATCTCTTACTCTAGACCCGAATCGCCGCTCATAGTGGATAGTTCTTATGATCTGTTTAACTATTAAATAATCAGTCGACGGGAGTAAACTGATTAAATACGAAATTCGGATTTATAACCTCATGTTGTACTGAGTCAGATTAAGAATATAGAATCCGATACTTCTCACGTGCCCGCCAGTGCTTAAATACACACACAATGGAATTCTAAAAGAACGACCCACATAATACACTGCCCGTATAGTCTAGAACTACTCGAGAAGGGCTCCTCACTGACAGTATCGGATTTAGCCCTAAAGACAACAAGTTTCCAGGCTGATATCACTATGATAGAATAGATCGACATATTCTAACTCCTTTTAGAGAGTGGATCAACCCTCGCCTGACCCGAGATGGCTTAGCGTTGAGATTTGAAGCATGAAGAACTGGTGTTCGAGTCAGCTCGACAAAGTACCGCCACCACTGCCGGTATATTTTGAAGCTCCTTATCCAGACATATTTCTATCCATCCTCCAGGTAAATTGTTCATGCGTTCTAAGATAACATGATGCCCGGCTCGACGAATTCTGAACGCTTGCCACAACACTCTTGACAACCTCGTGTCAGTCGAATAAGACAGGTCACTCCACCGGTAGGTTTGATCGGCAAGTATCGAGATTTATTCCAGGCTGAGCTGAAGCGTGGATCCCGCCTCCTCATGGCAGACCAGTCAGCTTCTGCCAGCTTCAGGATACGGTCCCTACTAAGAGTACTATTCGATTTTCTGCGGGCCTATCAACGCTTGCTGCCCAATGACATGACGTGTTTGTGAATTGTCGGTGAAAATGCCATTTCGACTTTCCTTACACATTGCTCAAAAGGGCGGCGGTCTCGTCCCTACAACGTGTTCTCGTCGAAATCATTGAGACTTTTCCCATGGCAATCTTCACATCATTTGAGCTCGAAGCGGCTACGCAGCAGCCTTCACCGTTAAAGTCTGTGCAGATTAAAGACCGCCCGCGACAGGAACCACCATATCGTCGGGCAGTTCTATGTTTCATCGTTCGAGGTGCCAATATAGAACCAGAATTGCCAAAGAGTCCAAAGCCAAACAGTGCTCAGGTTCGGAAAAGCGATAGGGCTACACTACCATGGTTCGCCCCACAACCCTTCATACTCTAAGTACTATTAGTTCTGATAGATAAATTGCCATAGTGGCCCTCTAGAGACCCTACTAGGGATAATCGAAGATAACAGTTCGAGTCCTGTGGATACCGCCTGGAAGACGATCAAAAAGCAGACAACCATACCACCATCCTCACTCTCTGTTTTTCGATATGGAAAGAGCTTTTTTTCGGAGACTTCATCTATTGGCCAAAAATGCCTCTTTTATCCGTTCGCATTCCATCTCAATACATTGTCAGGTCTCAGCACCGAGGTAGATAACTCACGTCGTAATCAAAGTATGGGTGGATGGGATAACCATGAGTCGAATCTGTATGACTTATTGGACAGCCACTACTACGGACAGGGTTTGCGAAAAGTTTGGTTCGAAATCGACCTTGGCCCAGCGCCAGGAAAGATGTTGGCGAGTGGTCTGAAACAGCTTCAACACGATCATGAAAGTGGCGCACGAAAATTAGCTGCTGTTTCAGTGAACATCCTTCGGGCGGTCTTGGTTCACCTTGACGACCCCATCACTCTCAGTGGCACATGGTGGCAGAAAGCCAGGATGACAGCCTGGCATCTCTGGAAAAACGGGCGTCAAAGTATGGACGCGGCCATTCTCAGCTTTCTGTTGATGGCATTGACTGAGATTGAGGCGTTTTTATTGACCACGGGACCCGAGGAAACTTGCGACAAGCTGCACATCTCCGAACTCTTCGACCGGATTCAGAAAAAGATACGATCATATAAGCTTCGCCTTAGCTACAATTTCGGATCATACGCGATGTCTAAAATTAGTCGAACTGGTTCTGTACCTAAACACTTGAAAATCTTAACACTATCTGCAAGTTGTACCATTCGTGAATGCATTGCACAGTTGGCACAGATCTCCGACGCCCAATCAATCGAAATCCGCGTTTTAGAATCACGCCCGTTATTTGAAGGTGTTTCACTGGCATCTTCACTTCTAGAATATCTTGAGAACGAACCGAACATCCCCAAAGTCAACGTATCTATTTTTACCGACGCTTCAGTCGCCCTTGCAGCTCAGGATGTCGACTTCCTTCTGCTTGCAGCAGATCGCATTGCAGCTGATGGGTCAGTTAGTAACAAAACCGGATCTTTGCCGGCAGCTCTAAGCGTGCGGCATGTCTCGCCCTCGGCAGGCATTATCGTCGTGAGTGAACTCGATAAAGTCGCGATGCAGAGCTGTGATACAGAAGCACATACCATGGAAAATAATGAGTCATCGGAGGTTTTGGACGCCTGGCAGCAGAGCGAGACCGTCAAAGGGCTCGGCGTCATTGAACAGAAAATTCAAAGGAAGGGTCGACAGGTTACAGTCAACGTACCGAATGTTTACTTCGAATGGGTCCCTCCAACATTGATAGACGCCTACATCTGTGAAGATGGTGTCAAACTCCCATCTGATTTTCGAAAACGGTCACAGTGGATAAAAGAGCAATGTGAGAGATATTTTGATAACAACTTGTGATTTTGAGCACTAGAAGCGTATTGTAATCCAGGTAACATTTGAAGAGGAGGGAACATGATATTATGAAAGCTTGATAGCAATGCGAGCCGATAAATTCGTTAATGCTACATTGATCTTGTCCGAAGCCCATTCTTCCCGCATCCCATCCAGACGGAGTCCCTTGAAACCCTGAATTCACGGTAATTAATGTTAAAAAAAATGTAGATCATGGATCTGCGAAGATGATCGTAATAGCATCTAATAAACGGAAAGGTTTCACCGAGATTATAGCAGTGCTACCATAGACGGGTCAGACTCTCAGTAAAGCCGCGTCTCAAACCCGAGTCGAGATGAATATTTTCTCATGTGGATACTGATAGATTTGGATGCGAGATAGTTATATGTTGGTGTTGACGCCCTCTTTTGTTCCTGTAGTCTCAAGAACTCGACTTGGTTTTAGGAATCCGGGTAAAAGCGATCATATAGTAAGTAGTGGGGACAAGATCCTCCCAATACTAGCGTCCTCGGCGCATGCACCGCGACCACAGTGGATAATAAATCTCTCATTTGTCTTAGCAAGTTAGCCTACGTTGAATTGCCATCATCTCCACTTCATGCTGGCTTCTTAAGCTCAGCGGCTTGAGTCATGCGGACCGCACTTTTCAATGCCTGGACATCCACTTCTTCGGCATGCAACCCGTCCCCATGGACCAGATTAATGTGCGACCACGAGGCGAATCGAACAAATCAAGCAGCTCAAGAGCTATATTAGGGGTTCAGTATAACAAGGGTCCATCAGGCCATGCTGGGTTTCACCACCGCAAACCGTCTCAGGTGCTAACGAGAGAAATACGTAGTCCAATAATTGAATCGGCGATGGAGCGAATACGGAAGAGTTCTGTGTTCTTTGATCGCCCTAGTCCCTTCGAATTATATTGCTCTCATATTAATATTAATTTCAATCGGTCGTTTAATTTCCCACCCTTGACGAACGGTTCTAGTCTGCTCCAGAGGCGTACACACACAGAGAGAGAGAGAGAGTAGATCGCCGCCGGTACGCGGCTTATGATCTCCCTTTCCAACAACTACCAATGGGAAAATCATGCTGGGTGGCTAGACCTAGTTCTTTCGTAATAAAAATGATTTTGCCTTCTTTGCTGTTTGCTTGTCATGGACGGAAACACAAGGAATAGTCCAAATAAGCCTACATCCGCATTCCACATGGTGACCCCAGCATCGCCCCTATCACTTTGCGTGCAATGGCCCATTTTTCGCCGGACAGCTGGACTCCAGCGGTCAATGTTTTGACATGGTTTCTGCTGGTGACGGCAATTCTGAGCGTCATCACTCGGCTGGGGACCAAATACTGGATCTTTCGCAAGTTCACTGAAGATGATTACTTCAGCATCACTTCCTTGGTATGATTTGACTTGGAATCTGGCGGAAGATGTTATGTGATATGGATGCTGATTCCCACCAGGTACTCTGCGCTGCGCAGTCCATCGCCGTGTCGATGGCGACTGCCAACGGGTACGGGGAGCATTACGAGAGTTTGAGTAGTTCCAGCATTGAAGAAATGATGAAGGTGAGCAAGACACGCATCTCCTTGGATATTTGTACTCATAAGAACTAGTCGCAATACTCAGCGAATATCCTCTTCATCTTGAGCATGTGTTTCTCTAAACTCGCTCTCATCAGCTTTATCGATAACTTGACGCCTGCTTCTACAGACCACCGCATTGCAGTTGGCCTGAAAATGTTTACTCTTGTTTGGGGGGTGGTGGGCACCATAACCTCAGCTTTTCAGTGTAAGCCGCCTCGAACTTGGGACTATCTGCATGGGAAATGCTGTAACATTGTGGGTGATGTCCCTTTTCTGCATTCGGATAAATGACTGACGGGGTCAACAGAATGGCTGGTGGAATTACCTTGGCACTACGAATATCTTGTCAGAATGTGGTATGATTGTGCAGGCAATGCTAGTAATTGTACGCATACAGACGCATATGAAGAAAAAGGCCGTCTTGGCCGGGGTGTTTCTGCTTCGGGTCGCGTTCGTACTATCCCGGTATCTCCCGTCGCCTTAGCCTCATACTGACTTCGTGCGCAGAGTTATTATTATGATTGTCTGCCAGCTTGTGTACGCTACTAAAACTGCCGATCCTCCCGATCCATCCCATGAGACTTGGCCCGTGGCGATATCCACCCAGCTAGTTCAGTCTTTAAGCATTGTCACGGCCTGTTCGCCCCAGTTCAAACCGTTCCTTGACAGTCTGCGCTCAACGGGGATGCGCCTTGATGGTATGACAAGTTACGGTCACTCGCAAAAGGGATACGGCTCATACGCCGCTTCGCGTGCCCGGAGTCGAAGGGGCACAGACCACAGTGATGCGCATGAGCTTGTCCCCCTACCGATGCAGGATACCCACCAGGCTACTGTGACTACCTCGACACCATCGCTGGGGTGGGATGGGGAAAGCCAGTCGAGCCAGACACATATTATTCATGAAATTAGGACTTGGACGGTGACCGAGGTACGGCGTAGTTTCGCCGAGAATTCCAAGTAATGCGGTCGCACTCCTTAGGTCTCTTTTAGTCTCATGGTAAAAGTTAGATGATATGAATATTATATTAATGTCTTTCCACTCCATACACTATTTACCTCTCTGAACCTGGGTTTGGCCCAATGACTGGAGTCGTAAGATTCTAGATCCAGGGTCAGTCCTCAAAGTTTTCCACTTATATTGGGATGCATATTAATTCCACCGATGGGAGCCGAGCGGGACTCCTTGGCATTCTGGAATCTAGCTCAACCAACTAAATATCTTAGGGCGTCATCAGGATTTTAGCGGTACAACCGACGTGCCGTTTGGGTTGATCGCGAATTGTCCGTTGTGGGGCCGCAGGGGATTAACCGCGAGTGATATACAACCTCAATATACCAGGAGAGCAGTTTAGTCCTATTAGATATTAGTACGTGTTCAACACAGACTTGTGTCCGTCTGAGGTAGTGTTCGGGGAGGCAACTGGCTTTGCGAAACCCTCCGAGGATGCTACGATTCAGAGACATCGCCAGGCATCTTAGGGTTAGCCCCTACAAGGGTCTACAAACTCATCGACAAATTAATACAACCCGTTATAGCCGCTGGTAGTCAGGGATTATAAAGAGGTCTGATGTTAATTGACCTCCCTATATAATAGAAATTGTTTTACGAGAAGGGTCGGACTAGTTCTTAGACTAAGTATTTCCATTTGTCTTGCAGCTCACTTTTAAGTAATGACCGAGTAACTTGCATAAAAGACAGGGATTGCGGTTAAACATTCCACATTCCTTCCTAAACATGGCCAGATACCCGCACTTTCGTTTCTTTTTCTTAAATGTTGGGTGTCTGGGTTTCTTGCTATCTATAACGGCTGTTTTGACAGATTTACCCCCCAAGGCTCCTCCGTTACATTCTTTCCAGAGCCATTTGCTTCACCATGGCCTCCCATGAGCTCAAGCAAATGGCGCCTGCCACTTCGCACGAGGTAGAGGGTCGCCTCTCAAGTAAAGAGACAGATGATGTCAATTTGATCCGCTTGGGCAAACGCCCTGTCTTGAAGGTATCCCTGCTATACAATTGTCTACGCTTTCTGACCCTTGCTTATCATCATTAGCGAAATTTCGGCTTAATGTCAATGCTGGGTTTCAGCTGCACGATTCTCATCACGTGGGAAGGCATTGTCGTGTACGTCCTTTACATCGACGAACTAGAGTATTTGGCATGATCGACCTTACTAACAATACAATCAGACTATTCTTGCAGGCATTTCAAAAGTATGGTGTCAACCCGCTATCCATTTATTCAGTCCGATGTTAACAGAAGTGGTTCCAGTGGAGGCCCAGCAGGAGCCGTGTATGGCTTCATCTTCGTTTGGGCCGGTGTTGCAGCGACCTTTGTGGTTTTATCAGAGCTGGCATCAATGTATGAAACAATCCTATCGTGGTAAAGGCATTCTATAATGACAGCTTCTTAGGGCACCAACATCCGGCGGTCAGTATCATTGGTGCTCTATGCTGGCACCTCCGTCTGCAATGAAGCTCTTCAGCTACCTAACAGGTGAGCACTTCATCAAACCTGCGAGAAACTTATTCATTCCTACTCTTACACCACGACTCAGGCTGGCTCACGGTCATCGGATGGCAAGCAACGTTTGCAACTTCGTGCTTTCTTTCTGGAACGCTCATCCAAGGCCTTATCGTCCTCACAAACTCCAGTTATGAGCCCAAGAACTGGCATGGGACTCTCCTTTTTTGGGCCGTTGCTGTTTTCTCCGTGGGTATTAACAGCGTGGGAGGGAATCTGCTGCCCCGTTTCGAGGGCCTCATCCTCATCCTCCACATTCTCGGTTTCTTCGCCATTCTTATCCCCCTAACATACATGGCGGATCACTCAAGTGCGCAGGAGGTGTTCACCCACTTCCTGAACCTGGGCGAATGGCCCACGCAGGGCTTGTCATTCTTCATCGGTCTAGTCGGTTGTGTATTTGCATTCGCAGGTGGTGACGCTGCTGTTCATGTGCGATTCTTGGTTTCAACTGCCAATGAGAATAGATGCTGACTCTTATCTGCAGATGTCTGAAGAAATCACAAACGCGCCCGTTGCTGTCCCACGTTCTATCATGCTTAGTGTTCTCATCAACGGAACATTAGGTTTCAGTATGCTGATCGCCATGTTGTTCTGCCTGGGAGATATCGACGCAGCCCTAGAGTCTCCAACTGGTTACCCTTTCATGGCGATTTTCCTCCAAGCGACGCACTCTGTGGCTGGCACAGCAACCATGGGCTCTATTATCACGACCATGGGAATATGCACATCGGTGGGCATGTTGGCTTCAACATCGCGGCAATTCTGGTCTTTCGCGAGAGACCGCGGAATCCCCGGCTGGCGCTTATGGAGCAGGGTATGTACATCGCAACCCCCATCCTCCATTCTGCCTTCAAACTCCCCCCCCCCCCTACTACACAATCAATCAATCACTAATGTGATTTCAGGTGACCCCCGAATCCGCCATCCCAATCTACTCCGTCGGCCTCACAACAATAGTAGCCTGCCTACTAGCTCTGATCAACATCGGATCCTCAGTCGCCTTCAATGACCTCGTCTCCATGTCTATCTCCGGCCTTTACCTCTCCTACATGGTCGTCGCCAGCCTCCTCCTCTATAGACGCTGCACAGGCGGCATCGGCAGCTCCAAAAGCAGCGACGACGCCATCGTCAACACGGCCGGCGCAAAGCTCGTCTGGGGCCCCTTCCATCTACCCGGTATCTGGGGTATCCTGGTCAATATCTTTGCGCTTATATATATGACGATCGCAGTCTTCTTTAGTTTCTGGCCGCCGCAGCATACGGTTACGGTTGATACGATGAATTTTAGTGTGGTTGGCACTGTGGGGGTTATCATCTTAAGTCTTGTGTATTATGTCCTAAGGGCGAGGAATGTTTATGAGGGACCTATTGTCGAGATGCATCTTTGATTCTTGTTAAGTGTGGATTTGTACTATACTATATATGTGGGTTTGAGATGATATAGTTAGTCCCTTTTTACTTGGGGAACTAATTTGTGACGTGACTTATATTCTTTTTTGTAAGCATGATGGTTTCTTCTCTACTATTGTTAGATTTTATGACTCTGAAGAGGACGAGGCTGGATCGACTGCTAATCTGTGTTCCCTATAAGTAAGCTACGCTTCCATGTCACTAGAATTCAGCCTGGGTAGCTACCGTCTCATGACATCTGAAAATCAAATCAGTTTTGGATCCATGAAAATACGGCGTGTGGAATCAAACGCAACATTTCCCGCCGTAACGCCTCCGCCTGTGCATAATATCTCACCTTCCTTGTATCGATCGTGTTCAGACCGACATACATGTCGAAGTACTTCCATCTTGAGGATAAATAGAGGTCGGCAGAAAAGGTGGAAGAGGCACATCACCATAGCTATTCAGATGCGAGTTGTTTTGGTGTGCTATATGAATTACGAACCGGTTTTGCGCCCAAGTAATCCACCTGATTTATTTTCTTCTGAATATTCTATTCTGTATTTTGTGGCTGTTGCGATCTCATTTGGTCCCGGCTTACAATGGCTTCTTGGTTTTGAGTTCTGTTAGGGTCTATAGGAGTAAAACGATCATGACGAGGTTTGTTAATTTCCACTAAGACTATCGTGAGCTTCCTATTTCATATGGTGCACGGGAGTGTCAGCAAAACACAGAACCTCCATCAATAGTATGCGTTATAGGGCAAACAGGTTACAGTAGTGATTCTTGAAAATGACAAGATAAGCTTCTATTGGAATCAAGTATAACGATATAAGACCAAGCCTTTGTATTCACATAACAGTATAGGAAAACCTAACTTAATAGGGAAACCCTAAGCCAAGGCTAAGAGAAAAGAGACTCGCGAAGAATTGCCCGTGAAGCCGCTCTTAACCGGGGCCTAGAATCTGAAATGGGCGAGGACAGTAAGCTGGTCATCTTAGGGTGATAAACCATATTTTCCTGTTAGCTGAATAAACCATGATCCTACTTCCTTATTCCTATATTTCAAGTGAGACACTAGCTTGGCTGGCGGCAATTACCGTCCAATATAATATGTATGTACATGAGCATCCGAGACGCCGTTGTGAATTCGTCAGCAGGATGACACCACTAGGCCGCGATAAGAAGTAACAGCACCAACTGCTTCTTGTTTTGTTGCAGGATCCTGAAATCCGGCTGACCACGTTCCCACTTCTTATATTATATACATTTGCGTATTTCTAGTCATCTTTCACACTAAGATAGCCACCAACCATTACTCTATGTGACTATTCGCTATTGTTCACGGGTGCTCGGTCTATGACTATAACGTCTAAGATATATTACTTTGTGACCGCATTTCCCTATTTAAGAATGTCTCTTAGATCTTCTGCTGTTGGTTCTTCAGGCTTCTAGCCAAGCCATGTGATAACAAATACGAAGATTGTAACTATATATTAGCGCTTACTTATCACGCCTGATCCAAGAGAAGACACTTCTGGATGTTCGCTCATTTGTTGGCGTGTCTCTGCCGTGTCTAAAGGCCAAGAAGTGAACGAATCAAGGGCCCGCGAAGGTAATTTGGCGGAATGAAGCATAGATAGAGTATATATGTATCACCTGCTGGTCTGGAATTTTGCCAAATTTTCTATCGTTGCTTCTAAGCTACACTACTGTTCTTCCCAGGTATTTTTTGGTTGATACAATATGCCACACGAAACGCCCACTATCACCGCACTCGAACCATTCCAGGTTCTTAGCAAAATCTTAGATTTTGCAAACGAGGACCAGCGAGACTGGTGGCAGAGTACCGGGCCAATGTTCGCAAAAATCCTAAAGGATGCAGGCTACAACATCCATGCCCAATACTCATACCTATGTCTCCACCACAAGTGTGTGGTGCCGTATCTGGGCCCCTATCCGGTCAGCGGCAGAGATCGATGGATGAGCATACTCAGTCGTTTTGGACTACCTTATGAATTGAGCTTGAATTGCTCTAATTCGGTCGTCCGGTTTGCATTTGAGCCCATCGGACCGTTATCCGGGACTGAGCAGGATCCCTTCAATGCACATGTCATCTGGGAGTGTCTTGGGAAGCTCGCGAAGCTGGGGTCTGAGGTTGATCTCCAGTGGTTTGCTCAGTTCAAGAAGGATTTGGTATTGAATGCAGAGGAGACGAAGTTCGTTCAAGACAATGGTTTGGACAAGGGACAAGTCAAGACGCAGAACAAGTTGGGTGTGGATTTGAAAGGTGGGAAGTTCGAGGTCAAGATGTACATTTATCCTTATCTCAAATCGGTTGCTACCGGCATTCCGATTGAGCAGCTCATGTTCGATTCGGTGCGAAGAGTGGACTGGCAACGGAAGCTGGATGGCCCGTTATCCTTTTTGGAAGATTACATCAACTCTCACAAGGACAAGACTCTTTCAGCCCGTCTCATTTCCTGCGACTTGATTGACCCGAGTCGCTCACGGATCAAAATCTATGTGGCTGAGCAGACAGTGGACTGGCCGCACCTGGAGGATCTTTGGACACTCGGCTACCGGTGTCAGGATGCCATCACTATCAGTGGCTTGCGACTACTCCAGGAACTATGGGATCTACTCAACATCCCTGAAGGTCCATGTTACTTTCCTGATGGCGGTTACTTGGAACTCGATTCCAAAGTCAACGAACGGCTTCCTTTGCTGGCCAATTATACTCTTCACCCAAACGATCCATATCCAGCACCGCAGATCTACTTCCATACATTTGGTGTAGGTGACGCGGCAGTCGCAGACGCCGTCGCTACATTCTGTGCCCGAAGAGGGTGGACGGAGATGGCTCAAACATACAAAGACAACCTCTTCTCTTATTAGTGAGTCGACACCCATGGCATCATTATTATAGATAAGCTAACGAATATCCAGCCCTGACGGAGACACCAATGGGGTGAACCACCTCCAATCATTGGTATCATTCTCCTACCGAGACCAAAAGGCCTATTTAAGCGTATACTTACACAGTTTCGAAACCGGTGGCTGGAGAAAGTCATGGTCCAGCGAGGCAATACAGGAACACCTTTAAGATATTGCCAAGTGTGCTCTCCTCATGTACGATCTATATTGGACAAAACTGTGCTTTAGGTTTGGGCCGAGTATTCATGTGGCTCCGTTAGTGTATGTGTGGACATCAGAGTTAGTGCTAATGAAAAAACGGACCCCAAAATCCATATTTCGATGGCCTTATAAAATTCCTCGTGTAGTCCGAGGCTTCTAAGGGAACAAACACCAATGCCTGTCCAGATGGAGCAGGGCACGAATGCCACCCATGTGAAAGGCCCACATGGCTTGTGTTTAAGCCCTTTGGAAGTCAATTACAAGCTGCGGCTTGTGCCCATTGCATATTCTGAGCATGCATGCATGGGGCGAGATCTGGACGGTCTTTGAGTAAACATCACGCATGGGAAGTTTGGGGGCGATGCCACTATATTATTTTACTTTCTTCTCATATATCCATATTGATAAGTAGTCAGGCTTCGTCGGCGATAGCTCCTTGCTTGGAGAAGATTTTATACTTTACCTTGAGGAAAACATGGAGTTGTTCAAATAAGACTTCTGCCATCAAACACTTGTTGAGATCATGAATGAAATGTCTGACAATAAGAGCACTTTCTCCCATCGGCGAATTTGGTGACACTTTGATGGTGAAAGCTGGTGGGTTATTACAACGGCAAATGGATTAAAATCAGCGTGTAATAATTTACATGCATGCTCTTCAAAATAAGCTAGCAACCATGGAGGCCTAAATCTCCCCCAAGGTCCTTGATGGGCAATCATATTAAAGCTGCCTTTGCAGTCCCATATTCAGATACGATGCGGAGTCGAAATATAATCAACGTGCCTACATTATTTCAATCCAAGACAAGAAAAGACACAAGCCGATGTTGAGAAGTTCAAGGAATAGAATTCATCTAGAATGTCTATAGTTCAAAGCAATATATCTAAAACGATCATCATAACATTACATGACTCATCATTGCAGAAAATGATATCAGAAAAAACACAGAAGGTATAAAACGTGACTGACTACCTTTAACACCGGGACTGAAGTTCGTTTCAGCAGTGATTGATTCAAGCAGAAGCGGCCTTCACATCCTCCTCGTTGCTCATGATCTGAACCTTGATAGCTCCCGTCTTGGGGTCTGCAGCAGTTTCGAAGGCCTTCAGAGCGTCCTCCAAGAGGAAGCGATGTGTAACAAGCTTCTTCAGGCTGATGACACCGTTCCTCACGAGGCGAATGGCGCGGGGCCAGGTGTTGCAGTAACGGTACTGGTATTGAAGGTCGATCTCTTGGGTGCTCAGGCGCATGAACGGAATCTTCATCTCGTTCTTGCCCACACCGATCACGAAGACCTTGCCACCGAACTTGACACTCCAAATAGCGGATGCGACACTGCTCTCGACACCGGTGCACTCCAGTGCCAGCTTAGGCTTCAGGGCATCAGGGGCGGAGCCCTGGCCATCGTTGAAAGCATCGATAATGCCTGCAGCGTTATCCTCGGCGGACAGGTTGGTCTGCACCTTGTAGGTGATAACGTCGGGAACCAACGACTTGGCGAATGCTAGTCTGCCTTCGTCGATATCGGTGATGACAATGGGTGTTGCTCCCGCGGCGCGGGCACTGAGGAGAGTGATCAAACCGATGGGACCAGCACCGGTGACAAGAACAGGGTCGCCCAAGCGAAGCCCGCTTCGCTCAATGGCAGCGAGAGACACACTGAGAGGCTCCAGCAAAGCTCCATCCTCATAGCTCATATCACCGATCTTGTGGCACCAGACAGCTGGGTGATTGACATAGCGCCGCAGCAAACCGTCCACGGGAGGAGTGGACAGGAAAAGCACTTTTTCACAACCGTTGTAACGTCCAGTTAAGCAAGGCTCGCAAGCGTGGCAGGGAATATTGGGTTCGACGGCGACACGGTCGCCTGGCTTGAGGTGGGTGACGTCGGAGGCAACTGCAATCACTTCACCGGCCGACTCGTGACCCAGGATATGGTCACCCGTGACAATCATGGGACCAATGCAACCGGCATGCCAGAAATGCACGTCAGATCTATTTTGAACACCAATCGTCAGTTTAAGAGCACCTCGCTAGGGAACTAAAGAAGTGCATACCCGCAAATTCCGGTACTGCGAACCTGAACTGTTACCTCACCGGGCTTCAAGCTCTCGCCACTCTTCACCTCCTCGAGTGTGGGTTTCGATTCTGCGACCCACAAGTCGTGGTTGGTGTTGGTATAAACACCAATGTTGGCCTTTTCGAGGACAGTTGCGGTAGCCATGATGTGCGAGGAACGAGATCTGGGTATTGACGGTAGGAGGATCGAGAGGAATGAGAGACTGCAGCAAGAGGGACAACCAGGAAGAGTAGAGGAACCAACAAGCTTTAATAGCTGCCCGATGGAGCTACCCCTCCAAGACTGGGAAAAGTGAAAAGGAGCATTGAAAATATTTTTTTTAGATCAGACCCAGCTTGCAAAGCCACTGAGGATCCTGATTGCGCATGAAAGACGGTCAACCATCAAGCCGATACTACTACTCCATTTTCCATAAATGCTCCATCTTCCTGCGGGACGGAGTGGAGGCATCGTGGCACCCATCACTGGCCCAGATTTTATTTAGCCGGTGCCCCGCGCCCGCGGGGGTTACTTCTGGGGCATCACCATTGGTCACCTTTTGAAGTCATGGTGCTCACTGAGTCTCCGGAGAATTGACCCATTACCGTATCTGGAGACTGTAGCCTCAGTATGACCGGGGCTTTGAACGGAATATCTTTGGCCGTCTTTCTATCGCAGAGACCTACTCAGAGTACTAATGTTTTAGGAAACTATAGGAACCAGGAGCGGGTTCGTGACCCCCGGCCATTGATAAAATAGGAAAAGTCTGCGCATACAAAGTATCTCTTAGGGAGAAACTTCTCTAGTAAACATGCCGACTAGTCTATAAATGGTGACAATTGTTGTTGACTGAAGCCCCGAGCATCGTGATGGTTGATTAAAATGCTTCTAGAACGAACGTTATTTGGTTGAGTTGATAATATATCCTCAAAATGGGAAGCCCATCAGACAAAGATAACACTTCTAAACTGATAGCTAGGTTATCTATCTCTATCTGAAACCAATATGCTGCAGAATAACATAGGGTTCTTTCGGTTAAATAGAGGATTTTAGCCATTGGTGATCATTGAACAACCACTAAACGCGCATTTTCGATACATCTTGCGCCTCCACAAGAAAAATGAATAAGAAAATCCGAATCCACAAGCATTATCAATTTTTTTGTCCAACAAATCATGTAGTTTTTATTGGTTTTGGTGCCTGGGCCAGAACCATAGTTCAGTGGGATTGTTCCCAGAGCGGCAATTCTCCGGTGGAAACGTCGCCTTCTTTGGTGGAGAATCCAGAAGGCCGTTCGATACTCTTGTATCCACCCCGACATGTTCACGGGTTCACTCGGCAACTCTCAATCCCTCTTCGGTCATGAAGTTGTGGACAGTCATAGGACGGATTTATTCATCCTCTCGGTTTCACTGTGAGCCGTCAGTCGGGTCTTCCGAAAAGTCATATGGTTCAACCTGTCTCGAATTGATGAGATGATGCTACATATCGAGGGTGCTCTCCGTCCTACAACTACATATAGAGAGTGGCAGTGCCCTAAAATAATATAGTTTATTGAAGACAAGCAAATCACAAAAAAGGCATATAAGATACAATAGCATTGAATTCTCGAAATGCATCAAGATTTGGGGATCGCGCCTCAAAGAGTCGTGCATCAAATCGACTCTCTATCTCAATATATTTGTTGATAGGTATACGCGCAGTATTTTTGGCACATAACTTCTTTGAGTCGCCGTTGATTAACGTGGTATTCTTCTATGACTTCCCCGCGTCGCGAATGATAATTGAGCAAACGCCTTTTACTGTAACATCCCGGATAGTGTTACTCCTAGGGCAATCTAAAGATGTCATGAATGACGCCGACCCGCTGCGATTGGCCAGCAGTTTTGTCAGTCCACTTGCCAGGGGCCTCTCTTGCTCTAGGAACTTCTAGAGAAGTTCTAGAAGAAAAGCTTAATGCATCCTCATACCATAATATAAGCTGCCTCAGGTATAGAGCCAATCTCACGCGAGAAACGCCTCGGGACCTCATTTTTCATACGCTATAGGGCCCTGTAGATAGCATGTCAGCGAATATATCTCACGTTTAAGCATCTGATCAGGGATTGCCGATAATATGAGCGTATAAAAGTGCTTCATCTCATGCACACTTTCGTTTTAATCTCAGACTTCATATATTGGAGTTTGAACATTGTTTGTCCAACGGTCCGAGACCACTCAGGAAGAGCCCACGGGGGTGATCGAGACTTGTATAGACAAGGCTCGCCAATCTCTAGAAAACAGCTAGCTCCATCTCTAGGAGGCTCGACCGAGTATTTCGTATGTCCTCAAAGATTTTGGTGGGGCCATGTTGTCGTCACAGCTATGGCTTTGGTGAATTCTCCCGCATTCTTAACTTTTGAGAGCTCTCAATAGCATAACTTTCAATGTTTGGATATTTCAATGCTCTGGTCTATTGGCAGTTGATATCGGGTCTCGGTTGCCTGCACTTGCTGTAAGTGGGAAGTAAATATATACATTGCGCCCAATTTATGTGATGCTTTCATGCTTTCCATGAAGAGCAATTGTCTGATCAAATTAGTTCCTATCAGGTCGCGCTTGGCTCCCTGAATGCATGGTTTACACGAAAGCCCGTCCTTCTAAAGTCTGCTGCAGTTTTTCGTCATTTGCAGAGATATCAAGTAAAGGTGCTTTATCGTGATAACAGAAACGACGTGTAGATCCATGCCGAATTAGCCAATAGTCGTTTTACGGAGTACTATGATGGCTTGCTTAAAGTCAGAGTAACCAAACGAAATAGCCATCAGTCGATGATTTGGCCAGTTTAACTTCGCATCTACCCATGAAATCTCATAATTGATTGGACCGGTAGTGTAGATTTCATCGAGGTGTAGAAGCCTGGATTCTCTTGACAACCGTATGATGGGATGGTACATGATTCGCGCTTAGTAGTCAGTGGGAGTCTGGGAGATAATACCGAACTCCTATTTAGTCGCCTAGTAGATCACGAAGTTGGCTTGGGAATCAGTATGCTCAATTGTTCATGGTCGGGCCGTTGGATGGCATGTCAACAGTGCCGCCGTGCACGTGACCCAGTGGAGATAGCGTTTTCCCTGAACTTCCCGAGCCTCAAATCTCAGATTCTGGTCCTGCAATTGCGCGACGATCCAGTGTCTCCGGCTCTTGACCACACCGCCATTGGACTCCTTTGTCCTCCGTCTGCCACTTCTAAAAGTCTTTCTCTCCTTTTACAGTCTTTTTTCTTTTCTGTGGTCTTCAAGATGCCCGCTACCGCGTCCCGTGCCGTTCTTCGGCAATCGCAGTTCCTGACCCGGAGGACCGCTGTCAGATACGCCTCCTCCACTCCGGAGTCTGCTCAGAAGGCTGGCGAGGCTGCATCCTCTGCTGCCTCCAAGGCCTCTGAGGGTCTCTCTCGTGTCACATCCACCGCTGGCCCCGCTCTTTCGAATGCCGCCCAGGGCGTCGGCAGTGCTCTGAGGAAGGTTGGTGGAAGGACCGGAAAAGTCATCGCTTTCGTCGATTGTAAGAAGATCTCCGATATTTTCGTTTCATGACGTCTCGCCCCTTCCTACCACCAGTGGGAGCCGTGGTCATCAATGCCATTGTCGCCACGGCTCCTGCGTTTGGGAGCGCGCCAGACCTCTCAACCTACGTCGATATGTGTACCAGCATCGCTAACCATATATTTGGATGAAACAGCTATGATACCCCCTACCCTCTACTACGGAAAGGTCGGCCTTGAACTCGCCAAGCTCGTTTTCCGTGGACAGAACATGACTCCTCCGTAAGCGCTTCCATGTGACCGACAAAGTGCCCGACATTAACTAACATCTCGCAGCAACCTGGCTACCTTCCAGTCCTTCTACCAGCCTCTGCTCAACGCTTTCCGCAGTCCTGCCGCCCTTAAGAACGCTAACTTCGTTTCTCCCGGAGACATCGCCGCCCGTGTCCGCAATGCCAACAAGAAGGAAATCGCCCTGGCCGGTGTTACTCTCGCGGAGATTATCGGATTCTTCACTGTCGGTGAGATGATCGGTAGAATGAACATTGTCGGCTACAGGGGCCACCCTGAGCACCACGGAGACCACTAGATCACCCACAAGCACTTAATGCATGGCCTGTCTTTTTTTATATTTCCTTTTATCACTGCGTTCTGTACTATTGTATGATAGACGATGGAATTTAACTGTTGTCTGAGGTAAATCACGCACTTTTGGAGGATCCCCTCTTTTTCCTTTGGATGCTTTAATCCAGGGGGTGATATACATGCCAATTGTTCATTGTTTTGGTTCTTTCCCTACTATACCTGTGTCAAAAGTGGAAGTCGTATAGAGATGTTCGTCATTTATGTGCTAGATGTGCGTTTGAAATGATCATTCGTTACTATCTCCTAGTACAACTTATATCTACGTAGCATTAATGTCAAGGGTGTAACAATTGCATACCTCTAGCAATGCAATACGACTTAAAAAACACAGCTACTAATCAAGGGGCACCTCCATAATGAAATTTCTAGAACGGGTCCTGGAATCAAATCAATTTAATGCTAGCAGCTTTTTTGTGGAGTCCCTCTTTTTAAGGTACGGTACTGTAACAGATGGAGAAACACAACGCTGATTGGCCCGTGCGGGAAAGAATTTCTGCCCTCCAACTTTTTTTTTATACCGCGTATCCAACCACCACACCTTTATAACTTGTAAACCCGTCGCAGCTATTCACATAGTATCTTTATCTTCGCACGGGGCGATATAGCTCACAGCGATGGATGCTTTCAAGCTGCTGACCAGATCGACCAAATTCAAGGCCGGTCCCAGCCCGTCTTCAGCATCACTTCCCTCCACGGGCAAGGCGGAGAACCCGCAGCTATTTCGTAATTCCGAAGCTGAGAAGCTACTTGAAGAACAGAAGAATGGCAAGAAACGAAAGAGGAGTTCTGCGGCGGATGAGCCGGAGGAACGTGAACCTAATCTGGACTTCTTCAGCTCTAATAAAGGATCTTCGAAAAAGGTTGTGAAGACAGAAGAGGCGCCATTGGATGAGGAACGGGCTTCTGGCTCGGAAGACGAAGATGAGATGGATGAAGTGCAGCGCCGGACGATCCTGAACTCTCACAAGATCAAAGTGACGGATATGCGCGAGCTTGAGGAAATCCAACCTGTGCAGGCGCAGGGCGAAGAGGAACCGAAGAAGAAAAAGAAGAAGAGAAAGCAGAAAGAAGAGCCTGCGCAGACACTCACTAAGAAGGAGCAGAAGAAGGCTCGGCGGTTATTCCCGCGGCCTCTTGTATCTTTCAAGGAGTTGCGCACACAGCACAAGATCTCGCGCCGTCTGGCGGAAAATATCGCCGAACAGGGCTTTACTGTGCCTACAGAAGTGCAGTTGGGAACTTTGCCTTTGTTGCTGGGTGACCGGGCGCTTGCCCAGTCGAAGACGGATGAAACGGTCGAGCCGGATCTTTTGGTCGTCGCGCCTACGGGAAGTGGAAAGACTCTTTCGTTCTTGATTCCGGTTATCAATAAGATTGTGCGCCACCACCATGAGCAGCAAGAAGAGCGAGGCATTCTTGCGGTGATTGTTGCGCCGACTAAGGAACTAGCTAGTCAAATTGTTAACGAAGGGAGAAAGTTGGTCGCGGGGACCGGTGTTAAGATTACGTTAATGAAGAAGGGCATGCAGGTGGTGGAGCGTGAGGATGGCGATGAGGACGGTTTGGATGAGGGCAGTTCTGAATCTTCCGAGTCGGAGGACGACGAAAAGACTACCGAGAAGAAAAGCAAGGGCAAGGCCCCTGTGACTAAGAGCGACATTCTCGTAACGACTCCTCTGCAACTGGTTAATGCACTCTCTGCAAACAAAACTAAACCCATGGCCACGTTGCCCTTGGTGAGGAATATTGTCCTTGATGAGGCAGATGTTCTCTTGGATCCCTTGTTCCGCGAGCAAACTCTCGATATCTGGCGCGCCTGCACACACCCCGAGCTTCGAGCAAGTCTATGGTCAGCTACCATGGGTTCGAGCATCGAAGACCTCGCCAAATCAACAATCAAAGAGCGCAAGGATGCTTCAAGTCTCACAAAATCTTACCCATTGTATCGCCTCGTCGTCGGATTGAAGGACTCTGCCATTCCCAACATCCAGCATAAGCTGGTCTACGCTGCAACGGAACAAGGAAAACTGCTCGGTCTACGACAACTCCTCCACCCCGCCGCTGCGGCAGCATCAGATATTCGCCTTCGTCCGCCGTTCCTGATCTTTACACAGACCATTCCTAGAGCCGTGGCTCTCCACTCAGAATTGCGCTACGATATTCCTCCCGAAGCTGGTGGTTCATCGCGTATCGCTGTCCTCCACTCCGATCTTTCGGACGGCCAGCGCTCTGAGATTATGAAGAACTTTCGCAAGGGCGAGATCTGGATTCTTGTTACAACTGATCTTCTGGCTCGCGGTATCGACTTCCGCGGAATCAACGGTGTTGTCAACTACGATATTCCGAACTCAGCGGCTGTTTATGTTCACAGAGTTGGACGTACGGGCCGGGCTGGTCGTGAAGGTGGTATCGCAGTGACATACTACACGAAAGAAGACATTCCTTACGTCAAGAGCATTGCCAACATTATTGACGTCAGTGAGAAGTTACGAGGAACGGAGGGCGAAAAGTCAGTTCAAAAATGGCTTCTAGACTCTCTCCCCGATCTCAGCAAGAAGGACAAGAAAGAGTTGAAGAAACACGGCGTCAAAGCCAGACAGACGAACCTCAAGAGCGTGGCAGATGACAAGCAGCAGCGGAAGACAAGAATCAGCACGAAGAGCGGCTTCGAGCGACGCATGGAAAACAAGAAGAAGGGCGCTATCGCAGCGAGCCGTAACAGGAAGCTCCAGAGACCATCGGGCGCGGAGTCTGATAGCGGCGACGATGGCTGGGGTGGCATCCAAGAGTAGAAAACGGGCCAGAAATCCCATGCATAATACTCTGTACAAAAATAAAATTACGATTCCCCCTCCGAACAATGGATACCAAATCACGAATTGTCATTCTGCTTAGCTTGCTGAGCTTGGGCTTGTTGTAAAAGCTGTTCAATCAACTGCCGCTTCAGAGCAATAGGCGCAAACGCATTATCCAATTTATCCTGTTCCTCCAAAACATACTCCAACTCATCCCCATCGCGATCAAAATAAACTGCCCACTCCCCATCCTCCTCCTGCACCGCATAAAAATCCGGACTCTCCTCCAGCGTTATAGTCGTCTCATCCTCCGTCCAATCCCACGGTCCAACAACATGCTCAACACTCGCCGTGCGATTCCCATACTTCAGCTCATGCGTTTCCTTATCCACATAAATCCACCCCAGCATAGGTGGATTATCCGAAATCGTAGTAACGAGCCCCAAACCGCGCTTCAAATGTTTCGTCTCCTCAAGCTCCGGATAATCAATGTAAAAGGAAGTGACCGTATGCGACGGAAGCTTCCGATTTGAAGGATTTGGATCATCGAGATAAACCTACACGAAACGTGATTTCCAGATCAGCCATATGTGCGCGCGCGCGCGCCAAAGAAAACGCAGCGATGGAGAGCGCCACATACCTTGTTATTCCTTAGTACGAACCGCTTCCCGCATACTTCGCTGTCTTCTTGTGTTTCTCCGTTGGTTTCGACGTCGATGAGGAATTTGGCCATGCGCCTCTCGTCATTTTTGCGCTCGTTTGCTTTGCGCTGTTCGCTTACACCCAGTGCGACACCTGTTACGGTGGGAATTGCGGCTATTGTTAATAGGCCGATGACCATTTTGGTGGGTTGTGGACTGGATTGATAAGTTGGGGTGGTAGATGTTGATCTGGGATATGAGTGTTTTTTGGGAGTTTGTTTCAAGTTGAAAGTTTTGGTGGCTATATATAGATAATCAATATATTGGCATTTGAAAGAGTAGAATATGTACAGGTAGAAAAAAAGAATACTAATATAGATCTGTGGCGATATGAATAGTTGATTGTAATAATGGTCAGGAACACAATGCCGTCATAGGTCTAGGCACGTGAGCGGGCATTTTGGTTGTATCGCGTGCCTGATACAGAAAGACTCAAAAGTTACATCCGTCGAACTCAACAGTGAAAGGCAAAATTACGATCGAATGGTATCCTATCGCTATCATTATTCTATTGTCAAACTCCCATGCTACTTTGATACCGATATAGGCGGTGCATGCAAAGCTCTCATGTAATGTTCTATACTAACGATGAGCCGGTCGATCGCTGCGCAGGGACATATATCTAGTCTATCTATCTAATCTCTATCGTCGCTCGTTGATCGTTTTTCGTGATATCGTTCTAGTGCGGTTAATATGATCTGACAAACCAGACCAATGGGACCGTGCGTCGTGACAGGCTAGAGCTTCTCGCTCCACCCCCAAACGGACCACCAGCATCGAACTGCTACCGCTCCTCCATCTGCCGACTCCCAGTCATCATACCCTACCTCCTCTCCTTCATAAACTGCCTCCAGACCAAGCTGTCCCATGCGCTCACGAAATTCTTGTACCTGCGGCAAGTATGCATCTCGCAGGGGCATTTCGGTCACCACGCGCGCATCAAGGCCGCGGCTCAACCAGTGCCCGATGGTCTCTACAAGCCATTTGGGATGCTTGGGGGAGTACAGAGGGTCGGCGGCCAAGATCAGGTCGTACTGTTCCTCTTGAGTGGGGAGAGGCTCCGGCGCAACGGACCAGTCGAGCACGCCAGTAGTGACAGTCGCGGCCGTGTTGGTAAGCAGCTCCACATTCAGAGCGGCATTGTGGGCAAGATTAGGAACAATATCGGGGAGGTCTGTGAGATGAATCGAAGCCGATTGTCCGCGGATAGCCGCAAAAGAAAGTCCCACGAGACCTGTTCCAGCGCCTAGCTCTAAGGTCCGGAGTGTACGATCTGTCTTCGGGGTAGGGGTGGTCGTCTCAGATGGAACGAGTTGCGGGGTTGATCCGAGGAGAGCGTGGAGTCGTTGGGAGAGAAGATATGAGGATACCCAGGTTTTCATTCCTAAATTGTCGGCAGTCAAGGATGGTTCGTGCAGAGTCAGAGTCAGCTCTTCGCCCATTGGGTTGGGAATCGTGAAGACACGGGACATGGCAGGCATTGCTATTGGAAGACTCCCAAGTTAGACAACACGGAAATCCTGGAAACAGTCAACTACAATTGTATTCCTCCCGTACCGGTTCGCCCAGAGCGTTCGCTGAGTCGAGCAGCAGCAGCATCCCAGACAGCTTCCCGAAGCTCATCGGTATCCAGCCATGATAGGGGACTCGAGATGATAGACGTCAAATAGCGCGGTACTCCGGTCGGGTAGACAGTTGGAGCCTTCGCCGCTTCATGGCCACTTGAAGCAAAACTCTTTGGTTTGATCGCCAAGATGTCAAGAGCTCGTAAAAGTTCGGTGCCAGAAGGTTTAGTATGGATTTGAGGCAGGTCGAACACTGAAACGCTTATCAATCCACTATCGCTCCTATCAATTCGGGGAAACTGGGGACACATACCGTGGAGAGGCTCGTCGGGGTCCGCGCTGATCATTGTAGCGGTCTGATGGTAAATGCGTTTTTGACTATGGCGAGTCTAGACCGACACAAAAGGGGAGGGGAGAACCTTTCTCTTCTTATATTTGCCTTACCTGTGGCAAAATACAGGTGGGCGGTTCTTCAATCCCGAAACACAAAAAAAGTCGTGATTGCCCGAAAAGGAAAGGGCGGATCACGATGTTCCGCGGGTCGGATCCGCTCCGTGACCCAAAGATAAGACTCAGAACAATGCCTGATCCTTAACTAGATCAATTACTACTCAACAGAGGTTGTTTTAATTTCAGGATAATAAAAAACCTGAACCTGGATCAATATAGCTACATTTATTCAAGATCAATCACAGACGCCTTTCGCCGATTCCCACCCTAACTGCTGTTTAAAACGTATGACATGTCTATTTCATCCTAACGTCGACTTGAACCCCTGATAGGCTTGTTCAATATCAAAGGACAACTCTCTTGCCTGGTCCTCACTCAATTCTTCTGTCGCACGCATCTGATTTAACGTGATCAACCACTGGATGATTTTGCCCCGGTTTTCGAAGTCCCCGTCCGTAACCTTATTGACGGACTGGATCACCTCAGAGAGCAGTGGGTGGAGCGCATCCTTCGACACCATATTCAGCTTTAACGCATCGAGGAAAGTGATGAAGTTCTCCGTGGCCGTCAGAATCAAGCTGCCTGAAGCACCTCCAGCAGAGCCTACTGCTGGCCCCGTATTAGCCGCTGGTGCGTTGTGACTGGCTTGCTCGACGGTCGCAGGAAGTCCGATACGAAGACGCTCGGTAGCGCGGGGACATTCCAACTAGCGAGAGTAAAACGATCAGAACCGGTCCTCAAATAATAAGGTGGAATAGAAGCAACACACCCCCCAGGTTCGCTTGAAGGTCTCGAGATCGACAAACTCATTTGCGACAGTGTCGTCCCCCAAACTAGACTTGTACTGCTTCAGTAACCGAGTACACGTTTCTGTGTACTCCGCTTCCGTAACCACATCCTTAATGTAAGCTTTCTCGAGACCATCAAGCGTGACTATGATGCTGTAAATTTCAGCCAGCGACTCGTATAGATCGCGCTCGGCCGAGCTGGAGGCTAGTTTAACTTCCTGGCATGGGAGTTAGCCAGCTGCCCCGCAAGCAAGCCAGACACCCCAGCATACCTCATCGAGATTGATGGACGCAGACAAGGCCGGGTTAGGGGTATAGCTGTAGGGAGTTGGCGCATACGCCAAAGGGCGCTGGGCATACATTGCGATTCGCAGTTCTTTCTTCTATACGTCAGCTTGCGACGGCAGATAACCAAAGACACTCGGAGGGGGAACAAAAGGCGGTGGCCTAATCGGGCGATCGGCGCCGCCATTTTCTGCCGCATCATCTTCTAAATTTTTTACCCAAAAGAAAAAAAAACTTGAGTCCCTTACCATTTGGTGAAACGCTTCCACCTCCATTGATTTTCCCCATTTTGTACATTTGATCCCATCTGCACGGTCAGGTTGGGGCTTTGCGACACAATGGCCGGAAGTCAAAAGAAATCCACCAAGAAGTTCGAGAAGAGGCATCTGAAGGATGTCCTCGAACGGCGAAAGGCGGCTGCGAAAATCAAGCAGCGTAACCATCTGAAAGACAAACGCAAGGCCGATAATGCCAAGGCACGCGCCGACGCTCATGATTCCGCAGACGAACATCCGGAAGAAACGAAGAAGCAGGATGCTTTCTCTCAAATGAATGTGGACGATTTCTTTTCGGGCGGTTTCGACATTGCGGACGCCGACGCCGGTCAGGCTAAGAAGGCTAAGAAGAAGAACGTTACCCCTAAGACTGGCAAGCGCAAGCGCACGGAAGAGCAGAAAGACGAGGATGAAGCTTCTGCAGCTTCAAGTAGCGGAGAGGAAGACGGTGTTCCATCAGACGACGAGGCTGCCTCGGACGCCAGTGGATCTGACGATTTCGAAGCGCACAAGGATCAGCTTGAAGCCTTGAAGGAGAAGGACCCGGAATTCTATAAATACCTTAAGGAGAACGATGCCGAACTCCTGGACTTCGGCGACCATGGCGATCTCGCGGAAGTGGACGAGCTGAGTGAAGCGGAGGAAGAGCAACCGGCGAAGAAGAAAAAGAAGGCTGCTCGGGAGGAGAAAGAGGAACAGACAACCGACAACACACTTACCATCGCTATGGTGAAGAAATGGCAAAAGTTGATGGAAGAGCAGAACTCGATTAGAGCAATGCGACAGGCTGTTCTCGCTTTCCGGTCTGCCGCCTACCTCAACGACGTTGACGCCCAGGAGCAAAAATACTCTATCAGAGAATCCGACGTATACCATGAAGTTCTTATTACCGCCCTTGGCTCTGTCCCTAGAGTTCTGTCGCATCATCTTCCCGTCAAGGAAACTGCCTCCGGCAAAGTCAAGCTGTCTATGGATTCGAAGAAGTTCAAGACGCTTACACCTCTTATCAAGTCCTATACTTCCTCCGTCCACCAATTGCTCACGAACTTGTCCGATGCACAGACACTGAAGCTCACACTCTCTTCTATTGAACCTATGCTTCCTTACTTACTTCAGTTCAGGAAGCTCCTGAAGGTTCTCATCAAAACCATTGTCGGTATCTGGGCCGATGTGTCCACTACGGAAGCCACACGTATCACCGGATTCCTGCTCCTGCGACGTCTCATGGTTATTGGGGACGCTGGGCTGAAGGAAACCGTCCTCAAGGCCTCCTACGAGGGTGTCGTCAAGGGCAGCCGGAACACCACCGTCCACACTCTGGCCGGCGTGAACCTGATGAAGAACTCTGCCGCAGAGCTGTGGGGTATCGACCAGAACGTGTCCTACACCACGGGCTTCAACTTCATCCGCCAACTTGCCATCCATCTCCGCAGCAGCATCACAAACACCTCCAAGGAGTCCTACAAGACGATCTACAACTGGCAATACGTGCACTCGCTCGACTTCTGGTCCCGCGTTCTCTCCCAGCACTGCGATGGCCTCGCCGAAGCCAAAGCCGGCAAGCAATCCGCCATGCGCCCTCTCATCTACCCCGTCGTCCAGATCACCGTCGGCGCGATGCGACTCATCCCCACCGCAACATACTTCCCCCTCCGCTTCCAACTCACCCGCGCCCTCCTCCGTCTCTCCCGCTCCACAGGAACCTACATCCCACTGGCCCCACCTCTCCTCGAGGTCCTCAATCTCGCTGAGATGCGCAAGCCCCCGAAATCAAGCACTCTGAAACAACTCGATTTCAACACCGCCATCCGCGCCCCGAAATCCTACCTCCGCACCCGCGTCTACCAAGACGGCGTCGGTGAACAGGTCGCCGAACTTCTCTCCGAGTTCTTCGTCCTGTGGACCAAGCACATCGCTTTCCCCGAACTGTCCGTCCCTATTGTGGTCTCTCTGAAGCGCTGGCTGAAGCAGGTCAGCTCGCGCTCCGGAGGCAACAAGAACGCCAAGATCAACCAGATGATCCTCCTCCTGGTGCAGAAGGTCGAAGCCAACGCCCGCTGGATCGAAGAGCGCAGAACCAGCGTCACATATACCCCGCGCAACCGTGCGGAAGTGGAGAACTTCCTCAAAGATGTTGACTGGGAGTCGACCCCGCTCGGTGCATTCGTTAAGTCTCAGCGGAAGATGCGTGAAGAAAAGGCTGCCCTTCTTGAAGAGGCGAGACGTGAAGAAGAGAAACGGAGAGCCGAGGAGAAGGATGCCGATAAGGAGGATGTGACGATGGGTGGCTTCAGCGAGGATGATGAGGGAAGCGATGATGCTGAGGATAGTGAAGAGGCCTCCTCTGATGGCGAAGAGGAGGAAGAGGAAGAAGAGGAAGAGGAAGAAGAAGACGAGGTGGAGTTCGAAGAAGAGGAGGATTAGATGGTGCTTTTCTCCCTATATCTGGTTCTCGTTGTAGCTACTTAAAACATTTTACTCTGATGTCGACGTATACAAAAGTTGAAATGCTTAGGCACTATCTACGCAATGATGCATCTCGAATGCCGAAAACATTCTATATTTATGCATTAGAAACTAACAGACAAATAAACTAATACAAGCATAACTCAAACACAATAAGCCAAGAAAGACAGTACATCATATCAAAAAAGACAGACAAAACACAGGATGAATCAAACAAAATTCCAATCTGTATCAACAAACCTTTATATGGAAACCGACAACTGTGCCATAGTCCCATGCGACATCGTACCGAAATCACAATGTCCACCAAACATAGAATTCACAGTGGTGTCAATGGTACATAGGCAATGTACGGCAATGCGCATATGGTGTCCCCAAATTTTAAACAGCCCCAACAGGCATCCTGTCCGCACCCCAAGTACGAGTTTTCTCACGCCTCAGCGCAGCATCTTCCTCTTCAGCCCAGGCGAGGGAATCATTCGGCAACATGACAGCCTGATCGATAGCCACAGGAAGACCGCGATGACGCCCACGGAGGGCAACCGCCGCCAATATCAATTTGCTGATAGTGTGCCAGCCGCCGCAAAAGGAGCTGTTCCTGCCAGGGATGCCGACGCTAACGCCGACGCAGCCGTAGGCGGAGACAACTTCAAAGATGATGTTGAACGTGGAGTAGCTGACAGGATCGCGGTTGAAATTGGGCGATTCAGCGATAGAGATGAAGAGGACTGCTAGGGCGATCCACCAGATATCGTGGCTGAGTTGAGAACGCAGTTGTTGGTGGACGAAGTAGCTGCGCGAGGCTTCAGCGGCGGGGACGTCCTGGCGTCCGAGGAGGTGGTGTCGCACGAGGCTCATGAAGAGACCTGGTTTGGCTTGGCCTTCGGCTTCGGATTCCGGGTCATCGTGGGCGTAGATGCCCAGGGAACGCTCTTCGTAGACGTTGGTGTTTCTCATGGTCACCAACACGGGGAATGCCGACACGTACATCATGAGAACGTATAAAACGAGTAACCCTTGTCGGAGTCCGGATATGGTTACTACATAAAATCCTCCAGAGCGTACAGCTGCGATTTGTCAAACGTTAGCGAGATATAATGCTTAGTTGGTAAATTGAATGAGGAGTGAACTCCGTACCCAACGCTTGGAACAAACCATCCAGGACTCGATAACCTGGTGGCAATTGCTCAATTTCTTTATTTCCGATGGCGAGTATCTCGAAACCGGCCCAATCAACGGCATTCAAGACAATTATGGTTCCCAGCAGATACCACGTATGGCGTCTCGGGAAAAGGTTTGTATAGACCTAATCAATCAGCAAATGTACCCTAATGACTGCTCTCCATGTACATACCCTTCTTGGATGATCCAGGATAAAGTCTAAGGTAACTTTCCATGTATTCCACGCGGGTCGCTCTGGAATCATGCATCTCATAGACCATATTATAAACCTCAAGAAGCAGGGATAGAGGGTGTTCCCGGCGAGAATCAGCAAACCCATTGTGAGGAGCGGATACACACTGCCACAGTTAGTACAATCCAAGGTACTAAAACGTTGATGAGACACTTACTTCTGTTGCAGTGCGGTCATATTAGCATCCAAAAGGGACATGCCGCTGTTCACAAATGCAGAGACTGCAAAGAACGCGCCTGTCCAGAAAGGTGACAGGCCGTTTTCCCGAGATATATCTGGATGGTTCGCTTCCAGCCATCCTCCCACGCCTATCATACCGATGAGCAAGAACATCAGCCAGTAGAGGGCGACTATGGCTGTCAAGAACGAAACTGCTTTGTATTCGACTCCGCCAAGTCTCTCGCGTTCGTCGGGGGTGAGCCCATAGAACTGGGAGTTTCGGGAGACAAAGCCTCTGGACGCGAAATACTTTTGCGTCCCTTGGATCATGCCCTTCAGCCGTGATATGTCAACCTCTTCTCGCAGAGGCATGTTTGGGGTGGCATCTTTCGGATGATTATTCAGGTCAAGCCGAGCACCAACGCCCACCATAGGGAAGACTCGGTGGTTTTGATGGTGCAAGCGTGTTCGTGCACCAATAGTTATCTGATCGTCTTCAGCCCAGTGTATATGGTCATCGCTGGTCAAGTCAGTTGAGTTCCCTACGGGACTGGCTTCAGTCAGCCCGGGTGCCTTGTCGCCATGACTGGCATCCATGTTTGAGGGCTGCACATTCGAAACCTTGGAGTCCGCTCCATCTAGCGGAGTGTTCAAATCAGATGTGGGACGAGACTCCCTATCTTGAGCCAATTTATTTGAAATGCCTTTGAACTTCGATTCAAAAGCCCTCTTCCTCACAAATAGAACAGTGATCGAGATGAGGATAGCGTGTCCCAACATCAGGAGCACGAAAAGGATGGATTGCTGGAAAGTGTTCAATGAAGATAGGTCCACCTAGCGAAACGGTTACTAAATGCATCAAGCAAATGGAACGCTAGCCCGAGCAGCTAAGGTCTTCGGCGTGAAGAGAGAGACATACAGTGTTCAGCCCAGCGCCTGTGATAGCGCTAACACACATAAACAGCGCATCAGCGTAAGAAATACTACGGAGCGGGTTCGAAGCTCCCCAAAATATAACACTGCAGATCAATGATGTTACGATAAAATAAGTATAGTGTAAAGTGATAAAATTGAATGGCGGTACCACCGCCATAATAATTCGACCCAAAGGCCGAAGCCAGCCACGTGCTGCATTTGTCACAAAGGTCAGTGAGGTACAATCAAACGGTCGAACTATAACATAGACGAGACCAAGTCCACGAACTGACGGAAGAAAAAAAGGAGAGAAGGTACGAACAGGTGATCATCCTCCGTAGGCACAATGTACCCAATTAACTCGCCATGCAAGGGGGGTCAAGTAATGCAGCTGCAGTATGATAGTCGATGTTTTGGGAAGCCTCTATGACCTCAGATAGTGAATTGATAAAGCCGATTCTGTTGCAAAAATGGGGCGCACACTGCTACCCGCAAGGATGTTGATGAAATCTCTGATCTATCTTTAGTCTTGTTCGATAATGCATTTCGGTTCCGGATGAAAAACGATGAGATGTGATGGTTGATGACGACGTAAGAAGGTCGATCAGTGTGGTGTAAGTTTGGAAATGCGTTGCTGGTAATACGGCTGTTCGTAGTTGAGTTGGAAACTATAAATGTATAGGGTGTAGGTATAGACGATGTCAAAAGATTTCTTCCACGGGTTGCTTTCTGTGAGCTGAATTCTTAGTTGAGGATCAAACAGGGGCAAAAGCGTGTGTTATTCCATTTCAACTGAGCCTTGCGTGGCGACTAATTGATCAAGGTGTAAATAAGTAAGTTAGTTAGATGGAAGAAAGATTGACGGAGGGGAAAGAAGAATAAAGAAAACACTTAAACCCGGAAAAAAAAGAGGCGGTGGGACGGAACCAATCAACGGTCTGCCGATCTGCACGCTTAACCCGTCTTGTCGTAATTCTGATAAGGCGATAACTTTTTTTGGGTTATAGGGTTGGTGGAAAGTTACCGCATTGGATCCATTGCTTCCTGTTAAAAATCCCTACATAGTACAAGGTTCATGGTACCTTTTTTTAACCAATATAAATAAATTTTCTTTTTTTCCATAAGACTTAATGCTACGCACATGACCCCGTTTCTACATCAGATCCTTATTCCCAGGATCGACTTGCTCTTCCCGGATCCAGTGGCCACTTTTCCCACCCTTCTTTTCAAGAAGTTTCACCCCATCAACCACCATTCCCTTATCAACCGCCTTCAGCATGTCATATACCGTTAATGCAGCTCCCATAGTCGCGGTCATAGCTTCCATTTCCACACCCGTGCGACCAAGGCAACTCACGGTGGCCATTACATGCATCGCACCGTAGTTAAGGGACGGATCGGTTTCATTCTGAGAGGGCAGTGGGTCGACGAGCTTGACATCCACCTCAACCCCCGTAATTCCAATGCCTGGGTGGCACAAGGGAATAATATCCGGTGTCTGCTTGGCAGCCATAATGCCAGCGATACGGGCGACACTGAACACATCACCTTTTCGTGTCCCGCGCCCCTCTCGAAGCAGCTCCCACGGGCGCGACTTAGAAAAGCGAACAAGGCACGTTGCTGTTGCGGAACGTTCCGTAACAGCCTTTTGGCTGATCTTAGTCATATGAACATTTTGCGAGGTGTTGAGATGAGGTAGATCCGGGTCAGAATCCGTAGAAAGTGACGTCGCAGTTCCCTGCCACTTTATATCAGACGGTTCCGTCTCAGATGAGACATTTCTACGATCCCCATGGTAATAACGAACTTGGTCCGGACGAGGTGAGCTGAACTGAAGCAAGTGTGTCGGGATACTGGACCATGGCCTTTTCCCCGCAGATGTCGCCCATGTTCGTGACTGCTCTGAGCCCGTCAATGTCCTCATGGGTCCATTATCTAGATCCCACCTATCAGCATCACTCTCGACAGCCAAGGTCGTAATAATACAAAAGCTCACTGCAGCTGAGCCACCACCCGTTGGAATACCAATAGAACAAAAAGATACCCCAACTTATGCATTAATCATGATTCGTAACATCACATTAATTCGCCAGACAGTTCTGAGAGGATAGAAAAGGAGGTTGCGCCTACCCACCAATGAGAATCATCGGCCTATTCTTCATGTTCTCCAACTCTCCCATCCCAGCATGCTTGGCCTTCTTTCGTTTGACAGCCATGCCAATAATGTCAAGAAGCTCTCGTTCTCTTTCGTCGACCAGTCCGCCCTCCTCATTAATACGAGCGGCTTTGTCCGCCGCCTCAAGTAGTTGCAATTTATTCATTGTAGCCTCGTCGATAGGCTCTCCATTGTTTGCTTTCCGGATGGTGTCACGTAACGATACCTCGGCATTGCCGAACAGGCAAACCTTCAAGTTTCCGTCGGATGTGATGCGCAGACGATTGCAAGTTCCACAGAAATTATGTGTCATGCTAGTGATAAACCCAACGCGACCCTGAAACCCAGGTACCTGATATGTTTTACTAGTGTCATTCTTATGATCCACCACCTTTTCCAGGGTCGGATACTTTTCCCGGATGACCGCCAACATCTCCTGATATGATAGCATTTTCTTCTGGTTCCACCGGTTGCCATCAAATGGCATGTACTCGATAAATCGCACTTCAATAGGGCTATCACGCCCCATCTCAACGAACGGGATGATTTCCCGGTCATTGACCCCACGCATCACCACACAGTTCACTTTCAATTTAATCCCTGCCCCCATCTTATTCAATTCCAAGATTTTATCAATACTTTTCATCACAGCATCGAACCCCTTCCTCCTCGTCATGATTTGGAACTGGAAAGGATCTAAAGTATCGAGACTGAGATTTACCCCAGTCAGACCTGCCTCGACCATAGGTTCCAGTTTCCGGTGTAACGAGATTCCATTGGTTGTAAGGCATAGCTCCCGAAGTCCGTTGCGTCGTAGATCCCCGATCGACTGCATCAAAGGAACAATATCCTTCCGAACAGTAGGTTCACCGCCTGTTAAGCGGATCTTCGTTACCCCTTGCGAGACGAAAAGGGAGGACAGGTAGACTATCTCGGGGGACGTGAGCAGGCGCGCCGGTGGCGAAAGCTCTATGCCTTCTTCCGGCATACAGTATACACATCGGAGGTTGCAACGCTCGGTGATGCTGATTCGGAGATAGTCATGTTGACGGTTGAAGGTATCCGTCAAGAAGTCGGAAAACGGCTTGGCGGTTTTCAAGGCAGTCCATCGCGGGGAAGGTTTTTGAGTCGAGGTGTCAGAATTAGGGAAATAAGTGGCGGGGAGAGAATTCGTGTCATTCTTTCCATTCTCTGCCGGCGAGGAGGCCGTGCTATACTGCGAAGCTGCTTTGTTCCTACCGGTCGATATCTGTCGGATGTAGGTGCGGGGATGCCGACGAAGGGATGGTAGAGAGGCCGTCCACCCGCATCGCGATAGTAAGAATCCAGTCATCATGAGCAGGGATGAGGCGAAACGGTGACGCAAGCCCAACTGTTTCCGGCATAATCAGTGAATAAGTTTGAATGAGAGAGTGGTGGGCATTTGGGTCTTAAAAGGGAGGAGTTTATGGCTAGGTAAGGGAAGAGGGGAATGGATCCGAAGAAAGCTTGCTTATCATCATCGAGTCATCCCGTGGCATTTCATTCGCTGAGAGGCTGCGTCTCCGCAGAACTAACTCGTTCGGACAAGCCCCGCCTTTTCACCGGCGATGTAACCGGGTCTAGCCGAGTTGGGAAGTACTACCACGAGCAGTCTAGTGGACTTTACGTTGTTGCAAGTATGAAGAATGATAGAGAATATATGCGACAATACAATTCTTTCTCCTATATAATAAGGCGCCCAGAAGAGTAAGTTAAATCATTATCCCTGCGCCGGAAGCATCTTCTGCACCCGCTTCACAAGGCTCTGTTCAAACTGCTCGACGCCTTTGCTCTGTTCCTTGAGCTTTCCACCCTTCAGGACGTACACAGCTCGCCTCCGACTCTGAGTCTCGTCCGTCTCTTCGTCAAGACCCTCAAAGTCATCGTCCAGTTGATGTTCCTCGTCACGTTTGCCTTCTATGACCGAACGGACCAGGAACCGATCATGCGATACTAAAAGAATTGCCCCGTTGAAAGAAGATAGCGCAGATGCGAGGGCCGTAACAGTATGGAAATCCAAATGGGTAGTGATTTCGTCCAAGACGAGCAAATGTGGAGAATTCCAAATGACTTTCGCCAATGCTAAACGGACCTGTTACCGGGCTGGATTAGCTTCCGTTTGATCATGTGTCTTTGTACGTCTTTTGTGCTCACAAGTTGACCGCCTGATAGTCGGGACACGGGCACATCGGAGGCGATTCGGCCCTGGAGACCCAAGCTTGATAACAAACCCCTCAGGTGACCTTCGCTCATTGTCCCATCAGTTTCTTTGGTCATAAGGCTTAATGCGGTTAAGTTAGGGTCAGATTGACCCTGTTCTTGCAGGTCCTCTATTGAGTGCTGTGCATAGTAACCGAGTTTCAGTCTCGAATGTGTTGATATCTTTCCCTGAGTTGGCAACACATTTCCGACAAGGAGGCGGATTAATGTGGACTTTCCGCATCCATTGAGACCCATGAGGCCAACTCGATCCCCCATATGCATGACAAGGTCCACTCCATCCAATACTGGAGCTCCATTCGGCTTATACTTAAAAACAATCCCTTCCGCAGAAATAAGCGGACCTGGATACCGCAGTTCTGTGGCGTCAGGTAGGACAATAGCAGTACCCTTTTCGTCTGTCGGAACCTCGATCTCTTCTCGAGAACTCGAATGCCATCCAACTCGGTCTCGATTCAGTTTGAACCGCCCTCCAGTCGCACTCACTTGGACGCCCATCCTGTCATCCAGTTTCTTTTGCCGCGACTTAGCCATACGCAATTTGTTATCATCGTTTGTTTTCTTCCCCGTCTTGGTTGTTTCACGGATGGTTGCTTCCATATGAGCAATCTGGCGCTCCTGGGCCTCCTTCATACGACCCCAGTACAACTTCTGCTCTTCGAAATCTTTCTCGTAGGCCGACAAATTACCCTTGAAGTATGTGAGCTTCTGGTCCCTTAGAATAATAATCTCTTCGCAGACAGCATTTACGAAGTCTCTATCGTGGGAAACCAAGATGATAGTGGTTTGTGATGAGTCCTTCAGCTGTCGAAGATAGTTCTCAAGCCAAACTACTCCGAGCAAATCCAAGAAGTTTGTCGGTTCATCGAGGATCATGAAGTCCGGGCTCTGGATAAGGACACTTGCCAGCATGCATCGCATACGCCAGCCTCCGGATAATGTTAGGAATGGTTTATCGAACGAGGTCTCTTGGAAGCCTAAACCAATCAAAATTTGACGTGCCTGTTGCTCAATGTCGACCAATTTCATCTAGTTGCGCCAAATTCAGTGACTGTCATTGTGTTCCCAATTACTTCCGTACTCACAGTCTCGAACTGAGCCTGAAGGTCTTGCAAAGTATCCATCGCAACCTGCGTATCTTCTTTGACAGTATCGGCATCGATTGATTCTTTCTCCTGGTTCAGTCTACAGACATCAGACAGTGTACAAAATTTCTTGACCGGAGCGACTTACATTTCTAGTGAAGCTTGGAACTTGTTCTCAGCTGCTTTGAGGTCCTTCCGCGCTTGTAGGCCTCTGGCTCCACTCTTCAAGTTCGCATTCTTCTGAGCGAGGAACAGCTCTTTTCCAGCCTTGTCATGGCGGACTTTGCGAATAGCGCCGACCGGTTCCAAGGGATCCTCCGTCTCGAAACTCTTGGACAGGACTTAAATATGGTTTTATCAGATCTGACGTGAAAAGTACAGCGAATCCATTAGAGCTTACAGTTCATCTTCTGAACCAATTCATTCCGGGAATGATCACTGCTCAGAACATATTGAAGGACTGTCTTGTTTTTGTTTTCTGCTTCCTCAGCGGCAAAGTCCTTGAGGTCGTCTTCCGACGCGGTCTCTGTCTGTTGCAAGATAGCTATACGTGTCGAATGTGGAATGCCAGGGACGAGTTTGTCTGCCATAGCTCGTAGGAGCGCTACAGATAATATATATTAGCATAACCATGTCTCCAGCCTTTGTCTTATTGCTTTTCTCCATTGCATGATATATACGGAAGCAATGCTTACTCGACTTTCCAGTCCCATTGCGACCTATCAGCCCATAGTGTACACCTGCCTTCAACCGCAGATGAGCATCTGAGATAAGTTCTCTCGCATCTGGCTTTCCCTTAGACTTTCCTTTGAGCTTTGACTTTGAGGGATCCTCCGAAGTATTCCGTGTTGAAGAGACGCCGATGGTGAGGCCCTCTACATCAATCTATGGCGTAACACCATTAGTCCACGATAGTAAAGAGAAATCTTGCAGCGGAGTACCTCCTGAGTCGGCCTATCATCAAGCAGATGGAACCGAGTCTGTTTGCAAGTTGCGAGAATAGACGACTTCATATTCAGATAGCTATCAAAGGTCGCGTAATTCAATTAAGGACACAAGTGGTAGTCAAGTCCAAAGGAGACTTGGATAGAGTAAAGATACCGTTGATGAAAAGGACAGCTTTATTACTACTCATGCTACTCTACATTTCATATAAAGTAGTAGGCCTCTGTCGGAAATTAGGGTCCGACTAGTAAGGGGTAGCATTGAGATAGGGAGTACATTCTTTGAGGCAAACATAATGCATAGAACTTCATTCTCCACAAGGGATACTGAGTCACTTGGATGGTCACACACATTGAGAGCTGTTCAAGCCCAAAGAAAAGCAGGAGAGGGAACGTCGGGGTCCCGAAAGGGAATAGCCGCTCCTCATTGGCCTGAGGAATCAACTGGTGGCTCAGGCTCGTATTGCTCGCAAAGATGTGATGTTGAAGCACTTTGCCGAGGTCACCAATGCGCTTTTTATGTGGCAATGTGGATTCCATGACTCATTTATGAGTCATGGTCCTAATTGGTTCCATAGGAGATCGATTCAGTTGGAAGCGCGATATATGAGTGATACTAGTAGTTCATTAAATCTTCCGCGGTGAATCTGCATAGGTTTCCATCATACAGCTACAGGAAGAATTAGCAATCAGTCGATGGGGATTGTATGGCCTATGTCATGCGTTCTTAAAAGACACAGTGACCTCAGGCTGGTCCCCGTACACGATACTTTGTATCAAAGGCTGTCTGTCTTTCTATGCAACCAACATCTTTGGATAACGTTGAATGACAATTTATAAGCACTTGTGATAAAAGACAGCAGAATTTCGTGCCCTCTATCCAATATGAAGAGAGCTCAATAGCCTCAGTCCAACTGAAGGCCTGACCGGCAACCCACCATGTACCAACTGATCGTCCTTTCTATTGCTGTCTATTGGAAGATTGATTTTTTCAGCTGAGAGATGGTTGTGGGAAATCGCGGCTGAAGCGGGGTCCTGCGGGGTACTTTTACGCATACCGCCGTGTAGCAGATGCTGTCGGGACAAAATATATAAAGTGACACTCAGGTCAGATAACTTTTATTCTCGTCCCTAATCTCTCCATCCTGCCAAACTCTTCGATTTTATAACATAGGAATCACCTATCGTGAATCCTTCAGAAAATCTCTTGTCCAAGATGCCTGTCTCAGAGATTACGTCGTAAGTAGTGTTAAAGATTTTTTTCCCCTTTCGGACGAGATTGTTCAGCGCTAATGGTGATAACATGGTAGATACGCACAGTTCCAACAGCTTATCAACGGTGATAAACCTGTTGTAATTGATTTCTGGGCAACATGGTGTGGACCTTGCAGAGTGATCTCCCCTGTTTTTGAGAAGTTGTCAAACACCGGGAGCTTCGACAATGTTTTGTTTTATAAAGTTGATGTCGATCAACAAGAACAAGTTTCCCAGGAAGTTGGCATTAGAGCAATGCCAACCTTCGTGCTCTTTCGCGACGGTGTAAAAGTTGAGGAGCTGGTTGGAGCTGTTCCCCAAAAATTGGAACAGCTTCTTTCACATGCAGCTTCTCTCTAAAGCACAAGCAAGATAGTCCGCATTGCCTATGTTGTTCCATGAGGCCGGTTAGAGCGAGGAAGGGGGGGACAAGTGATTGTATCTAATTCTAAATGCTTTTTAATCGGATATCCCGCTGAAACGGGCTGTATGGCTTCGCTCTCCATTACTATTCGGCACCTTTGTTTATAGAAATTACTGCTGGCCTCAAAATATACAGACACTGGGCAGCGATGCTGTCCTGCCGACCATCTAACTGACGTTGGTTGGTTATAAGAGCACAAGCCCCGGCCCTGTATGCGTCAAACTAATGAAGAGATTAGATCCTTGCATAGCCTTAAGTTACCTCTAGGAAGCGCGAATTCCAAACTTAGAATCAACTCTAGATTATTAAACAAAAATCTGAGTCGAGCTTATTCATAAGTAAAAGTTATCCCACCTTACCGTAAGAGTACAAGGATGATTGAAATAGTAGCAAAGAATGTCGAGGCTTTCAGGCCGATGTAGCGGCTGCCTATACCGGTCAAGCAATAAATTCATGGCTAGAGCTCGGTCCTCATTTTATACAAATTCATAGAGGAGCCGCCAGTAAGAGCCCCGTGCTAGTGTGTAAACATGACAAACTTAGACGAACACTGCATTATGTCTTCCGTGTAAATCTATCGCTAGTGTTTGTCTAACCGACCTGATTTGAAGTGTCTAGCATGACGTTGATAAATCCACTGTCATATACGATCGAAGATGCGGCTAATCAATTGGGTTAACGAATCTCGCTTCTAGACTCGCCACTCGACCGATATGACACAGCAGTCACGTAGACTGTATAACAACCTACAGATCAGCAGCATGTTCTAGATCTCGAGAAAGGATAATGACGATAAAGCCATAGCAATTTGGCCTTTCCATTGACTTGCGGGGAGTGTACTATCGCTTCAGATATTCATGCATACGTAGCAGAACAATTGCATCAATGGGGTGGTACAATTGAGTTTCCATTCGGTAAGTTACGTGAACTCAAAAAGCAGCCGAGCAAACAGTCGATTTGTTGAGTTCTTGTATAATACCTAAGCATTACATCTTTCGACGCTATCATGATGATATAGCTTCCCGAGCCATGTTTACAATATAGCAAACCGTGGGGCTAGTGACGGATCTCCAAGATGTTGGTAGATTGTTTACCAAAACCAGCAGTAACCCTGCATCTCTAACCAGATATAGTACTATCTCTTGCATCACAAATTGATCATACCTTGCCAGACAGGCGTCAAGCGGGTATACCATGACCTCATATCGTTTCTATGTAGGGACTCGAGAAGTATAAGAATAGCAGAATTGAACCGCATCGAGGAGTGATATATCGAAGCAAACCATAGCAACACTAATAACGAATATTTATTTCATCTCATTCACAAATTCACAATGGCCTCAAACACAAACCCCGGAAACTTCAGCAACCGCCCCCATGAAGAGGTTGAAAACATTGCCCGCAAGGGTGGCCAAAGCTCCCACTCTGGAGGTTTTGCAAACATGGACCCTGACAAGCAGGTAGGTCTCTCGTCGATCCCAATACTTTCATCGATATTGATGCATTCGTCAAGAGAAACATTGCTTCCAAGGGTGGTCAGGCCTCGAGCGGAAGCTTCGAACCCGGTGATCCTAGAGCCCGCGAGGCCGGCCGCAAGGGTGGCTCAAGAACTCAATATGACCAACCCGAGGAGTAAAAAAGTCGTTATCGGATGATAACTTGTTGCCATACTACTTGTGTTGTTTGATGATATGATGTTGTAACCTGTACTGTACCTGGGATGAATATTTGTTTGTTAACTTGACAATGTATCTATGAGATAATTAACACCGGAAACGGCATACCATTGCCATTACATCTTCTTTTCAAGTACTTGCAACATCATAAATAACTCTCATACTGAATTGCCATCATTGTGTAGTAGATATTGGTAGAAATGATGTCCCATCGACGTATGAGTCTCCACATCAACCGACCATGACCAATAAGATGTCAGCAGTGCATCACCACAAATTGTCCGTTTTCGATCAAGATACAAAACCCACAAGTTGTCATCGGGTGTCAGTTTTCTTCAGCTTAATTGAGGTTCTTCGAATGGTATGTAGTGGCAATTAAGAAATGGTGCTGCCTTCCCGAGAACTACACTGCCACACTCGAGCAGCTGCTTTTAGAATTAGCTTACGACATGGTGGCCAGCGTATACGAGCTACATCCACCACTTAGTTTCTTCTTTTTATTGTATTTATTTTTGGCAGTGTTGCAAGACACGTTCTTGGGTTTTATGCTGGAACAACGATGCAATATTCTTATTCGACCCCGTGGTTTTCCATCGTGATGTGACATACGACTCCTAAAGCCTAGAAGGATATCCGACGGTGCACCCGATGTTCACCCGATGGCTATATAGATATCGCGTTTCAAACTATTGGACCACGGGATTTTTTGAGTTTCTTATATAGTACTATCAGTTTATGTGCTTTTCTTTTGGTAAACCTACCTTTGATCTACTTGGTAGACTATGTACGAATTTACAAATTTGAAATACAAAAATGTAGATCGTACAAAAAACAGACATTATCCACATCCACCGTGCACAAGGTGGTGGATAATTTTCAGGTTGACGCTTTGATCTAGAGTCGAGCTGACACGCTGGAGAAAGAGACAGCGCTCTAACAAACCAGAGGTTCACCATTCATTAGGCGCTGCTCCGACGTCGAGGTTCTAGTCCGCACGCCATATTCCAATTAACTCATTGATGCCCTGATTGCGACAACGCAGTGGCTGTCGCGTCGCTGACATTTCTAGACTTTAGTGTTATTATAGAATCAAGGCTTTTCGGCGCCGAGGTCACCCATTGGCCGACTGCCTCTTTCCACACACGTTGAAGCTAGACTTGTGCCAAAACTAGGTTGTTGGACACTCCGGGATCACATTGCCCAGCAATTGCGGGTCCGACCATCTGAGGCGGGCTAGTCTAGCAGGCTATTTGTTTCTATACTTGGTTTTGAAAACACCTGGAATAGACCGTGGGCTATGTATCGTGTTGGACAAGAGAGTGTCTACTGGAGGGGACATTTGGACTTCTGGGTGCAGTAGTCGATAGTCCAGGATGTCCTCAAACAATGGATCGTACTATAGTCTACGGAGAAACTCTCACGACTTTCCCTTTTGCTGCAGGGGGTTTATGCTAATGTTGCAGTATCCAATGGATTGACAGGAAGGCCTTTGGCTCTATTGAAAACTATCGCTCTTAGTATTGATTATTAGTGGTGGAAGATATAGTTTTCTATGCACTTGTGCACGAGACAAATTATTCCCGTCTAGGGCTAACACTTTCCCTAACAGGATAGGTTGAACACTGGAGGTCGATTATCTTATCTGTAAACAGTAACCTGAAGTTCAATATGAATACTAAACCATAGTTGTGCTCGGTTACTAGCTAGCGTTAACCAGTCTGTTGATCATCATTGTCTGTTAAATATTTAGCCTCTCAATCAGAGTGCTGAGGCCTTCTAGCCAACTTCTTGGGGCAAACTATAACACTGCTAAGCACTGCCTGTGGAGGAAACTTAGAGGCTAAACAAACTATAGAAAGACTTTTTTGAGGTATTTTCGACCCATGCGGCGGCAATTCTCCGGAGGCGAGGCGAGGCTTTGGTGCAATGGCTTGACAGTTGTATGTATCGCACTCCTTTTTTTATTTTTTTTCTTCGCCCCTTTGTGACAAGTTGTAGAACTGTGGCTTTGTACGAGTAGTACCTTTGTAGTCGCTATCCATGTATTTGCTTGAGGCGATTGAGTCCAGCCTTATGGATACGGCCTTTTGCTTACGCGGTTTGGGAAAATCTAGGCCATTGTTTGTTGTAGGGCCGGGCTGTTAAAGGATTTTGAAAAGCCGGAGATATCGCATGTATGATACCAAATAAGGATAATTCGACCGGGGAGTTCTCCTTTCACGGTTTCAGATTGTTACAAGGAAAATAGCGTGCCATGGGTAGATTACAGAGCTTACGACATATTTTCCGTGCTTCATACTGATGAGAAACATCAATTTTACCTCAATTCCACGACATTCCAGGTTCCTGAGGTCTTTTTGGTACTCCGTATACTCCGTAGAGAGGTATGTAGTCAGCGGAGCGAAATCGGACTTCCCGCTGGTGGCGCCGGTCATGGTCAGCCAGGGGTGCAGTGTGGGAGTGCTAACTTAGCGGCATGGCTCGGCCCAACCTAAAAGGAGATGGACTCCAGCTGAGCAGAAAAACCAGACCGGAAGATGGCCGGAATTCAACGGCCCAATGGCTGACAGTCGCGCAGCACATCCACACGGGCGAGACGCCCACCTTTGGTGGAAAATCCTAACCGAAAGGGGTCGGCGAAGGCATTATGCCCCATTTTATTCTCCAGGGGATAATCAGTTAGCGTGTCGAAGAAGGGTAGGGGCGTTTGCATAAGTGGCTATGCCGTTGAACGGGAAAGTCCTTAGTTCTATGCCAAGCTTTTGCTTTCGGTGATGGATGATCCACCAAAACCCACTGAAAAATTTCCACCAGCGACCAAAGATTGAAAAGTGAGGATCAAGCGGGTTCGCTCCCAGGAGGTCGAGAATCGACCATGATTGAACCATTGCTCTTCTAGAATCCCCGCTGATTGTGGACGAAGAGGCATCTAGAAAGGTCCGTAGTTACTAGTTGGTGGTTGTCGTACGCTATCAACTTAGGCTCGCACTGTTTGGTTATCTGAATCGTTTGCGGTTTTGAAACGCTGGTATGTGGTCACCATTCCTATGGAAACTGTAGTTTGACGTCAAGTCACCACCAAGTCACATTCCAAGGAACGGAGGTACACTTTTCCACCACAGCCATGTGAACATGTGGATGCTGGAACACCACACATGGTCGTTTTTCAAAGAAGGGAGAAGTCAAGCTGTTGAATTTGTTTCTGATGAAATGGCTGTTGACCAAGTACACTTTAATTGGTCTATGTGAGCGCCACAGGCGTCACAACGGAGAGAAGATACCCTAAATGGACGATTTTAGAGGGTCGGCAATGGAACAAATTGTACGACTTCCACTTGCCGGGACTAGAAATACACCTGAAACGGAAAAGTGTCACAGAAAAGAGAGGAGTAAAAAAGAGGTAGGGGAAGGGGGAAAAAAATAAATAAATAAAAACATAGAATAAAAAATCAAAAATGCATAAAAACAAACTAGTCTCATTGGAGGCGATTGAATTACCTTACCTAACAAGGGGGACGGTCAACCGCCCTGCTTGGAAATGGAAAGAGATGTGTGCTACGCTCTACCTTCCTCCTCTCGCATGATTTAATTACTTGCCTCGCTAACTGGGATAATACCCGTGACTAGGCAACGGGCTAACTCAGGTATGTGCAGCTACTGCGCTACTCCCCATAAGTTGTTACTGACTTTGAATATGGTTGTTCACCTCGATTGCATTGAATTTTCCCAAACAAGACAGACAAAGTTAATCAGAATAATTCAAAATAGCCTAAACGTCTGTACTCCATAGAAGCAGTAAACAAACATTAGATCTTATCGAAGATCCCCGTCGTCTGTATGTCCACTTAAGTTGGTGAGGAAGGACGCGGCCAGTCAGGGAACGAGTGGATTCCCAAGTAGGGTACAGGACACCCAAAACCCTAGTCGGACCTCCTACGGACTAATCACAGTTGATAATTAAGTGGAGAGGTTGGCTGAGTCAGCGGAGGACGCGCAAGCCGGGTGAACCTGATTTCTATTCCTGGCGTGGAGAAACGTCCCACTCAGTCGATTCCCCTGGCGCCTCCCTTCCACTCTTGCCCAGGCGCGAACTCCATTCTCCTCTCTTCCTTCCCTTCCCTCCCCTATTGTTGCCAACTCTCTCTTAACCTACACATCTATTCCATTTCCATTTCCTCTTCACATCCATCGTCGATCTTCTCTCCCACCACAACACACCATCGCTTTTTCTCTCATCCCCACTGCGTACCGTGGGTGATCGTTCGTCTTCTTGTGCTTAGCCTGTTTTCGTTTTTCACCTCGCTTCTTAATCTCCCTTATTGGGCTCGTACACGACCTCCACCTCGTCTCTCGCTATCGTCCGGGCCGATCGAGTCTTGTAAATCCACCAACGCCCACTTTCCATCCGACTTTAAAAGAACACTGTCCCCTCAATTCTACCCGGGGCACATATATCACACACATCATGGCCACATTAGCGGAACATCCGGTTGTCGCCCCGTCGACGTACGATCAGGATATCGATACTTTCCTCAACCTCGATCAGCTCACCTATACCACATCAGAGCCAGCCAGGCCCAAGGCGGCCCTGGCTCAACCATCCATCCCTCCTACAGAGTTCAACGCTGGTGATCTTAGAAGCGCCAATTTCGCCGCAACGGGCCAATCGCCGATCGCTTTCCAAGGCCCGAGCCACCAGTATGACGAGCATAAGCAGCAGACAGGTCTTCCTCCAGGTGCTCTGGCTCAAGCAATGACTTTTAACCAAATGAATGGAATGGGGTATGGTGGTGCCAGCCCTGGTTATATGATGAACGCCGACATGTTTACTGGTACTCATCTGAAGCGTGAGGACGCTTCTCTCGACTTCAACACAATCCCGAGCCGTAACCCCTCAGAGATGGACCTGGAGTCCGATAACATGGGTGCGGTCCCCGGTTATTTCTTCTCGCCAAATCCCAACAAGAGCCAATTCGTCGACCCCAGTGCCATCGGTGGCCAGGAGGTGGTCCCCGCTGGTCCATCTACGCAGGTCGGTCGCATGTACCCCGGAATGCATCAGCAGCAGGCTGCGATGGCCAAGGCGGCTCAACAACAAAAGCATCATGAAATGATGCGCCAGCAACAGCAATTGCAGCAACAGCGACGCATGGAAGAGCAGATGCAGCACAATGGAAACCCTCAGGTCCAGCCCCCTCGCAACACGAACCCGATCGTGGAGGAGCGAATCACTCGTCTTTTGCAGCAAATGAGACAATCCAGCACCTCGAGCTCGCCGTCCGATTCTCCCAGCCCCTCTGGCTTACCTCAGATGGCCAAGGCCAAGAAGGATGAACAAGATATGGACGAAGATGAAAGATTGCTTGCTAGTGAAGAAGGCAAGAAACTTAGCAGCAAGGAACGCCGTCAGCTTCGTAACAAGGTCTCCGCTCGTGCTTTCCGGTCCCGCAGAAAGGGTATGCATTGATGTTGTTTTTGAATGCTTGTTTATGATTTGGTAAACTAATTCGTCACAGAATACATCGGTCAACTTGAGAGCGAGGTTGCTGCGAGAACCAATGAAGCTCATGAGTTGCGTCTCCAGAACCGTGCCCTGTATGAGGAGAATGCTCGCCTCACCGATCTTGCACGCATGCTTCTATCCTCCCCCAATTTTTCCCAGTTTCTAGATGAGATGCCCATGAACGGGGTCCCTACCTCGGCTCAACCGCAGCCACCTCAGCAACAACAGCCGCAGCAACTGCAATCTCAGCCCCAACCCCAGCAGCAGCAGCCAACTATGCAGGCCAATGTACCCAAGGATACAAACCACGGACATGGACCCCAGGAATTCGCTATGCAACAGAATGCTCAAGTTGGTATGGTTGTTGTCCCTAATCAAGGACTCGACGTAGCTGCTATGGGCATGAACAACGCTGGCTGGAACTCCGGCATTGATATGAACTACAACCCATCAGTGTTTGCTGTTTTGGAAGTCCCCGAGCCCTCTATCATCGATACCAAAATTTTGTCCGGAAAGTCTTCCAGTGCTGGAACCTACCTTCCTGAGATTACAGACACCAAGAACGAAATACCCGTTCTCGAGCGCATGCCCATGTCTGAGGAGCCGAAGGAGGCCAGCTTTGGCGTTGAAAACCCAGATGTTGAGTTTGACGAATCGGACCCAGCCTTTGCTCTCTTCGCCGACTCTCCCGCTACCTCTCAACAAGAGTCGCTTAACAACTCCTTCAACGGTGTTGAATTAGAGAAATCTGCGCATGCATTTGAATTGGTGGTTGAGACTGAGTCACAAGATGCAGAGGCCCGTTTCTCTTACCTCTGTCACAGCATGGATGCAGCTTTCCAGCGTGTTTCCATGGTCACCTCTCATCTCTCATGATTCCCCATGTCGCACCTAAGCAACTTCAGAATAACTTAAGAATTTGTAAAGTTTGATCTTGTCATGTTCTTCCTTTTAGGCGGTTCAGCTTCCTGAACCTGCGTCCTTGTAGACACACAAATACCTTTTCCTTTGTTCATGATCCTGTGACTATATATATTGTCTTGACTTACAACTCCACTAGTTTCACTCTATCCTCTTTCTTTTCTATTTTGGATTTTCTTTTTTTTTTTTTTTTTTTTCCCTTTCATTACTGGGTTTGATGGAGTCAATTTGTCGAAATCGTTCAAGGTGGGATCAGGATTACAGGCCTTTGGTGTTCGTTGTTTATTTCTCTTTTTTTTTTACGGAATTGGATACCTTCTGGACTGGCTACTAGGAACCAAGTTTAGTTACTGTGAATACATCACGAAAATTCGAAATCTACGAATAATCATCTCTCTTGAAAATTCCATATTGTTGAAGTATTACCTAGTCATGTGCGGTGCTGCAAACTGGTGTTTCGCCACTAGAGAAGAGAGGCTCTGAACTACAGACTCCCAACTTCACCCCAAGTCGCGTTTTTCATGTGCTACAATCCACCAACTTCACCACCTCGTCGTATCGCTCATCCTTTGAGATGACTGTTCTTTGCATCCCTTCCTAAGTAATTCTTTCTCCCATAGCCAAGTTGGCTCCCCTTCCTCCCGCCCGCGGGCTACTATTCAAAGCCTTTCGCGGAAACGTTGCCCCATCTATAATAGCCCGCTCTCCAGTTCCTTTCAGAGCTTCGTTTTCTCGAACATTTTGGCATATTCCCAAAACTGCATCTAAACCGACGTCCACTAAGCCAAAGAGTCCGATACCAAAAAGTCCTACTTCTGCCAGTTTTGCTAGATCGAAGCCCCGAACCAAACCACACACGTCGAAAACTGTTTCTCCCACGAAACCCTTACCCACACTGAAAACCGAGCCATATCCACTCGAACGGGATACATTTATTCTCCGGGCTCCGAGGCTAATTACGCGACGTGGATCGAGCAACTACTTGCTATACAACTCGACCACTCACAAGCTCTCAGGTTTCGATTTCTTGCCGACCCCGCCTGTGGGACAGAAGCCCATGAAGTTCTTTTATCAGGTCGTCACGACCCCCACAGCCGATACTCCTGGCACGACTGTCCTGCTTCAGTTCCCAGAGAAGCGGTATTTCTTTGGTCAGATCTCCGAAGGAACTCAGCGGGCATGTACGGAACGGGGTGTTAAGATCGCTTACCTCACCGATGTTTTCCTCACGGGTCGCATGGAATGGGGCAACAATGGTGGCTTGATTGGCGTGATTCTTACGCTGGCTGACGGTGTTGCCAGTGCGAATACTGCTCAGGAGGCTATGGCCCGTGAGAAGGAGGCGCGCCAACAAAAGTCTGGAAAGTCTGCCAAACAGTCTCCTGCGAAGAAATTGGAGCACGGTGTGCCCTACGCCGTTAAGGATGGAGAGGCCGTTGCACAGCGGGGGACCTTGACAATCCATGGTGGTAAGAACCTGGCACATACCTTAGCCACTGCTCGGAGATTTGTCTTCAGGAAGGGCATGCCGGTCTTCACACGGGAATACGATTGTGAGGGTATGGCCAAAAGAGGGTCTGCAGAGGCAGAAGATCCTTTTGAACAACCCACTTGGTCTGACGATAACATCAAGGTATGGGCTATGCCTATTCGTCCTCTCACATCTCTGCAGCCGAAGGATGTCCCCCATGTTGCCCCACAGAGCCCGAGAAAGAGGAGCCTTGATGAATTCAGAGAAGAAGTCACTACTCAGGAGGCGATTGACCCGCGCACTCGCGACCAAATCATCAGGCAGTCGGTTATAACGGACATGTTTAATTCGACATGGAAACTGGATGCTTTGGTTGAGACCCCTTTGGCTGAGGTTAAGATGCCCGCGGTCATGTTTGTTCGCAATCCAGAGACCAGGGCGCTTGAGCAATACACGGGCCCTGCTCCGGGAAGCAATGAACCGCTACCTGACATCAAGGTTTTTGTACGCCAGCCTTGGCCAGGCGCAGCCGTTGAAAAAATTCCTCCCACCACCTGGTGTGATGAGGCAGTTTCTTATATCGTGCGGAATCACGATATCAGAGGCAAGTTTGATCCCAAGAAAGCGGAGGAGTTGAAGGTCCGTAAAGGCAAGGACTTCGGACGTCTGACGAAGGGCGAAAGCGTGGAATCCGAGGATGGGCAAACTATCACACCTGAGATGGTTCTGGGCCCCCCACGACTTGGAAAAGGTTTAGCCATTATCGACTTACCTAGCTCAGAGTACGTGGAGAGTCTCATCAGTAGGCCGGAATGGAAGTCACCTTCTGTCACTACGAATCTTGAAGCATTTATCTGGCTACTAGGCCCCGGAGTCGGAGATCATCCTCGGCTACGTGAGTTTGTCGCCAGTATGCCCCATTGCAAGCACACTGTGTCTAGCTCGGATTATTGTCCAAACTACTTGGCTATGGGCAGCATTGCCGGGTCATCTGTTCGTATGGCACAGTTGAGGAGCGACAACTACCCAGTGCCAGTCCATGACAATGTGAGCCTTCCGCAACCAGGAACACGTACTCATGGTTCGGAGGTTACGGTGAAAAATGTGCAGAGTTCGCCATTTGAAGCAATTGAACCTGGCCTTATCATTGACATGGAACCCAATTTTGACATCAACCGTTCTGAGGTTGTCCCACGGTTTAATGCGATTGAGGCAGTACAACGGATGCCTGTGGCAGTCCAGAAGCGTATGAGTACAATCGATAAGCGAGTCAAAAAGGAAGAGTTTGAGGAAAAGCTGCGGCAGTTCCGTAAAGATCTTCCAGGAGCCGACGCGGAGATCATCACCCTGGGTACAGGTTCTTCTTCTCCTTCCAAATACCGCAATGTTTCCAGCACCCTTGTTCATGTTCCTGGTTACGGTTACTATCTGCTTGACTGCGGTGAGAACACGCTTGGTCAGCTGAAGCGCGTTTTCGAGCCCGAAAAGTTGCGGGAGGTTCTACAGAACTTGCGAATGATCTGGATTAGCCATTTGCATGCAGACCACCATCTCGGTACTGCTTCTGTAATCAAGGCGTGGTTCCAGGAAAATTATCCGAATGGAGATTCGCAAACAAGCGCTCTTGAGACCGACATGTCCAAGATACTCAAGGAAAAGCGATTGTTCCTTGTCTCTGAAGAAAACATGATCTGGTGGCTAGAAGAGTACGCAAGCGCTGAAAACTTTGGCTTTGGGAAATTAATTCCCTTGTCCGCCTATCCTGTGATTAAGAACAGGGCACTCCGGACCAAGTTTGTGTACCGACACTGCCGCGCGAACGGCTCATTCCCTGGCCAGGAAGTTGAAACTTTTAGTCCCCGGAGTACAGAGCTCAGCTTTGATGACGAGTCATCTCCGCTCACACCACTTCTCCGCGAAGCCACAGGTCTTGCCGATCTCTTAACCACAAAGGTGTCTCATTGCCGTGGCGCTATGGCAGTCTCACTTGTCTTCCCGAACGGCTTCAAGCTCTCCTTCTCGGGCGACTGCCGACCTTCCCCCAGCTTCGCCGCAATCGGACACGGCTCCACCGTCCTTATCCATGAAGCCACCTTCCAGGATGACATGGGAGTATCCGCGATCGCCAAGAAACACTCTACGACATCCGAAGCCCTAGAAGTTGGCCGCAGAATGGAAGCTCGCGCCATCCTCCTCACCCACTTCAGCCAACGGTACCAGAAGATCGCGCACGTAGAAAAGAACCAAGGGCCCACCAAACGCCAAGAGACAGTCGTCCAGCCCGAACAACCGGACATCCCAGACAACGAACCGGAAGAGGCTTCCCAAGCGCCAACCTCCAATGGGTACGTTCCATCTTTCTTCAGCACCATCAAGGTAGAGGAAAAGCCGCAGGTTAAGGTCCCCATAGTCGCCGCCTTCGACTACATGCGCATCCGTGTTGGCGATATGCCCGTCGCGCAGGCGTACGCGCCGGCAGTGGAGAAGCTCTACGACATCCTGGAGCGGGCTTCGGAAGAGGACTCCGAGAAGCAGCGCCAGCAGAAGGAGAAACAGGAGGCTGCCAAAATGCAGGAGAAGATGAGAAGAAAGGCCAAGCACGACAAGAAGTCGAAGGCTGGTGCTAGCCTGGCCGATGTGGAACCTACACCTGCTGTCCCTGCCGAAGAAATGGACCTCGACAAGAAGTCTCCGGTTAAGCGTCACTCGGCCTGGAGTGCCAGTGAAAGTGAAAGCGGCTGGAGCACCAGTGGCAGTGATGAAGAAGCTGAGACGCGTGCAAAGCGCAACAGCCGCAGTCCCAGTAGGACTATGAAGCGTTCGAGTTAAGACATAAAGCAAGATACACTTATCGTTACATACCCTGTATCATATATATATCTGGCGTGCTTTCAGGAGGTACATAAATAGTATATGGAGGTAAAAGTTTTGGCCAATGGACAAGTTTCGCGTCCTGTTCGGGTAAATACTTTATTATTATTCAGCTGAGACATAATACAAACCAAATAAAGCCTCTATATCCTAGTCTCTGATAGTATTACGACGTGTGTAATTCTGCATATTCCTGTTTCTCATTCCAAAAGATTATATGGCTGGAGTAAATACAATCACAGTACACATTGTTATGTATATATACTTCTGTCGCCCCCTAGAACCCAGAAACTGCTTTCTCCCTGTCATCCTTACCATAAAGACCCGCTCCAATGTTCTCTGTGCACTCCTCCCGCCAATTCTTGGGCGTGAATTTATCAACGATCTCCTTGAATGCGTCTAATGTGCAGAAGGTGTCGTCTCCGGCAAGATGATTCTGCGGCTTGGCAGCGCAACCAGGGATACGGACTGGAACGTCGTTATAACGGATACGGACATAATGTTTCTGCAGGGATTGTCTTGCGGAGCCGGGGAAGGATGCGAGGGGAGCACGAGCTGTTTCAGACGGAGGGGGCGGGGTTGAGTTGTTCGAGTTCGAGGAGCCCTTCATGAAGGAGAAAAGACCTCCGCTCTTCTTCTGGGCGATGGCAGGGTTTGAGAATTCTTCGAGCACGACGCCTGCATCTTCACTGCCTGATTTACGGTCCGCCTTTGAGAAGAGCTCGATAGCAATGGAGGAAGTGAAAGGTGGCCACCTGCCGGGGGAGGCGCCCACACTACCCAGGATGGCTGCCAGAGTGGTATCGTGGCATCCGCTCATGGCGAACTTGATCGCTTTGCCATTGTCAGTCGAGGACCCAGATGCCGAGGTTTCGCTGCGCCAGCCGCCGTCAACAGCTGTGCTGACCATGCGGTCGACCACATCGCCTAGTAGAGCTCCGATTCCGAGCTTTCGGTATTCGGTGCTCTCATTGTAACCGGCGAACCATTCGTCAACGGCGATTTGCTCCATGTACTGTCTGAGTTTTTTGTCGTAGAACTCTGAAGGAAGACGTGTTGCGGGCCCGTGGGCGTCGGTTGCATTGATGGTGTCATTGATTCCGGAGAGACGGGGGTGGGAGTCGACGGCAACTTTAGGAGACTTCTCTGGCATCCATTTGGATAGGATGCTGTTGATGTAATTCATCTGTTCGGTTTCGTTCCCTAGGCAGATATGCTAATCAGCTTATGATATCCTTTATGTTCCTCTACCCCACGTACACCGTAACGCTGCCCTATCGGCAAAGAGCCTAGCGAGTTGTCTGAACCGACGGCAGTTGCCTTCATTAGGAAATAGAGTCTCTTCCGACACGGAGCGTGCAACAATCACTGGCGGAGGAAAGTCTTGGGTACGAGCACTGGCCGGGTACATGCCCCAGAAAGCCTGCTGGAGGGACTCAAGGGCTCGCGGGATGGGTGTGGCTCGGAGGTACATGTCTTCAGTGTCAGACTTGATCTTGGGCATGAACCCAAGCTGGTCAACATAAAGATGTCTCAGGCGCTGGCCGAGGGCAAAGGTTGTTTCCCGTCCCCTGTCTGTCAATTCGCCGTGTTGGCTATTGTTGCGGGTTACTCGTCAGTAACCTCGCTCTCACCAACTGTCCCGTATATCCCATGGCAACTTACCAAATACCTTCGATATCACCTGTTGCGCCCACTGCAACCACCGACTCATCTCTATCGCCGAATGCTTCCGTCTTTTTCCGCCATTCAAAGCCCTTCCACTGTGAGAGGTCCTGGTTACTAGCGGCCATTTGGATCATCCGACGTGCAACATTGCAGTACGGCCAGTCTTCGAGGGTAAAATAATCGGTCAGTCTGCGAAAGTATAGAAGCAACTGGGTGTGATTGAGGATATTTACATTCAGCTAGGCCTGCCTTCATGGATTTAGTAGTCATGTCACATTATCAGTTGGAGGTATGTGGTTAGCTTCATACATTTTGAAACCGAGAAGACACCGGCGTGCGTTCACCTGAAGCCAGTCAGTCAATTGATCAAGTACTTTAGCCATTGGATCACCGCCGAACCACCTCACCATGGCGAAGGAACTATAGAAGGGTTAGTACAAGTTCAATTGAACTCTAACCCGGTTATCTCGTTTGGTACGTACCACCTGGACCAATTGGAGCTTCAGGTCTCTCGGATAGAGCTTCTCGAGCTCCTCCTGGGAGTAGGGTTCGCGGGGATTTAAAGAGGTCATCGGGAACTGGTATAAGTGCGCAAAGAACGACCTTGAATCAAGCCGATTGCTACTCAGGGTAGGACGAAAGTCGGTGACTCGGCGGATTGTCCGTTGATGACGCCAGAAGGCGGTGGGCGGTAACCACGGCCCAATCAGCGGAGATGCCGGAGTCACCTGTTGGCAGCGGCAGTTCTTAATCCACGTGCAGATCAGCTGGTCTATCAAGTGATGAAGAGGAACCCTAGACGTTGCGCTGTAGATAGGATTAAAGTGCGTCAATCGAGGTGCTTAGCTTGATAGAGCTCTTACTACGCCTTGCCTGTGATCCAAAGTAGATGATAAACAACCTTACCCCGCTCATTGTTCAATATTCAAGCAATCATGTTCTCCTTTCGGTTCTGGTTTGATTTTAAGGACTTGCCAGGGAAATCGTCATCTCTAGACAGATCTCTACTGTATGATCCAGTGTTTATGTTGAGGATTCTACTGATATATAACTCATTTCAGTGATATGCTATTACGCACTAGTATATATATTGAACTCCACTAAATGGCTGTCGGCGATCATCCTTCTCACTGGCATTCTAACGGTGCTACTCCACTTGCTTTAGTTGAAGATAATGGGATTAATGCATATGGTAGACAACCTAGGTCCAAGAGCTCCACCAATATACAGGACTTATCTATGAGTACGATTCAACTAGAAAACAACTATCGAAAGGCGGGCCGTGAACAAGTACGACATCGGCCAGGCACAAAGGCGGAAGGATCCATTGACCAATCGTGCCAAGACTCGGACAGTCGGTCTTATCGCGAGAAACGCACTGCGAGCATCTTCCCCAACCTCCAACTTCCGGAGCTTTCGCCGTTGACTCACATAGATAATCTCTCCTGGATAGGAAGTTAGCTCTACAGTTTACCTAGTGTGCTGCCAGTCTGCGGCATTTGTTCAGGAGCTTCCGGCCAGTCTAAAAGCACCCCACATCGGCAGGAGTTTCCGCATTCCCTTTGCCCTGCCAATCAAACCCATACATATACTGGTAGTAGTTATATCTCCAACTGCCTGTGTATGCTCGAAGCTCGAGCATTTGCGCGTTGTTCCCGCGACTCTATCTTCCTTGACTCGACTATTCTACTGTTAACCATGAGTTTTAAGATCTACTGAACAGCAGTTCTCTAGCTCTGGTCCTGCCATTCCACACACGCAACCCACCCAAGTAACCTGTCTTGAAATAAATGTTTCTTTTCTTTCCCCTGACCAGCTCTCTGAATACCAAATCTGCACAGTAGCCTGTGAAATTTGCATGCTTTTCTTTGTTGCTAGGGATTAAAGTGTGGTGCGTCCCTGGTGGTGGCTGGTTAATTCACTACGAATCTTGAAACAACAGCACTGTAAGTCCCCATTCGATTCGTATGTTGTTGCCTTCCAGATCAAACCTCTCCTGTTCTATCACCCTGCGTCGGTCCGTGCTAACTGACTCGCCAAGAAAGCTCTTCCTTTATCTGGTTACTTGATTAGTGTTTGACAACAAATAGTTGACTATATGGAGGTAAGAGATTGCAATTTCTTTGCTATTCCTTGTTCCGTGGAATCTTTTTTTATGTATCATCTCCTGGACCTGTTGTATGGTTCTGCCTTGTGCTATTGTCTGCAGGGGCGAAGCTGTGTTATTGCTTCTTACGTCCCAAGTACCACTTTTCAGCAGGGTTTTCAGTGACTTCTAGCTTGCAGTGCCCCAGTCCACTCAACTGTGGCTACGTGGACTAGCCTTGAAAATGCCTGCACAAGATATGAGAAATCTAGAGGACTACTATGAGTGAGCTTTGGGTTGCTAACAAATTATTCAGCCGGCAGGACATACGGCGCAGGCGAAGCCGGGGCAGGTTTCCACCGGCAAGCCTCAAGATGCCAAACCCCGTCTGTTATTGATGGGCCTCCGCCGGTAAAGTTAGCTCTTTTCGGGCATGATCGAGGTTTTATTGACCATGAATAGGAGCGGGAAATCCTCGATCGCTAGTGTCGTTTTCCACAAGATGCCTCCTAACGAAACGCTCTTTTTGGAGTCAACGACTCGCATCCAAAAGGATTCCATCCAGTGAGTACATCCTTCTTACTTGATAAGTGCATCCACGCTTACAATATGTCCAAAGCTCGTTCATGGACTTCCAGGTTTGGGATTTTCCTGGTCAGCTCGAGTATCTGGAGCCATCTTTCGATCTCGAAGACATTTTCGGAAGCCTTGGTGCGCTCGTCTGGGTCATTGATGCACAGGATGATTACCTGGACTCGGTCGCGCGCCTAAACCGCACCATCCTGACTGTCCAGCAGTATTACCCTAACATCAACATCGAAGTCTTCATTCACAAGGTTGATGGACTCTCGGAAGAGTACCGTACCGATACATTCCAGGATATCGTACAGCTCATTTCGGATGAGCTTAGCGATGCTGGGTATGAGAATGCCCCTGTCCACTATTACCTCACGTCTATCTATGATTACTCTGTCTTTGAGGCATTCAGCAAGGTTATCCAGAAGCTGATCCCAAACCTATCGACTCTGGAGAACCTAATCAACACCCTCGGTAACAATTGTGGATTTGAGAAGACCTATTTGTTTGATGTTCTCAGCAAGATCTACATTGCTTCAGATACTCGCCCAGTGGATATGTCCTGCTATGAGATGTGCTCGGACTATATCGATGTGATTGTGGACATCTCAGAACTTTACTCATGGGACCACCCCGACCGCAAGCCAAAAGGCGAGCAAAATCAAGAGGCAGAGAGCCATGTGGTTCTGCACGACGAGACCATGATCCATTTGATGGAAATGAACAAGTATGTCTCGATGTTGCTTTTTACCTGGTAGGAGAAGCTCGCTGACTCTTGCTAGATATCTTTGTCTCGTGTCTGTCATACGCAATCCTGAGGCGAAGGAGAAGAAGGGTTTGATTGATATGAATTGCCGTACTTTCCAGGAGGCCCTCAATGATGTCTTTTCTCGCAGCTGGGAACAGGATCAGGAAGGGTCCGAACAGGGCCAGGCGCAGGGGCAGGTGACAGAGCATGGCGAGCCAGGTTCGAATAACTGATATCAAAAGTGTTGCTTCTATGGCGTTGGAACATCTACGGAGTAGTAGTCCACTATTTGCCTACTGTAGCACTTTGAGAAGCGTATCTTACACACAATACCATTTTCTGTGTCGAAGCTTCCTCACTCTTGCCTGACTTGTAATACTGGGAGAGACTTCACTGTGCGAGTAATTGCCTCGTGAATAATAGCTCTTACTAGATAAAACATGATATTATGAGTCCGCTGTACTGCAAGAGACAGATTAGTTTTCGCCTCCCCTTTACTGGCGCTCACCCTTAATGGACGCAAATAACAACGTAGTTAAGGCACCAAGGCAGCAAGAAGCGGGCCCACGCTTGGCACTAGCGCGAATTTTTTCTTTTTTCCTGAAGGATAAAACGAGCTTCTCTCCATTTTTTTTTTTCTTCTCTTTCTTCAACTCAACCATACACTCATGGGTTGACCAAGAGGTCACTCACTCAAGCATAATGAAGCTTGAAAGCAACATACTAACATGAAACCCCAACAAACAACTTCAGATTCACTAAATACAATGGTAAGTCCAAGCAGTTTTGTTATACCCAACATCACACATCAATCCGATCCCCCCCCCTTCTCGATGATGAAAATTTTTCCCACATTCGCAGTTTCCACGCTAGCCGTCGCTAGAACCCAATCTAGACGTGCTCTGTGCGCAATACTTCCTTGGATGTCTGAGAGATTCTGTCATACAGCTTGATATTTTTATATTCATGTGCATGTTTAGGACTGTGACTGACATGCATTTAGTATTTCTAGGTTCTTTTTTCGTTGAATGAATACGTATGAGGGTGGGATGACTGGGTTAAAGAGCTTGGTGTTACGAACTGCTGGTACACTGCTGGTCAGTGTTGCCGTGAAAGAGTTTTGCTGGGATGTTTGTTCCTGGACTCTTGACTTAGGACATGCTTCAGATATAGTGCTTGAAAATATTATGAAATGAATCAAATCATCTTTGAGACACTACGTCATCTTCAACTCGTAAATCTGTAGCTTCACCAACATGGAATCGCGGTAGATCTTTTATTACCACATGAACCTCCAGTTCAAAATGATCATCAGAAGCCGAATCGTCCACCGAAATTATTTTCCAAAACCCGATAGATTAATATAGCATACAGAACAAGTGTCACGTTGTCATCTCACCACCCGAAACAGAAGCGGAGAATCAACGGAAATTACCCTTTCCTCGACAGGACTACACTCCTCACTCATAAACTCCCCAAACCCAACCTAACCGCAACTTCCATGACACCTTAACCTAAACCAAAGTAAGCTCTACACTACGAAAAAAGTGAAAAAGCGACCATGTCCTCCCTCCGCCAGCGACAGGTCCCCGCCGGCGCCGGCGCCAACGAACCATCTACATCCAAACCGACCACCCAAAAGAGCAAATCTCGCAATGAGAAAAATGGCCTCAGTGTCCTTGATATTATCCGTGTGGTGGTCACACTGATCGTCGCATCATGCGGCTTATCTTACTACATGACGTCGACGGAGTCCGTGCTATGGGGCTACAGGCCGTGGTTCACTAGATGGCCGGTGTTGGTCCGGTACTTGGTATGTTTTGGCATCACTTGCTTCCCATTACTACATTCGAATCAGTTCCTGGGAGCTTTTGTTGGTGAGATGGGCCAGATTAGCTAATGAATCACACAAACAGCAAGGACCTCTGAGCCTCACGCCCGAGCAACTCGCCCTCTACAACGGGTCCGACTCGACCCTCCCCATCTACCTCGCCATCAATGGCTCCGTGTTCGACGTCTCCGCGAACCCGCTCGTGTACGGAGCGGGCGGACACTACAATTTCTTCACGGGGAAGGATGCCACGCGCGCGTTCGTCACGGGCTGTTTCCAGGAGGACCAAACGCATGATCTGCGGGGGGTTGAGGAGATGTTCATGCCGGTTGATGAGGAGGCGGAGCTGAAGACGCTGAGTAGTGGGGAGAAGAAGATCCGGCGGGAGCAGGATCGGCGGCTTGCCCGGACAAGTGTGCAGAAGCAGGTGCAGCACTGGGAGAATTTCTTCCGGAATCATAAGAAGTATTTTGAGGTTGGGAAGGTTGTTGGGTTGGAGGTGCCGGAGGAGCAGAGGGAGCTTTGTCAGTCGGCTAAGCAGCAGAGACCTAAGAGGAGCAGTTTGAAGAAGGGCAATTAGGGGAAATTTGAGGGAGTTTGATTGATAGGTTTGTATGTATATATCTGGGCGTGTTTTTTATCTGTCGGTCATCGCGTGTGCTACGTAGGGTACTCTGCTCTTCTTATCTGTCGGCTTTCCTACTTGTCGTTCCCCGCATGCGTTTCTTAAACTGTAGATGGTTGCGGTTGTTTGCGAGGGTCGTTCCTTTGTCGATTTTATCAAGGAATTTACGTGATACGTCCAGTAACGGAAAACAGGATTTCACTCCGAAATTGATTGATTCATTGAACCACTATACATCATTCGCCCAGCCAAGCTTCCGAATTTTGAGATATCATTCGTAAAATATGAGAGGACCGCGAGAAAAGACTAGTGAGGAAACGTTTACTCAGCGGTAACGGCACGGGCTAATTCATCTGTTAGTATATGCGCCAAAAAGTCGATATCCAGCGGTTCACGGCGAAGACGTACTGTAGATGTTCAACTTGGAGTGGCCGACAACCTTCTTGATCTGGCCCTTCTCCTCGAGGTCCTCAAGAGCCTTACGGGCGAGGGAGCCGTTGATCTTAAGACGATCGACAAGGGTGGCGACGGTGATGAGACGGTAGGACTGGACGTCCTTGTTGAGACGCTCAGCGACCTGCTTCTCGAGGACAACGGCGTGCTGGGCCTTGTCCTTGACTGTTTGCAGAGAAAAAACCACGTCAGTTATTATTGTTCCACAAGCCGGCTTTCAATATCGTCGATTCATGTCCAAACAACCCCTCTGCCCACAAAAAAATCGCTTGACATCTTGATCGGGAAAAGGTTCGTTCGCTGGGAGGATGGATGGGAGACGGTGATTTGCATACCCTTGCCCTTGGACCACTTCTTGCGTGCGGGAGCCTATGAATAAAATATTAGTATAACCTGGACATCCTGCTGTTCGTCTCTACGTGCGGCATCAACTCACCATCTTGACTGTCTGATCTGGTTGTTCGACGACGGATGAGAGCGCGACAATCAACGGCCGGAAGTGAGAAGCCCAAGTGCGAAATTCGAGTGGGGAGACCTTTGGCGTCACGTGGGTACAAACCCTAAGCCCTTGTTTGCTCGGTTAGCGGTGGTGGAAGAAGAGGCCTTTTATTGGTCAACGTTATCTATATTAATGCCTCAGGCATCAATATATAGTATCAATGACTACACCGAGATGAGATATAATGTCATGGATATATGAATGAGGTTCCGATTTATTGGAGGTTACTAAGACCAGGCTCGCTTGGAATTGCATAAATCATAAATGTTTCTTCAGTTATCGGCTCATGCCTGCACTGTGGCTTCCAGTAGAAGCTTTACCCTTGATAGTATTTAGTACTTTGAACTGTGAATTTCCACCTTCACTCTCGATACGACCAAGGGTATAGTCTTCAGTCGTTCCGAACCAGAACTTCGAGTCATCCCCTTGATTGGATGATAGCCACCTCACATCGTATCGTCCGCTGTCGCTTCGCGAAGTAGGGATGTGAATGATTGACGGCTGGCCATCAGGGGTCCACGATCGAACAGCAGCAAGGGCATTGTTAGCAGTGATGACAAGTAGCTGTATTTTCGAGGGATGCCATGCAGCCTGCCTGACTGGATGTTCGTGAACCAAGGCCGACACAAGTACGGCAGTGGACTCCAAGTTCCATATCCAAACAATGTTTGGCCGTGTTTGGTCTATAGTGGCTAGGAGCTTTCCGTTGCAACTGAATGCCATGATTGATACGCCCCGCGGTGGGCCGGATGTTTCCGCAGTTATACTAAAGGCAGAAGAACTGGACGACTCGGCATATTCAAGGTTACCATCTGCAGTTGCGTAGCGCTCACGCCATATACTGGGCGAATTGTCATCGATTTGGAAGACATGGGATAATGTTGTCGAACATGAGAACTGCATTTATCAGTTATCTAACTGGCCCAATATATAAAAGAGCACCAATTTAGCATAGAAATATACGTACTGTTTTGCATCGTAAGATATCAACAGTTCCATCGACCTTACTGATGGCTAGATATTCCGAGGCGCCACTCTCCTTTGCAACCGGACTCCATTCTATACCTCGGACCCCAAGGTCAAAAGAATCATCGAATCCCGGTGGCCCGGTATAAGTCCTGAAGAGCTGTCCGTCGGCAGTGAATACAAGAACTTTGGTGCCCGCACTGGCAGCATCCCAGACGGCTACCCATCTCCCGTCGGGGCTCCATTTCAAGCCTTGAGCGTCTACTGTCGGTAGCACCGCACGGTTTATTAGCTCATATGTTCTGAATCCATGAATAGTCAATAAGTCCACTGCGTCTGGTTTTAATAAAATTGCAAACTGCCCCGTCTTAGGTCGGTACCCGAAGCCGTTGGGATGAGCAAATTTCGGAGATTTAATCACCTGGCTGCGGCCAGTGTCCAGAGCATACACAGTTAACCTTGTATTCCATGCATGGAAAACTATGACCTCATTTTCATCGCTACCGAAATCAATGTTCAAGGCACCAGGCTCGATACTCTCGATTTCAGCATGTAATTGCAGCGGGAGCAATTGCCATACCAGAACGCGTGTATCACTGGCATGGAGCACACGTCGCCCTGGTGCAATCTCGCCTCTAGCGGCATATGTATCTGGTGATACGGTGGAGCTCGCTCGTGAGAATTTCAAGAATTTTGACGAGCTTTCTTTGACTTTGACAATCTCTACATCCTGGAACCCAGAAGAAGCCGGGTTGAGATGCAGGATGAGATCTTTCGCACTTATCTGAGCAGCATATTCCCCATGTTCAGATAGAGATATTGAAGTTGAGACTGGGCTTCAATCAGTGTTTGTCTATTTTGTTGGAAACTTGGTTAACATACCCCCTGCTCCGGTGGAGTCCATTGTTGGTCTTGGAAGCGGCGCTAGTAGTTCAGTGATTTCATCCGTTGAGACAGCTATGAATGTGGTCGACGGTGCCAGTGTTTCTAACAGTGTGCATTATATTTAACTGTGCACATGATCGTGCTAGTTTCAAGGAAAGTATTCCTAGAAATTTGCAGTCTTGTAGGGTCTCCATTCATTGGGCATGATACACTAGTAATTTCCACTTACGGACGCCAAGCCTTTTGTATAGATTACATAATCACAATCTCAATGAGCTACATATGAATTCTATCTTGGGCATGGAGTGATGAGCAAAGGCCGAAGAATATCCTCACTGACTCAGAATTATTCAACCCGATTACAATCGCTATGCTAGGCCTCTGGCCTGCAGACCGTGTGTTATGCCCAAGTTTGATATAACATCTTTCTGCTGTTTGGATAAGATAAGGCGGACCAAAGTTGCTCCGGCCCGAGATAAATCGCCATCAAAAAAAAGTTGCCCGCAATGGGAATAATCCGGGGAATAATTTCAAGCTAATAACACTCTCACTGTCGCTCATCTCCTCTCTATCCACAACCATAGGGTTCTTGCGCTTTCTTGCCCCGTGGTTGGGGCGACAGATTCCCAAAGCACAGCTTTCAGGTCTCATAAAAATGACAATCTCCGAGACACAATCAGTGTCGCAAAGCAACGGCGAAGCGCAAAATGCGCCCGCCAATGCCAGCACAACACCGAAGACGAAACTGTTGGGGAGGGAATTCTACAAGAGTATAGGGAGCCCAAAGTATATCGTGGCGCCCATGGTGGATCGATCTGAATTTGTATTATCTCCCACTTTCTGTTACCTAGTACTCTCCGATCTAACGGTTGATTCCAGGCCTGGCGCATGCTTACTCGGTCGTTCATGCCACCCGATGATCCCAAGCCTATGCTGGCGTACTCGCCGATGTACCATGCGCGTTTGTTCCGTGAACAGTCACAAATGCGTTTGCAACATTTCCACCCCACTCGCGCTGCTATCAAAGGCGATGATACCCCATATCTAGACGGAAACCCCGCGATAGACCGGCCTTTGTTTGTACAATTCTGCGCGAATAATCCGGATGACTTTTTGGAGGCTGCGCGCCACGTAGCGCCATACTGCGACGCTGTGGACTTGAACCTCGGGTGTCCCCAAGGCATCGCAAGAAGGGGCCATTATGGTGCCTTCCTCCAGGAGGATTGGGATTTGATTTATAAATTGATCAATAAGCTACATACCGAACTGGATGTTCCCGTCACCGCGAAGTTCCGTATACAGGAGACGAAAGAGAAGACATTAGAGTACGCCAAGATGATACTATCCGCCGGGGCGAGTATAATTACCCTTCATGGGCGCACGAGAGAGCAAAAGGGTCATAACACGGGCATGGCTGATTGGAGTTACATTCGGTACCTTCGTGACAATTTGCCCCCGGAGACCGTTATTTTCGCCAATGGCAACATTTTGAACTATGACGACCTGGAACGCTGCTTGGAAATAACAGGTGCTGATGGCGTGATGAGCGCTGAAGGAAACCTGTCTGACCCATCCATCTTCAGCAAACCTCCCCCAGTAGGAAGTGAAGGAAGGGAATACTGGCGTGGCCGGGATGGAAAGGGTGGATACCGGATTGACGCTATTTTCCGCCGCTATCTCGATATTATCTATAAATATGTCCTTGAACAACCGATTCCGGAGAGGAAGCCTCTCTACCTCCCGTCAGACCTCGAGGAGCTGGAGCAATTCATAGAACCCGCTGCCGAGGAAGCCGAGGAGGAAGGGCCGCCGAAGAAGAGGCAAAAACGCGACAAAATGAAGAGACCTACATCTCCCAGTCTTGGGGTCATGCAGGGACACCTGTTCCAGCTTCTGCGCCCAATGGTCGCAAAACACACAAATGTTCGGGATGCACTTGCACGGTCAAGACCGGGCGACATGGCTGCCTTCGAACATACTCTTGCCCTTACCGAGAAAGCAATCAAAGAAGGCCTTAAGGAATACGAACAATTCCCAGAGCGCTTTGAGACATCCGCGAACCAAGAGCTAACGGGCTCCAAGGCGACGATTGCTGAATACGGTAGGCCTTGGTGGATCTGCCAACCGCACATCCGGCCGTTGCCCGAAGAAGCCTTAGAGAATGGTGCCCTCACGGAGAAGGGGAAAAAGCCCAACACGAAACAAGACAAGACCAAGCCTGAGGCATCTGCCGATAAAGCTGACACTCCGGCTGCAGAGGCCTCCGCTTCTGAAACCCCAACCAACACGGCTACAACACCGGACGCCTTGGTAAGCGGTTAAGATGTTGCGACATTTGTTATCTTGAACCACCTCGACAAAGCATCCTATTTAACCGAAGCGCATAAACTATAGATAACCCACCCACTAAAAAAGACATAATACTCACGACATTGCACGGTATATAGAATTAGATCTTTAAGCATAGCACTGCGAATCCAAATATCAATTCATAACATATTCATAGCATCATGGTATCTAAAATTAAAACCCTCAACCCAACCAACCCCCAAACACCAAACCCATAGATATAGAACCAAACCGTCTAAAAATCCAAAACAAGCTGCGGCGCCATCTTCTCCAAATCCTCGACCTGAAGCCACCACCCAAGTCAGTAAAAACTTCCCTAACAACTACACCAAAGAAAAACAAAAGGAAAAAAGAAAGAAGAAAGAGAAGAACAAACCTCAAGAAACCCGTCCCCAATCCCCCTCTCAACACCCTTCGCCCCCTCCGCCCTCTCAAACGCAGCTCTCGCCAACGCCTCCCTCACAAAAACATCCACATACTTGGCCACAACCTCATTAGCATCCTTGGCGATCTTCGTCTTCTGGCCCTTAAAATGATGATGAACGAGCTTCGTCAGTAACTTCGGTGGAATAGCCGGCTCGCTCGAGAGAACATCATTCTCATCGGCATCGGCATGGATAATTTCCGCAAGGATGTAATCTGGTTCTTCAGAGGGAGAGCGCGAACGACTGGACCCGGAACTAGCTTCGGAGTCTGAGTTTGAGGCTGCGGCGGGGGATTCTGAGGCCTCTACTTCGTCGCGTGTGGATGTTGTAGAGGGCCGAGCGGTTTTGGATGATGAGGCTTTTGCATTGGTGGTGGATTTTGCGGAGACTTTGGATTTGGATTTGGGCTTGCGCCTGGGGTTTGGTTTGGAGGTTGATGCTGAAGCGGATGTTGAGGGGCCGGCTGTTGCTGAGGATTGTCGGCTGGGGGGTTTGAAGGGGAGTTGTCTTCTTTTTTGGGCGGGTTGGCGTTCTGGGGGCATGGTGAGTGTTAGCAATGGTTATGCTTGTTTTTCGTTTCAGCGTTGGTGGTGGTGGTGGTGGAAGGTTGTTATCGCTTTGATCGATGACGCGCTGCGTGACGCGAAGTCAGGTGATCTGGTGATATCTATATGTTATTTGTGAAATTGGTTATATTCAGCTTTATTTATTGGGGAGTGTATAAATTGCACTTTATTAAAATGATATTTAAGACATTAGTGTTCTGGTGGTAATTGCATATGGAGTAGAATTAACTGCATCTGTTGTCCACCTTGTTCATGCATATAGCAAACACCAAGGAAGAAACTACCTACTAGAAGAAAGATACACCCCGAACCAATCACTCATCCTCATCCTCAGGCCGTACGACAGTAAAATCCAACCCCGAATCCTCCAAAACCCTCCTCGAGAGCTCCCACTTAACACCAAATAGCCCCGAATTAAACCGACACGACCAAAGCTCCCCAATCCCCGACTCTTCAGCTCGAAGCCCATCAATCTGCCTCACCATATCCGCGACAGCAAGCTCAGTATTCTGAATAATGACATCAGGAGAACTGACCCTCTTCCCGAAATTGCGTGACGTGAACAAGCAGATGATCCAGTGTTTCTTGGCTTTGCCTTTGGAGTCTTTTTCCTGAGGGGGGATAATGAGAGCTGTGCCCTCTGGTAATCGGATATTTCTGTTTCTGGTAGATGGTTGAATATTGTCTGGCTTGTCTGGCTTGTCTGGCTTGTCTGGTGAATCTGAAGTTACTAGGTACTCTGGGTTGAATTTGTACTTTTGGCAATGTGAGTGGTAGATGTTGTATGCGGCCGGATACTGTGTTTGTTAATACATGGTTGATTGATTGATTGATGAGTGGGTGATATAGTATGTACCTTCTGTTTGAAGGCTTTTGCAATTCCGCCACCCCAGGACCCGATACAGTTGCATGCGTCTGAGATAATCAAGTTAATTGTAAGGACAAATTAATTCCCTAGGTCACGTACGAATCAAGGCTGCTCCATCTGGAGCGTCAAAGAGATCGCCTTGCATCTCACTTATGCTGCCGTTGGTTGCCTTGAAAGCCATGGTAAGGTATCTCTGTATTTCTTTCACAATCGGCTTATTGTGTTGAGAACCCCAAGTACAGAGAGACTTCCAAGGACTGAGATGATTAACAAATGAGTCACAAGAGGAAGTTGCATTGCGCGGCTCGTATTTGTCGATGACTACACGGAGTGGTAGTTCGAAGAGCACGGATGATGTTAGACACAATTGGGCAATTGCCTCATAGCATGTTAAAAGATATCCTGAACTGATATCGGTGTATACAATTAACTACAGCCGATACCTGCTAATGACTTCTCAATGTTTCTGAGCTAGCCGGACCAATTAAAAGAAAAGACAAACTGCGCTATGCCATACAACAAAAGACTCGATAAAAACTTATACAGAAAGAAGGGAGCGAAAAGTCCATCATTACCGCTTATCATCTGCTCCTCCAGTAGGATTCTGCACGCGACGAGAAAGGAAGTGTCGCAGACTCTTAGATCCTCTAATGTTGCCTTGGCTTGACGCTTCTACTTCTCGAGAGCCCTCACTGTGCAGAGAATCATTTCCTCTCGCCGATATTGACATTTGAGTATCAGTCTCAGGACCCCATGAAGAGGTTGTTGCCTCAGAACGAGGCGCGCTCTGGGTGCTACTTGATTTCAGCCTTCTACTCAAGCCCCGTGAGATGTTTCGAAGGATACCCGGGTCATCATCATCGGTTCGGCGTTCATAGCGTGCGATCTCGCCCATGTAAGTTACACCATTTGTCCCAAAGTTCTCTTCAGGAACTGGAAGATAAAGGACTACGCCGTGATTGGGTTCAATCTGCAGAAGCCCCCTCAGAGCTGACTGGATCATGCCGGTGCAGCGAAGGTTGGTGATAGAGGCTATGAGGCATGGGAGTGCGTAGACCTTCAACAAATACGCTGGGTCCTTCGAGATACCAAAGCGAATACATACATCCTGCTGTATGGTGACCATCATAGACGATTCGTCTTTCTGATAGATTTGCGCCAGGCGAGATGAGATCGCCAAAGCAAGGGCTTTATCGTCTGTAACCTGGACATACTATTAACTCCTAAAGGCTTTCGAGCTCCGAATGGAATGTAGCATATCCTTACCGTCTTGCTTAGCTTAAGCTCAGCCACAATAACTGATCTCTGGCTCAGTCGATCCCTAAGTGACAGCTCTCGCCCGCGTGTGCTAAAAAAGTCGTCGAAGTACTGGCTCTTTGCCCGACGCATTGGTTCCTCCTCAACGCTTTTACGTATCGCATCGACAGACTTCGGGTCAGCAGGTGTGCCATGATTCGATTTTGGAGCCATCGAATCGTCGTCATCCGTCTCCTCAATGAACATGGAAGGCTTAGCTGGCGGTCTATCGAGCTTGTTTCGCTGCGCCATCGTCGTGTCGGAGATGGCTCTGACTGCCAACGCCTGGAATGACACAGGTGATTCAAGGGTGGGAACTGTTGGTGAAAAGCTCGCGGAGGATGTTGCCGAAGGGTCATGTCGCCGTCTCAGCAGAGATAAGTCCAATTTCTGTTGTCCCGCAACCATCTTTTTCTCTTTTTCTGTTTAGGATATGCCGGCTCAAGCTTAGGGCGACGATTCTTTAGCTATAGCTAAGTGCCTATAACTAGAGCGCCACAAGCGAGTTATTGAAAGTAGGACAAAGTAGACGAAACAAAAAGTATGAGAAAGACAGAGCATTGCAGGTGTCGTCCGGCACTTCTCTTCTCTTTCCCTGGCTGATATTGTCAAGAAGTGCGACTCCTCACTGTAATAGGAAGGCACTACTTTCCATATGGGAAGAGAATGTACTTCCACAGTGAACATGTTAACTATATCTCCAGGATACTAATGACCCAACCTTCAGTCCAATATCACGTACCAGCTTACGGCAAAACTCCCCGACAATACGAAGGTTAGTTCACCACATCGAACAAGATTTCTGGAAGCTAATACTTCACAGTCCGAAGAAGAGGGAGGCCTCGTTGTCACAGCAGTTGCCGGGGACTGTTGTTTATTGTCAGACAAACTAGCATCTGTGTCATGATTTGACCAGTATGGATACACTGTCCTCTATATTAGTCCTCCATTTTGCATTATATAATAACCTGGGAAGCCAACCAACACAGGGAAATTGAAAACAAAGCCTTATTTGAATTGGTCATGGTTGTCGAAATGACTCGATGGGTTTGATACTTTGCTAAACATAAAAAGCGAGTAGGAGGAAAGGGAGACCGAAATATTGGGAGAATCGGGTTATATGTACAAGTACTCTGTCCGATATTACAGCATGCTAGTCAGTCCTAGAGATGTTGAAGTGCTCTTTTTGTATCTTTAGCTCAGTCAAAAGAAGCCTCTGGTAAACAAGACCATATCATCAAATGTTTATTAAGGAATAGTTGAATTGAAGCGTGACTAAAAAACAATGTTACGGTCTTGGCAAATCGTTCGCGTGCTGAGGACCTTTAGAGAATAAATCGACTACTGTTTGATTTCCCGCGCAACGCGACCACTCATGAAGAGGATTCCCCCACCTACACCTTTCATTCGCTTAGACAAAGCATGGTTCTAGTCCAAGGATCTCATTAAGATGGACGACGCGACAAAATCTCTGCTCACGGAGCATTTCAGTTACACTCCGCTGGTCAGTATCTCTGGTAAACGCCTTGTTTCAGACATGCGCCTCCCTTGCCCCTCATATGCCACTTTCTCTTGAGGTAACGAAAGCTGATACCATTATTGCAGTCCCTTGTAGACGACGTGATCAACTCGATCAACAATCTGATCTATCAAGCTATCTCGAGTCTCGAAGCCGGTTTACTCTCCACTCCTCCCGAACGCTTGGGCTTCTCTCACGCTACCAACGGTTCGACTATCCCAGATACAGACGAGGATGGGAACGTTGTTTACCCTGAGGCGAAACTGGAGATAGAAGATGGATTGCACAAACTTGAAACCCTCCTTGAGGCGACCGTCGACAAGGCGTTTGACAAGTTCGAAATTATTGTCCTGCGAAACTCGTTTCGAGTGGACGATGACTTGCTAGGATGGATTCGACTGAAGCATTATGAGGTGTGCTATGTGTTTGGATGACTATGGTTCTGTGTGCAACTGACAATGTATCTTCTTTAGAGCCTGGATCTCAATCCGTCCCCCGACGCGCCCACCCCGGACACAATTGTTGCTCTGCGCAAAAAACTACAAGAAACCAAGAAATTGAACCGAGCTTTGAAACAAGAGACCGCTCGGAACGATGCGGTCATCTCTCAGCTGCGATCAATCTTATCCACCGTTAACGGCGCCGACGCCACGACAAGTGCGAAACAGGAGGGCGACTCCGAGACGCCTGCACTGCCTACAAACAACGATTTAGACCTATCGTTCTTAATGGAGAGCCCGGCGGCCAAGCAACTACGAGTTGGCGCTGCCGTTGGATCAAATACCAAACATACACCGCTTACCACCAATACAACTTTTATACTATCTCAACTCCCTGCCCTGCAAGCGTTACTGAAGCAGCTCCGGCCTAAGCTGGCTACTCTGCCTAAATCGGCGGACGCCACGGGAGCAGATTCTAAACGTGACGAGAGAAAGGAATACATTGAGAGCAGAATCCGCTTACATCTCGAACGAACTGGCCAGCTTGGGGTGGGCAGTGATGGCAATCCTGTTGTCGCCGGACGAAAGATCGATATTTCCGAAGCGCAGGCGCTCGAGGCGGTCACAGGAATGCTTACGCAAGGTGACAGAATGTCAGAATAAGAATGACGATGGATGGAAATGGATGGCAAAGTCATGCGCCATTGGCTATTGTGGTAGCAATCTATTTCTGGTATATGGTCAATATGGGCTTAGGAAGACCAGGACACGCTCCATGTCTGCTGGTCCCGTCTGAATGGGACCACGTCCACTTTGTCCGACTGCAAAAGGTTTACGATCTTTTCGTCTTTCTTCTCGAGGGTAATGAACTCCTTCTGTTCCTCACCAATGCCATAGAATTGGCGGCCGAACTTGCTCATGAAGCCTTCAACCACCTCAGGGGTGATGTCTTCCTCCTTGAGGATACCCTTTTCACATGCCTGCTCGAAGGAGTCCAGCACGACCTGGGTTGTGTAGGGCTGAGTGAAGACGCCCGCCGCGATTTTGTCTCCACCCCTCTTGGAGGCTGCCGGGTGAGGGGCACTATCGGAGCCGAAGAAGAATTTGGGGTTGCCAGATGCTGCTGTCCGCAGGAGAGCGTCACGATCCGCGGGTGTTTTAGCCACAGGCTTGCAGAAACAGAACGGGTCTCCAGCCCAGTTGTCGATGATGATGGAAAGATGATGGGCGGTAATGCTTTTGATCCCTGGCCGTCAGCACATATCCATTGCAAAGTGTAACCGGGATACGAACGTTGCTGCCACAGTAGGGCCACACTTCTTAACGGCTTCTACAGCAGCTGCAGTAGTGCAGTGCTCCAGAATAATGCGAAGCTTCGGGAAACGCTCGTGCAGTTGCAACAAAGTGGGAAGGAAGCGCTCCTCCGCCGACAAGACAGTTACATCGCCAGTGGAAGGGACCTCTCCGTGAAGGTTCAGAACCATATCCTGACGCTCCATCTCTGCAAAGACCGGGTAAAATTGGGTATAATCTACCACGCCAGAGGACGAGTTGGTGGTAACGCCTGCTGGGTAGCTCTTGACACCGGTGACACCGCGCTTCTTGGCTTCGATGATGGTTTCCGGGGTCACGGACTCGTGGAGGTACAGCGACATGAGGAAGTTCACATTGGGTTCAATGGCTTGCAGGCGCTTCTTGTAGTCGAGTGCGCGGTCGACGGTTGTCACTGGCGGTACCAAGTTGGGCTAAATTTGTCGTTCCAGTCCCATGAGTAACGAATGTATTAGACCGAGGTCCATTGGAATCAATCAACTCCTTACCATGACGAAAACCGTGTTCACACCACCTTGTCTGATCGTAGGCGTAACCAGCTCCATCATGTCACCATCGCGAAGGTGTACTGCGCACCGCACCTCGGTCAATTACTGTCTCATAGCCGTGGAGTACATTGGGGTAAACGCACCGTGGAAGTCGGCCGACGCGGGGAGCTTCACTCCCTGTAGCTTGGAGAGAGGCATAGTGAGAGACGTATGAGAGAGTTGTTCTAGAAGTAAAGACACAATGCTCAGTCAGAAATAGCCAGCGAAGGATGGGGAGAAGGAAATCGCGTACCAGGTCTCAATTACCTTGCAGTAGATGTTTCTGTAGATTGATTTATGTTCCTTTTCCTTTTCCCCGCCATGATTTTTTTTCGATCGCGGGGCAGCCTTTTGCTTTGATTTAATTGGGTGGGGCTCGCAAACTTACTGCCGACCGACCGATAAATTGGACTGAATAACAACCAACTACCCTACGATAGTTTCGAACCATCACCATGACATATCAGGGGTTACTCTTTGGATGATCCTCCACAACCGACCATGTCCAGGTCCTAGAAGAGTGTGGAAGAACTTCTTGATGGGGGACTGTTTCCCGATGATCAGATAGATCTACGCTTCGTCGGTCTCCACGGATTCTTCATGTATGAGCCGCGGATTTCACCGATATGAAGTAGGCTACGTTTTCTAGCTTGGGTTGAACTTATCAGAGCGTTCTGGTCTGGAATCGTCTGGACAATCGAGCCGGGCACAATGCAAATGTTACATACCTTGGCTAGAGCTTGGTTTCGTCGAATATAGGCGGCCCCCCACCCCACCCTCAATCGGCGCACAGGGGGGGGGGGGGGAGGCAAATCTAGGGTCATCAGGGATCTAGTTTGTCAAATGGAGTACCGCTAGCACTGCCAAGTCACACCCTTTAAGCGGCGGCGTTACGAATGAATTTGACAACTCATACAAAGATTTCCGTAGGACGAAGAGGCTGGTGGCCGACCGATTGGCCGGTGAGTATGGGAACACAATAGGCCCAGTGATCACCTTGACGTAGAGCTGGATCATAGCGATCCTGAGGGTGGGAGCCATGACAGAGGGCAACAGGACTAGAACGTCGGTGATGGGATCAAACCCTGAAAGACGAGATAGAGGGCGGTTTATGTGACAATAAGCTGGCTCATCTACTACATCTTGCGGAACATCAGCCGAGGCAGAACGTTGACTCAGGCAGAGATAAGGATGAGGCTTCCAACGGTCTTGTTAAGAACGAGCTTATGGGGCGGATTCACTTATAGGTTCGTCTCGCCGCGACCACGTCTCACATCAGCCTTAGGCGCCGTTATTGGTTAGAGGACGTGATAACAAAGAATCCTGGCATTAAGTCATCTCATATAACTGATTCCTTGGAAGTTGGAGGGTTTCCTCATGTCGTGGACTAGACGCTCAGTCCAATCATGGCGTCGCATTCAAGCAATGCTGACGAGAGACGAAGCTGACAAATTCGAATAGGTTTCGTGCCGAGGCTCTAAATCTATGGCTTTTCAATAGTCTGTGATAGCTCCTGGTATTCCCTTTGTTGCTATGATTTCGGTACCTTGCTATAATGGACATCAATTTGCTTTCAACATGCTTCCCCACCAGCGTATACATATACTCCTTCATCTCTGCTCATCACACCGGTCCTCTGATGCTTGAACTCCCTATGTCTTTGTATAAGCCAGAACGTCAATGGAAGGTACGCGATGGTTGCCACCGATAAGCCTACCATAGCACCTCAAGAGACGGCTATCGTACCTCCGGCGAGTTCGCCAGCTGCCTCTCCCCCAAACGGTGGCATTGCAGCATGGCTGGGTGTGTTTGCTGGCTTTCTTTTGTTTTTCACTACCTGGGGCTTTTCGACGGCCTACGGCGCTTTCCAACACTTTTACCGGACAGATCTCTTAAGAGATAGCTCACCGTCACAGCTATCGTGGATTGGCACAGTCAATGCCTTCTTTCTAATTTCCACGGGTGTTATTGCCGGCCCACTGTTCGACCGGGGTTTCCTAATCCATCTCATGGTTGCCGGATGCTTCTTGACTACGCTTGGCCTTATGATGTTAAGCCTTTCTCAAAAATACTACCAAGTACTTTTATCCCAGGGTTTCTGCTGTGGAATCGGTAGTGGGCTCATCTATGTGCCTGCCCTATCCCTAGTGCTAACCAGCTTCACGTCCCGCAGGGGGATTGCCCTCGGCATGGTGACCTGTGGTGCCAGTATTGGTATTGATCGATAACCCGATAGCTTACTGCAACACCTGTTCATGACTAACAAACATCAGGCGGGGTTCTATTTCCCATAATCTTCATACGCCTGCAGCCTCGCATCGGCTTCCCCTGGACGGCTCGAGTCATGGGATTCATTCAGCTAGGGTGTTCATGTATTGCAGTTCCTCTACTGATGGCGACCACTAAGCCAAGACGCAGTTCCCCACGCCAATTAATCCATTGGGATGCGCTCAAGGAGTGGAGCTTCAATGCCTATGGAGTCGCTAATTTCTTCATGTTTATGGCCTATTTTGTGCCACTGTTCTATGTGCCTTTCTTTGCCACGCAGGTACTTGAGACTTCGACAGATATGAGCTTCTATCTCGTGTCAATCTTGAATGCTGGTTCTGCCGTGGGCCGTTTAGGGTCGGCGTTGTTGACGCAACGGTTAGGCGCTGGTATGATCTTGAGTGCAAGTGTTACCGCATCGGCGGCTTTGATTTTCGGTTGGATTGGCGTCAGAACGCAAGCCTCCTTCATCGTATTTTGTGTATTATTTGGCATCTCCTCTGGAGTTCTGATATCAGCAAATCCTTTGGTGATCGCGCACCCCGTTGTCTCGCCCTCTCCAGCTATGATTGGGACCCGTATGGGTATGTTGTGGTTCACAGCGAGCCTGGGAGTGCTGATTGGAGCACCTATTGCGGGCGTCATTGAGGGCCATGGTGGAGGTAATGGGTATCTTGGGCTGCAGCTGTTCAGCGGTGCCATCATGACCGGCGGGGGATTCTTCTTGATGGTGCCTCTACTGGCAGCCTGGCGATACGATCGTCATCAGAAAGAGCTAGAATAGTGCATCCGCTGAGAAATAGGACAGCCCTGGAGTGAGCTTGGCTGTAAACGCACACACTTCTGGGTACTATTTCATTGTTCAATATCAGATCAGAAGAAACATTTAAAAAAAAAAAATAGTTTACGGCGCATATTATCCCCTGGCCTTTTTTACCGGATCGGAGATGTCAGACACTCCCCTTTCTTAGGATTATAATTGTAAAAATGGGATATTATTTAGGGTGGACGCAAGTATCAGTCCTTCGCCAGCCGATTTCTTGAGTTATAACTCTCACCTTGCGATCACCACGTCTAACAGGAGAATGGGACATTGTCTGTTCCCAGCTTCTTGAGCTTGCATACCAAATCCGATTAAGGTAGAAAACGTATGGCGGTGAGGTTGAGATGAAGAGTGGCAGTGCTTTTTTTTTTTGCTTGGGTCAGTGACTCTTGCAAACCAGGATGAAAGTACATGTAATTAAATTGTCAGTGATGGTGGTTTACATATGCTCGGAATTCTTTGTTTTAATCTATTCACTTTCTGTATTACTACTGACAGCTACCAGCTTTCAGTCTTATAGATATGGTTTTACTTTGAACCTTGCTTACTGATGAGTCCTAGAAAGCCAGCCTCGCAAGATTAGGGCGCTTAATCGCCCATAAGAATCATGAATTTTCCTTCCAAAGTCGACCCCGTCACATACCGACTGTCTCATTGTCGAATCTCTCACCATGCATGATGCGGTTCGTCCAAGCAAAAAGGTCTTTCGAAAGCGTTCTACATAAGAGCTGGAATACCTGGTCTTCCTTTCGAGATGCATCTAACGAGAGATGTTCACTCCCAACTCATTGCGCGCTGATTTGCGAAATATCCTTGGACAAACTCCAGGCTTCCTTGCAGCTAATGCATCTCCCGATGAATTACATTCCTTCAATTGTGTTGAGGAAGGCGAAGGACCCGGCCCATATGATCTTTTTGCGAAGGGGAAGTCAACCTGGAAAACATCGCACGACACAAAACCAAGAACAATTCCAAAACAGCTTCTATTAGCCACTCAAATCCCGGCGGAGATCGAGTTTTCTGTCAATGCACCGTTTGAAACCTGGCCAAAGATAGAGGGCATAGATTATGAAACCGAGAGCAATCACATCGCTGCCTTATGTCTCGCGTAGGCTTACATTTTATCTGCTAGGTGTGAACTAGTCAAAAAATAGATGGAGACACTTGACTACAAATATAACTAATCTGTTCCAAGGCTATTATCTTCTGCGATAAATAGTTATCTGCTGAAGATGCCAGGTTTTCAGGGTAGTGCGAAAGTTGAATATAAGTCTACCACTATTCCATACATCGAATAGTGGGGAAGCGTCTACGAGTCTTTGCATGAGGGGTGACACGATGAAACGATTCACTGCGACTTCAACCATGGGAACTGCTATATCTAAACTTTATCATAGTATCCCCAGGCTAAGATGGTCTTTTGACCTTTCATATAACAACCCCTCGTAGACTGTTTCGCTCCCGGATAATTTCGATCTGGCCGAATCATACAGTCCAAGGCCAATGACTGTGCCGATTGTGATATGCTGTAGCCGCCTATTATACACTACAAAACCAGGTGGCGTCTTTCAGGAGCGTATCATAGGGCGAGGATGATCAATCATCGTGAAGTCAATGCATCGTGAACGCCTCCCCAGAATAGCCGCTGATTGGTCGGTCCGAGTGCATCTTCTTCCCATTAAGCGCCCTGCTCAGTCTAGAGCGAGATCGCATTGACCTATGTTTATTTGACCCTTGGCTCAAGGGTGGTCGTGCAGAATTCTGCAGAAGTTAATTTGTGCATGAGCGGTTAATCGGAGTCCTTGACTGGTGCGATAAATCTATATTAGGGTATCTCGGTATTTGTTAGACTGGGAAAGAATCCACCGATGGATGGTCGGACCAGAAGAACTGCGCTTAGAAGGCCTCGAGCTGTAATTTTTAAACGCTCCATGTTTCTCCAGGGTTACAAACTCCTTCGTTAACCCTAATTTTTTTTGTTTATTTTCCCAGCCTTTGTGCTCGTCGTTCGCTTTATATTCCAGCTAGGAGTCCCCCCTTTCTTAGTCTTCTTCTGTCTTTATACGTAGGGATTGCAGGCAATTCTCCTCACCTAATTAATTTAAAGAATTTGCAATATTGTTCTCGATTCTTGTTCATATCAACCCCCGTGCGTTCTTCAGATTGTACTTGATATGGATACCGGCTCCACCAGTTCCGTCTCCTACCATGTGTCGTGCGCCTCAGATGCAGACGAGTCGAAATACCTTAAAAGGGTTCAATACCTTCGTTGGGTCCGACTTGCTCTCGGGATCATCATCTTTGGCGTCGCTGTCTCTATCATAGGATGTGAAGCAGTCCCCTTCCAGCATTATCGAGCGACATCAGCATACGGCAAGGTCGGGTTATATCTCTGGCCCTTGAACTTCGACATCCGTCCGACAGTCGCATCGCTGTCCTGTGGTTGCATAATTGCATTTCTGAATTTGACATACACTGCTATCGCCCTTCTCCCTTCTGTGAGTCTTACCATCCTCTATCTCATGCTGGTGATGCCACAAATTATCGCAACCAAACTCATCTTACTAACCATCCCAGCCTCACGCACATATCAGACGCCAAAACCTCGTTTCCACAGCCATCGCCGTCTCCGGATTCCTCACTGCATTAGTGGGACTCATATTCGCCATCCATCTCCCGAACTCAAACCCTCCAAACGGGTTCTCGAAAGTAGAAACCCTCCACTCATGGACCTGCAAATGGAAAACGGTGCACGGCCCACTGTCATCGAAGGTAGATGACACCGTCACTCCGCCGCCTGCTCATTTTGCGCGTGACTGTGCTCTCACTCGGGCGTCTTTTATTCTGACAGGGCTGGCTGTCGGGTTGGCGATTCTGATGGGGGTTGCGGCTGGTGTTGGGGTTTGGTTTGAGAGAAGTGTGTCTCGGCAACGAGAACAGGATACTTCTCCGCTGAAGAAGGTGACTATTATGGCCAAGTATCCGAGTATTTGATGCTTTTGGGTTGGGATTAGGGGTTGGGATGGGTTTGAGGCCTATGTGGGAGTTGGCACATATTGCTGGATTCATTGTTGTGCTGGGGGGGGGGGGGGGGGGGATTCCTTAGGGTTTTGGGTTACTTTGGTTGTCTCTGGTTAGGCATGTGTACGTACAGTAATTTTTCAAAATTGGAAGTATTTCTTCTGATGGTAGGAACTTTAAAGATATCCTATGCTTGGTATGTAATCACCCGGGAATCGATATCCTGTAGTAGACTATAGAAGTGCTCATGTGTATAAGTTGTTTCAATTGCTCTCGATTGCTTTGGTATACATACAACATTATCATTCACCCCTCCCCCTTGTGAATTTTATAGTAACTGTTATATGATCTCTTGAGAACAAGCTACACAACCCAACCCAACCCCTATAAGACCCAAATACCAAAACCTTAAAACACCAACCTCCTAAATCCTAGCCCTCAACCTCAAATCATCAAAAGGCAAACCCAAAAACTCCCACATAAAATGCCACCGATCACTCCCAAAGAACGGCTCCCCTTTTCCTTCCCCATTCACCACCCAAAACCACGGGCACCCGAACGCCCCCAACTCCTTCACGACTCTCTCCGTCGTCGCCGCCAATTCGGCCTTGACCTCAGGCGACCCTGCAGCGGTAATGACCTTCTCTACTTCCTCGGCGCTGAATACATTCCCAAGAGCAGTAGCCAGATTCTCGGGCTTGGAAATGTCCAGTTGGCCCTTCCACATTGTTTCAAAGCAGTGCTTGAAGGCAGCTGAGAGGGTTGATTTGGGATGGTGGGTTTTGATGTAGGTCAGGGCTCTTTGGGGCTGGATTATTGGATTTGATTTTGGGGTTAGTTTTTGTTTTGGTGAGAGTTTTTGTTGGCTGACTAGGTTCGGGGTTTTTTAGGGTATGGATAGATAGGTCTCAAAATGTCATCTATTGATGAGAAAGAAAGAAAGAAAGAAAGAAAGAAAAGACAAACATACCAAAAGTGACAAGATAGGCCACCAGGAGGGAATTTCGAAGTTGTGGCCAAAATATTTCTGGGCTCGTTTGCCGTCGTAGCTTGAGTATGCGGCTTTGGCGGGGAGGGTCCAGGGGGGTTTATTTCCTTTTTTTTTTTTCAAGACATTTTCTTTAGAAGTCATTCTTACAGGAAAGAAGAAGGATGCACATGAGCGAAAGAGAGCTCGTATGTGTATGTGTATGTGTATGAAAGAAGACAACTCGTACCACTGCCTACATTGATCCCTCCTAGAAAGACGGGGATATACCTATGATGGAAATTAGTTAGAACCCGGCTAGGGAGGTAATATAAGAGTAGTACTGTAACATACTCAATCTCAACACCTAGACTCTCGAGAGTAGTAGCATTCTTCTGTAGATAGGTGAAGGCGTAGAAGCTGTATGGGGACACTTTTTTCACATGACTGCTATCAACGATTGATTCGGATTCAGTGGTGGTTGTTTGGGATGATGACCTACCGCAGTCGAGGTAGCAATCAATTTTCTTGCCCATTTCTGCTCTTTCTTTTGTCGTTTTTATGTTTTGGGTGATTTTATTTTATTTTATTTTTTTCTTTAGATTTGAGTACTACTTATGAGGTTGCGGTTTTTAAGGTGGTGTTGATCGGTGGGGATGCCGAGGATGTTCGTGTTCGTTTGGCCGACGTCGGGTCGGCTTTGGGATAGCGGGTGATGCTGTCTTGGGAACAGTCACGTTTATCTATATTCATTGGATGTTATTTTTATGGGGATGTAGAAGACGGGCAGGGTCTGTAGATTAATTTGTGGGGTATGTCAATAATGGTCATGAATTTTCGGTATAGGTCGAGACTGGTCAAACTGGTCGTCCGGAGTTGGCATTGATCTTGAGAAATCTGATGTTTGGAACCTCGATCTTTGGTGGCAGATTCGGCCGTTATTTAAGGATGACATCCGAACCGAGAGACCATACTCCCCGATAGCCGGAGCCATAGAAGAGCTTCACATGGCTGGAGTAGCTGTAGCACATTTGCTTGGAAGCAGACCAGTTGCAAACCGGGCATACGGTGTCAGATTCCTGCTTAGACGTCGCCATGGCACCAGCCATCGCGTAGGATAAGGATTCAGTCGAAATTGAAAGGAAGAAAGGAAGAACAGGGATGAAACAAGTGCATTAAGAGCATTATTATGTTGACCGCCAGTCTTATCTTTGAACAGGCCCTGGTCATATTTTCAGTTGATGTGCGACTGCGGTTGTGAAACCACAGAAACGGTTCAGCCTAACCACTATCTAGCCCCAGTTATATAGTTCCCATGATCAGTCTCATGGCTAGGTTATTCGTGTTAAGGGCTATTGTTTGAGTGTGAACAGAAGGCATTTGTAAGATAAGAGTAGATGGAAGATTGTATAATCATCTGGATGGATAAAGATAACGTAAATGACAGTCTATCTATATCTTCGCTCGCAGCTTCGTACTGTCCATCCTCACCCCCTCGTCATCCTGTTCGGCCACTTCCAGCACTGGCAGCTCCTTTGGCATGATGCGTCGTGGATTAGAACCCGGGATCACTGAATACTTCGAGAAATCTGAGACTCCGCAGTATTGGCGCAGGAAGTCTTCGTCTAGCGCCAGCATTCCGTTCACGGTCGCTGTAGGCGTATTTAGAATGCCGATGACAGCGTCGGAGAACACAGTCTACATTGGCTGGTTAACTATGTGATTTTATAATGCAGTAGATGAACTTACTGGCTTCCTAAGGTCGGCTTTACGAGAAGGATCTTTCGACGTAGTCACTTCCGTCGCAGCTGATTCGGTGCTCTGCATATATAAGTCATTCTCAGCAAGAAACACTTTTCACTAGGTAAGTGACGTACCGTAGCTGGCCAAAGACTCGTAATCGCCATATCTTTATGGCCCTGTCTCACAAAGTCCATCGCAAGACCTCGGGTAAGAACACTCATCGCAACTTTGCCTGCGGAGAGTCAGCATTGCATAGTCCCCCACTACAACTAAATATCAAAAGGACGCAACAAACCCATAGCATAAGCCGTCTTCCCTCTAAAGAATCTTGAATAGATAGGCGGTGACACAACAATGATACGTCCCTTCCACCCATTCCTCTCAAATTCAGGCAGCGCCGCCTGCACACTAGCATACAATCCCTCAGGGTTAACCCGCTGCATAAGCTGAAACCGCTTCGTAGGCGTATTTGCGACAGACGACCACCAGATCGCCCCAGAGTTGTAGACGAGGACGTCCAATCTTCCCGCAAGACGCACGGTTTCTTTCACCATGCTCTCAACTTGGGAGACATCGCGGACATCGACCTGGATCGCGAAGGCTTTGCCGCCAGCTTCTTTAATCTCGCGCTCAACAGTGGCGATGGTCGATTTGTTGGAGTTGGGGTCTGGTGGAAACGGGACTGTTTCATAAGCGTTGGATGTGGTTTTAGCTGCCACGACGACTGGGTAATTTCATTAGTGGTCGTCTTTATCGATTAATTACCGTGAAATGTTGTAGAGGTACATACCTGTGTAGTCGTTCTTTGCTAAGTCAATGGCGATTTGGCGGCCCAGGCCCCGCGAGGCGCCGACGACTAGGGCAACTGGGTTAGGTGATGTCATTGCTGGAGCTTATCAATGTCGGGGATTTGTGATAGGAAATTGTAGATTCCTCTCGAAAGCCGCGCGTAAAGGGGGCTATTTCCTGTTTATATACAATCATGGAAGCAATTTAAAGTATCTAACCCCGGATTTGACCTCCTCACTTTTATCCTCGGGATGTGGGCTGTTTGGTTTTCTCATTCGTATCTCTGACCGAATTGTTGGAAGCCGACCCGAGCTCGGCTCGGCCTATACAGCAACATTAATAATCTCCACCGTGAGGACTATATATGATATTCTCACATATTCACTGCGCCAGGTTTGATCTCCCTAGTTTTAAAGCGTCGCATTCTGGTGGTACTACAGCTGTAACCTCGCTTATCCTCTCCCTACTGCAATGACCGGTATTTAGGGCTATGAACCATCTAGGGCAGCGCAGGAGATCTTGAGAACGTTTACGGTCTCCCAATTGAATGGGGTGCTCCGCCATTATTTACTGGCCTGTCTTGTACGCTTGTCCTCGATATTTGTTTTCGCCTCATTGTTCGAAGAGAATAGGAGATGCAAGTCCATATGTACTCCTTTCCGACGACCCAGAACACGTCGTTTTAAGTTGCAAGGGCGGAAACGACGGCGTGGGTATTCAATGTTTCTTTGGACACACATTGTCTATCAGGCTGACCTTCACTGGCAATATTCCGTCGCACCTCAAGCATGGCCGTGGAAGCTTCATGCAGCGGATCCTTAGTGATGTGTGACAGCTCATGCCTGGACTTGTTGCGCCCAGAGCCCAAGTCGAACGCAACGGTTTGTTTGATACGCACCAATACATCACCAAACACGGCCACTAAAGCTGGTCTTTGCTCATTCCGTATGGGTAGATGCAGTACCCAAAATGATTTGAGTTCTAATAACCCCTATCAGATAGTCAAGTACCATTGTCTGTCCCCTGAGAGTTCCCAATTCGGATAATCTCTCGAAGATTTCGCAACACTGCAGTAGGTTCGCAGCTTTGTAGCGCATTTTCGAGATCACCTGGCGAGTTATCATCAACGCTACCGGGAGTAGAACTAGAGACAGACCCAAATGGCATATCTCCGACCTCATGGGATGCGATACCTGACCCCTGAGACCGAAGCAGCGCAGTTTGTCGCCTCTGAGTTTCTCGCGCCAGGATCTGAAATACAACCCTGCTCTGTGGAAGAATCACCTGTTGTAGTTTTGGCCGTTTGAAAGATGTTGGTCTCCGAGGTGCTTCGGGGTCGTCTTTGTCCCCAAGTGCACGTTTGTGACATTCCTCCACAGCAACTGACAGTAGTCTGTTGAATTGTTCTGGAGTTGTCATTGTTTGGAAGAATTCCAGGAATAACGTTGCAATGGGCCATGTCTTGGCCAATGCCTCCAACAGTTCGAGATTGGATTCAAGTTTTAGCCTGATACCGTGTAGGAGAGATGGTAGTGAAGCATCCATTTGATGCTTCAAGGTAACGAAGGATGTTACGGCGTAGCAGATTCTGCACACTTGTTAGGAAAATACAATAAGATACAAGTATGCATGGATAGCATACATGAATGTAGGGGAGTATTGAAGCTCATTGTGCGAAAGAAGAGTCTCCATAATTGAGACAATGGTCGACGCAGCGTGGAAAGCCGAGCTCTGAGATTCTTTGGAGGAAAAAGGGGCCTGCAGTAAATGCAACTGGCATACGATTGTGCTGAAGACTGTTAGCACACCACAAGATTTCTACGTAATAGAAAAACTTACTAGAACGTGGAAAATAATATCGCTGACAGAAACGTGTGGCGCGTCTGTCTCCAATGTAGGTCTGAAGGACAAGCTACGAGCCATTCATTTAACCCAAGTTCGCACTGCGCAGCTCCAGCACTTCGAGCATCTTGAGTAGATCTTGCAGAGAGGTTCAAACACAAACCCAGATCCATAAGCTGGCAGAGTTTGACATACTCCATAAAGAACCTAGCCTGAACTTCAGTTGTTGGCTCAGATAGTGCATCTTCATCTTGCTCGACAAAGTCACTCTCTGCTAGTGGCTCTACCGTGCAGTCGCTTGGATTAATATGCAACGGTCGGCCAAACGCCGCGGCTACAGAGCGGTCTCGGGTATACAATGTCCACCATATCCGCTTGCGGAGGCCTCGTTGTGATGGCTGGAGGCCCGTGTATCTTTCACTTATTCCACTTAGTTAGGATCAGGAATCACTGACTGGAGATTTTACCTCTCATGTAGTCCGATCTCCTGTGCCAAAGCAATACCTAGCCGGCTCCAGTAGAATATCCCGCTTTCAGTAAGATCTTTGATCAGTCAACACTACTGATAAACGAATCAAGTCGGCCGTGAAGGCATACCGTCAGGACCTTCCCAGTAAGCACCTAGCAAGACTACAGCTTGAATCACAGTTATCAAGTTGGTTTCATAGCCAGCGTCATACAATGCTTTGGCTTTCTTATAGAATGTGCGCGGCGATACGGTATACTCTTTTGAGCTCTGCTGGCTGGTAGAATATCGGGATGCAACCATAAGCACTGCTTGTAACAGTAGAGTCGACGGCGGGTCTTCCGCACTGTTATACTGCCTCATGAAAGCATGGCGATCGATCACGGGCAGTATTGGTGCTACCCATTTGAAGAATACGTCCACAAGCGTATCCTGGACTTCTTTAGGCGGGAGGCCAAAAGCATCTCGACGGTGTAGAATCTCGAGTTCAAGCGGCTCCAGATGACTGGGATGACATATTGAGTGATAGTGTGCCATAGAGAGAATTATTACTAGTAAAAATTAGTCGAAGGAAATTGAGTGGCGCCAAAGTGAAGTGTATACACTATTGTGTCTGGTCTGCTGATCGACGTTCATATCAGACACCCTCGGCTCAATTCTGATTGGCTGGAATGGACTGTATGGTCCAGTCTACATTTCATGTCACACCGCCCTGGCAGAATTTCTTCTATTCTCGCGCTTCTGCATGAGTGTCGTCTTTCTTAAACTTTGCGACTCATTCTAATTCAGTTGAGAGAAACATCTTTCAGGCTATAGAATCATGTCGGCCAATCCAGCTACAGTACCAGATCTCGATCTGGAGGACGAGCAGTATGACTCTGCCGATGACGAAGACTTCCAGGTAGAAGCGGCCCAAGAAGACGACGACCTCACTGGTTCCGATAGCGACGACGAGCCCATCGAGCCCGCAACCAAAAAGCGCAAGGCGGGAAACAAGGCACTGAAACAGGAAGATAATAATCTCGACTCGGGCGACGAAGCGACGATTCAAAAGGCTAAGTCGAAAAAAGCCAAAAAGCAGAAAGGAAAGGACGAAGACGGGGACGATGAGGATGATGTTGGTGTTGATTTTGACGACGAGGAGGGTGGTCCTGGCGGCTTCGTTCGGACACGCGCCATGAAGATGCGAACGTGCGTCCCTATATCTCTTCTGCTCGTTGTTGCGTCCGATTAGTACTGACTTCGCTATTGTATAGCCAGGAAGAGCGGAAACCTCTCGCGAAGATCGATGGAGCAACTGTCGATGTCGATGCGCTGTGGGAGAAGATGAATGCCCCTGATACAACTTTGGGACCGAATCCTGAGCAGACTGAGCAGAAAAACGATCCTTCGGTCGAAGAAAACAAAGACACGGAGATGCGTGATGGCGAAAGCCCCGTCACTGAAGAAAAGCGACAAGCTAGTCAATACTCAGAGGAAATGGTGAAGATCAAACGTACCTATAAATTCGCGGGCGAATGGATTACGGAAGAGAAGGTCGTCCCTAAAGATTCAGCGGAGGCCAAGCTTTATATGGCCAACGAAAAGGATGTCGAAACAGTAACCGCCACCGAGAACGCCGCAGTTTCTAAAGAAACTATCAAAATCCGCAGGCCCCTTCGGAAGGTCTCCCGCTTCGACCCAAACCCTACTGGATCCATCAAGAAAAGCTGGGACAAGCAGCCTATCGCAGAAACAACACAAGAGAACGCTCGTGGCCCCAAGATCAACACCGTCGAGAAGTCGCGCTTGGATTGGGCTGCGTACGTCGATCAAGCCGGCATCAAGGACGAGCTCAAAACTCACAGCAAGGCAAAGGAAGGTTTCCTTGGTCGTATGGACTTCTTGGATCGTGTTGGTGCCAAGCAAGAGGAAGAGAGGAGAAACATGCGCTTGAAGGGGTTGTAAAGGACTTGCTTAACCTCTTTTTTTTTTTTGTTTTCGCTTCGACGCGTGCAGATTGGTACAGCTTGGAACAGCTTTGCTGTATCCAACACATATATTCCGATCTGTTTACTGGCCCATTGAACCTGCGTTGCCCTCTCGAGCTTCGAACGAAGATCAGTATACATGAGAATGCTCCGCGGAATTGGATGACGAAAACCTAACACCCTCGGTGCTCATGTTGGTGATGAGCTTGCTGACTATCAGCTCGAAGGGCATCCGTACGTGTGTCGTCTGCTACTGTTGAACGGTAGTAGTTAACTCAGACTAGTAAAGACACACGTATTGCACATGCCACCCCCCTACAATTATAGGGACGTCCGATCGTTCCGGACAGCCATCGTTTGGTCGAAATGATACAACATCAAGAAATGGCTGTATCATGCTGATAGCCTCAATGTCTTCGCATCGCTTCAAGTACGATTCTCATTTGTACGGCGCGAGGGCACCCACACTGTAACTAAATTACTACAAGGACACTGTGACATGTACACATAGCTCCACACTTCATCGAAACCTCCTAATATTATGTACATACATCATTGCACAACTTAACGCACCAATAGACATACAGTACTCGTAGAACATACAGCTTCCATCCTCATCGCCCTTTATACTAAACATCCTCAGTTGAAGCGAACAGACTGGTTAGCCTTGTCGCTACGGAACTTCCAAGCTGGCGCAGTGGAGTTCTCGCTCTTCTTGGGCAAGTACTTAATACCAGAGGAGGAACATCCAGAAGACGTAACTGGCATCGGGTTAGCTCACTTGACAATATACAATAAGGCATGGACTGGAAGCACTTACGAGTGTCAATTGCCTGGTACTCGCCGGTAATCGCATTGCCCTTGATGTTATAGAAATACCAAATTTCATTCAGCGCACCGTCATCGCAGCCGATGTAGGGCTTCTTGCCGTCATGGATCGCAGCAAGAGCGGATTCGATCTCACTCTTTTTGTAGGTCTTGGAGGAATCGGGGACGATGCCGGCTTTGGCGAGAGCCTAAGTTTGTTAGGCGTGGTTTCTCAGGAGCGAGGGGAAGGAATAGACAAGAAATATTAAGAGGAGTATAGAGAAAGGGAATGGAAGAAGGAAAAAGACATGACAAACCTTGTAGCTATCCAGACCCTTGAAAAGGTCTACAGTCTTCTCCAAATAATCACCCACTTCCTTCTGCGGGGTGTAATCCTTGTAGCAGCTCGGTTCAATCGTATTGATGCAGGTACCTTTTCGTTACACAAAGTTAGCAATCCACGAGCCTTGTAGTGGCGCTTACAGGCCTGTAGTGTAACTGATGCTTACCGTGCTTGTTCCACTCGTGCTCCCAGAATTCTTCATCATCGCCCTCATAGCTGGGCCAGTATTTCTTCATGTAGGACAGAAGTTCGGTCCGGCCCTGCTCCTGAAGAATGGCGGTGATGTTCGAGAACTCGCGCGACTTGTCGCAGAATTGCTCATAGCTACCATCGCAATTATCAGGCCTAGACATTGTCAGTTTTATCTACCTTGAATGAGTGTTTCCACACTTACCAGAGTCCGTGAATGGTCCATGAATCGGAAGGACCAGTTGGGGGATCTGTGTCCCAGAATTGTGTCTGCAGAAGGGCGCCTCCTGGGGAATTGAAGCAGCAAGAGTCAGCTACTGCGGTCGCGTTCTGACAGCTGAAGGGAGTATCCTTCGGGCAGGACGGGAACTCGAACACTGCGCCCGCAGCCAATTGCATGGCACTAAGGGCAAACATGCCCATGGAGGGGAGAGATGGTGTAGAAGGCATCGTCAAGGAAAATAAACTGATAGAAGCCCTAGCGGGTGAGAATGAAGTGAGATGGTAATGGGAGAGGCTGGCATTGCGCCTATTTATTTATTTAGCAGGAGCCCCATGTGGTCTACTCCGTCCAAAGACCAAGAAAACAAGCGTGTTTATTGACTAGCAAGGAATCACTTCGCTTCGACTGTTGATAGCGGCACATGCCATGATAAGAGGCTTCTGATTTGAGGGGAGATAGAATCGACCGGCCGATGGGGAAAAGCAATGAGGATCGGACAAGACCGTCAAGACCCGCTAATCTCCTGATTCCGTTAGCCACCAAGTGTCGACCTCCGAGAGCTTGCAGCCAATTGCAGAACGTCTCGGTGGTCTAGAGTAACAACCCAGATGTTCCGTCGGGGCGCCTTCGGTCCAAAGCAAAACACTGGACAGAAAAATCAGGGCAATGTCGATCGCGGGCGACTGCTTGAGCACCATGTATCAGAACGTTGCATCGGCAAACTGCACCAGTCGTATCTCCATTCTGCTTCGCCAGAGTTTGTGAGCATTATCTTCCTGGACATCTCTTTTAATTAAACTGTCGGGTCCACGTGTCTGTCCAATTGATGTGAAGGGCTGAATAAAACGTCGGCCCGCTCTTTAGCTTCAGTCGAAAAGCGAGCTAAAACGGAACAGCGGGGGGGACAAAAGACTAAGGAATAGTTTCATAAGAATGTAATTAATTTCATTGGGGGTGATTTGTGCGACGATGCGCCCGTAAGGCACAGATGGTCATAAGACTACCAAGACAACAACAAGTGATGCAGAACCCGGCAATCACAATAGCAAAGGTCTGTGTTCTTCGCGCTGGCACGAAATGCCTTGGGCGATTGTTTTAACAAAAGACTTAGCGCAACAATACTAAAAGCGAAGGCCAGAGAGATCAACTGCTCTCGCCGGGACCAGTTTCGTCATGCCTTGACATATGTTCCACTGTACATGCAAATGCGTCACCGAAGCAGTAATCATCGAACATCATGATAGTAGGAAGGCAGTGATGAGCTACCAGTTGGTCAGTCCTTCGGTCGCTATGGAACCAACGAGGGGGGAGCAACACTTCTAACGGCTGGAGCTTCACCCGGAAATCAACATTTCTATATCACAATCAGCAGAGACAAAACATGATATTCAATTCGAAATGCGACATTTTCAGTAACATCCGAGTCCCAGATTTCCGTCTGAGAATCTGGGAATTTTGATGAGCATCGACACTGGTTTCAGCATAGAGTAATCAAGTCACAGAGAGGAACGATCACTGTGTGCACTTTGCGGTCTCACGATGATTGCATAAGCGAAAGGGGGATTCTAGTAATAATGTCGCAAGCGCCTGCGATCAAGAAGTCATCAGCAGATCCTTTAATGAGAAATGTTTAACAAAGAAATATGATAAGGACAGGTCGAAGAAGTTGGGGCGAGAGACCGAACGCCCGAGATAAAGCGATGTCGCGTGAGCTTGCTCCTGGCCTGACAGCCTGAGGCTGGCTGCCTATCAAAATACCCAGCGTGCCCAAAAACACATTAAGAAATGCCAACCTATAATTTTTCCCACTTCAACATCAGCGATGTACTGGCAATCATGCCTCGTCCGCGGATAACCGCAAGAGCTTGGATGTGTGGATTCATTGAGTCATAACACAGTCCGATACCGGAAAACTGGGTTGAGGTACTCCGTATAACTATCGAGGATGATACATGTCACAAAATTGTGAGATCTACAACCAGGAAGTTGGGGCCCCTGAGATGAAGAATATCGGCTACCCATTCCACCAGTGACGATACGGCACTTCTTGGAGTCCAAATTAACACCCGCGATTGGCCGGCGTTCCGAGATCTCAATTCAGAATATCAAACTGCAATGGCAAGCAACAATCCACCATTTCGCATTATCCCGGCGCATAGCGCAAAACATATAGAAGCAGCCAAAGCACTTTTTATGTCGTACGCCGAATGGCTAGGCCTCGACCTTACCTTCCAAGGATTCGCCTCCGAGCTGCAGTCCCTCCCTGGTCAATATGCGGCACCCCATGGCGAATTATTACTAGCCTATAGTACCGAAGAGGGGATTCCTATCGGATGCGTCGCTGTCCGGCCTCTCAAGCAGATGTCGGGCGAAAATCAAGGAGACGTTCAAAGCCATAGAGGATACTGTGAGATGAAGAGACTGTATGTCTCTCCCGAAGCACAGGGAACGGGACTGGGGAAAGCCTTGGTGAATTCTATCATTGAGAGGGCGAAGGATCTCGGATATAAGGAGATGAGGCTCGACACCCTTCCCTCGATGATGAGCGCCATAAAGTTGTATAAGAGGGTGGGATTTTTGGAAATAGCTCCTTATTATGAGACTCCCTTGGAGGGGACGCTCTTTCTCGGTTTGGATCTTACGCAGAAAACATAGACAGGAACTAGAACATCAGTCTCAAATGCTTGCCTAGAGATTATTAAGACCCGTAGATGCGCTCAGACACTAACTAAAGACTATGAATTAGCAATACTTCCAAGTCGTACTCAAATTAGGGATCTAAGAATTTCTCATCTTAAATGTCGTCCCTTGGAAAGAGTACATAATGTATCACACAACTAGTTGTATTGACGAAATTTTGAGCCAACACAGACAATATACAGAGCAGTCATGCCTTCAGACTCAGACCGTTGAGCTTTAACTTTTGAGAATAGGAGCATTCATTGTACGTAGACTCCTGCAGAATACCAAATAGTTGTTATCATAGTATCTTCGTATGTATACAAGAACAGCGTAGTGACTGTCGATTCGAGCTTCAAGCAGACAATCAGCATGGTCATAGTCAATCTTTCTTTGATCAAGTACATCGTGAGTGCGAGACTTCGTACAATCGTAGAGCTATATAGCTATTCGATTGACGGCGTTAACGAGCATCAAGATATAGAAGTCAGTATTCGTGACTAATATGTAGGTCAAATGTAAGCAATCGAGTTGACTTGTACTTGGTGTAGAGACTATTAAGGGCGCATACATAAATAGGGAGTCATGACTGAGGTATTATGTTCATACCGTGATCATAGACTCCGTATGCCGTTCCTCTACGGAGCGGAAGAATATGATCGTAAGAGGGCACCAAGGATCAGATAGGGGACAAGTCTCCAACATGTGTCCTCAACGGGGTAACACCCGCACTATTCCATCTGCGAACCAACAATCTCACCGAACCTGCGAAGTCAAAGAGGTCACATTGACAACTTCGAAACCTGCACAATCTCTCTCAAAATGTAACCAAATCGCACAGATCTTGTGTGAGGGTAAGGCGAATAACCATACTGAAGAAGAGGATCACCCCTTCATGCATATGATATCATATAATCAGGCCTAGTAGCAAACCAGGTTTCTGCAGGCGTAGTGTAACCATCTCACCGGTATCCCAGCACCTGGCTATTATTTGCTCATCGAACAAGGAGTCAGAAAATGATCTTTGCAGCAGGTCAAGTAAGGACAGGATAAGGAAAACCATTGATTCTATTCTAGCAGGATTCCGGTGCAGATGGGGCGGGGGCGACGGCTGAGTCGGTGAGGGAAATTACTTGGATTGAAATCACACTCACCTGACCTTGGATGCAGGGTTTTGCCCAACGGCTCACTCGAATCGCGCCGGCGGTAAGCCGTTGTAGTGCAGGTTAGCATTACTACTACTACTACTACTACTACTACTACTACTACTACTACTACTATAGGTTGGCGGTATGGTTCATGCAAGGCTGCACCCGCTGCCCATGCTCAGCCATTCTTTTTCTTTGGGGTCGGGATTGGACTTAAAAGCCTCCGCCGCATGATAAAACTATCATCCGACATCCATGACTTCGGAATTGTAAGACTGGGCTAAGAGAGCCAAGAGGTAGTATCCGAATGCCGCGTATTGTGACGGTGCTTAAGTGAACTCTGATTGCGAGTATTGGACGCATGCCATGAAGCTGAATATGTTGTGCAACTATCATAGGACTCAGTCAGGTTAACAATACAGGAGGTTGGCCAATCAATGGAGGCATCAACCAAAGGTGCATCTAGAATGCTACCATGACATGGGGTTGGGATGGACCAACGTCGGTTCCTTGGAACCAAGGAAGTTCGATAGGAATAGGTACCTAGTCGAGTGATGGTTACATTCCACACTCAGTATAGAATGTCCGTGCAGTGGTATATCTTAGTCGATGGTGGTACAAGCTGGAGAAGCAGGAAGTCTCCACTGGGTGATTAAACTGCCTTTTCAGTTTGGACTAGATGTACATCCTCCTGGATCACTACCAACGGTGGTAGGTGGAAACTTTTTCCTCGGGTCCACCGAGTAAATAATTCGTCCAATTTGCACGAGTCATGGAATGTAGCACAAATGTCAGACAAATTACGACCTAAGACCAACCTGAGGTACCTCGTACTTCGCCATCGGTGGCCAGAAGTGTCCAGACCCAAGTATCAGGTTCATCTCAACATATTCGCCAAGCTCGCCAGGGACTAGTTTGGCCCCGCTTCCTCGCAGATCAACCCGCCGGTGATACTATAGATGATGTGCTACCCACCCTGACCTTGGTATGGATAGGCACTAATTTGTGGAACAAACTAAATAGACGCACTCCGAAAGGTGAGACAAAATTGTGAATAAAGAAAGAAAACTGGGAAAAAAGCGTGTCTATCGACACATAGTACAATTCTGGGTGGGGTTAGGTCGGTTAATAAAAGAACAAAATATCACAAAGAGAACATAATTAAAGCAGGTAATCGTAAGCGTGCATCCGCTATCATCCGGACGATATACGAGACTCCAGTTATGTGGTAGGTACGAGGGGTGGGCAAGTACTAAGTTGTGAAAAGATGGTACGCGCTGGAAGGCCGACGTAAATCATAATAGACTTGTAAGCTTCACCCGTTTTCTATTTGGAAATGAGGTATGTACGGTACGTACTTCTTCCCCAGTGCCATACTGCCGATGATACGCGCCAAGAAAAACGTACAGGAGGGAAATAACTAAGTAACTATATATATAAGGATAAATTAAAAAGGAGGCAGAAAATAGGCAAGATAAAAAATAAATAAAAAGAAAAGAAAAAGAAAAAGAAAAAGAAAATTGGTATATACTATGGAAAAGATCGACCTCTAGTCGTGTACCTCCAGACAGATCATCAATGACTGAACAGGCCAGACGCGTTGGCGGAAAAGAAACTGGACAAGACCATCGATCATACGCTATGGCATGTGGGGAGTATTGTGCATTAAGCTCAAGAGAAATCCTGGTTTCTGGAATCCTTAGTTAAATGCCATAATTCCGACGTTGGCAAATATTAGCCACCCAGCGGCGGTTAGTACGTAGTACTTAGTCAGTTCAGCCAGCGAAGTCTGTTCCATGACTGTCAATACCCGGGGGTGGGTGGGTTAGAATGACGATCCTTGCCCGCTTGTCCAATGTCGAGGTTCTTTGTGAAGCGTTGTCAACAAATTTCCTGGGTTTCATGGTTCTGCCAATAGGGACAATGCCATTGGTTTGGAATGTGGGCTAGTGGAAATAGCAACCATCAGTGGGGCCGGATCGGCAGCGGTTGGACCTAGCCTATGCATGTATGGACTACCCGACCTACGTTAGTACCACTGGTTATAGTCATACATACTGTACATTACTATGTACATACATACGTGACGTTGGGCACATCCCTCCTGGTACGCACTAGTGTGGTCGGACCAGATCGGATCACTCAGCCCCATGTCGATATCCGTTGTAGGTCCAATACACTCGAACCCTATTTTTTTTAACTGCGAATACCACTGGGCGCGAGACGGGGAGCTAGAGAACCCCCTCCCCCATTACCCCCACGACAAGATGGAGAGAGCCTGGGGTACTTGCGGAGTTCCTCCCATAACGTCCTACGTATGGAGTCCTCTCTATCACTCGGTTCCATCCATAAAGCGATCGACACTCAATTAACTTTGTATCGATGATAGCACGCTAAGCCACAAGTGAGTCGCAAAAGCTGATGCATCAGAAAGCCGAGAGGGGCCACAATACGAGACCAAGAGCCACTGAAAGGAAGTCATAATCAAGTTTTTTATTTCTTTTTCTGGATTTCAATTCATGTTTAGTCTCTAGTAATAGATTATTTCATGTAGTATTCCGCAGACAATGGACCAATCAGATCAATAAACTGGACATGGCCACACCTCAGCATACAGTAACCCCTTTTTTGTTGGTTCCTCCCAATGATATCGTATTATTCGGATTTAGATTGAAAGCCTCTCCAAGAACAAAGGAAATAAAGAAAAAAGAGGAAAAGAAATAATGATAATAATGAAAAGACAAAGGAAATATGCAACGTTCAACTAAAAAGGGTAAAATGTAAAAAGAAACACATGGAAGATAGAATCACGTCAATCGCATATAATCAGAGCTGTTTTACAGAAACGCCGTGAAGCGCCGACCGAGGCCTCCGATGCCCCATGCGTCAGTAGCCATCTAAAGACAAAAGAGAATTAGGGTGTCAAAGGGTATCATATAGGGATCCACCCGTAATGTCCTGTCGTACTGAGAAATTTAATCGTCTAACACGTCAACACTGTATTCACGGGTATCGGGCATAGGATCGTCTAGCGTTGAGCCGCGAATTGGGCGTCCATCCGGTGTAAGTTGTCCCCGGAAGTCCGGGTCGTAGTCTGGGCTGCTCTCATCAAGCGTGGCGACGTATCGGTTGCGTCCACCCCGCTTGCTATGTGTTTTCGTATAGTGGGCATTCAGGTTGTCACTGCGAGAGAAGGCACGCTCGCAGCCAGGCACCCAGCAGACGTGGGGCTTCTCTTTTGAGTGGCTCTTCATATGTCTCTTCAGATGCTCTTGTCTCTTGAAGCGACCTTTGCAGCCTGGCTCCTTGCACTTGAACTGGACCTGTTTAATTATAGATGGGAGGTTCTCCAAAGACATGCTTTGTCGAGAGGACTGCTTCCTGATCATCTTTCTTGAAGGCTGACGTTGGAGACGGTTGAGGCCGTCACGGAATGGCGGGGACTGCTGGAAGTCCTCCAGGTAGTCTCCCGCACCACCGGACAAGCGGCTGATGGGAGTGTCAGGGCCAGATGCGGTGCCAATGGAGCAGGAACGAAGTGGCGTTGTAGGGCTGTGTGTCTTGAAAGTCTGGATAGACGTAGGGAACTCAGAGTAAGAGGGTGGTGGGGTTACCGGGCCGACTTGAGATGGGGCAATGGTTTGAGGCGCAATTGATTCGGTAGCCTGAGGGATCCATGGCATCATGTTTCCCATAGACATGGATGGGGGCACCCTCTCCGCATGGTGGAAAATAGATCGCGATAAGCAAGGATTAGTGGTGGCCTCTGGCAGATACGCGGCATGAGGCCGATAGTTACTGCGAACCATGGGAGGACATTGAGGCAGGGTGTGGGGGTATGGGAGGCTGTGTGTTCCGGTCTCATAGGTTTTCGGCGCATCCGATGGGAGCCAAAAGTGCTCCACGTTATCATCATAAGCTGACAGAAAATCGGGCATATGCATGCGTTCCTGTGCTTCCATGCCACCGTATGACATGGCCATATTCTCATTGGAAGTCATCCCCGCCAGGCGGAAAGCACTTCGCATCGGCGTGGTTCCAGTATGCCGCTCGTAGGCATGTCCTGGGTACGACCCAGCGTCTTGCCACCCGGGTGAGGCCAATGAGCCTTGGCTATAGATGCTGGTTGGGGTTGGCGTAGGGGAATCCATGGGCGAGAAGCTGGAAGTCATCGAGGGACACTCGTTGGAACCCAATGAGTGGCAGTCAACTTCAACAGTGAGATTGTTCTGAGCTCTCATATCTTCACTGTGTTGGGGTTCACAGTCTCTCCTTTGTATATCGATGTTTGTGCCTGTTCAAGCACCGTTTAGTATGGATAGGGTTGATTGATATGTCGAACAGTATCAAGAAAATGAATGTAACACGGTATGTATGTTATGACACAAGATTACAGTAGAGCGAATGTGCAGTCAGGTGGTACAATGAGGGAAGGTAAGACCAAGCAGGACAAGAGACAGAGAGAGATAGACAGTATGTGTGTTGGTCTAACAATGAAGGACGATGTTGCCGAAGACACTTAGGAGAGAGAATGAAGGAAAGTCGGCATGGGATTAGAGAGAGTGTAAGGAAGGATGAAAGAGAGAAGGATGAATGTGAGGTTGAGGTTGGGGAATGGAGGAGGGCAGACGAGGTGAAATAAACAAATCGCTCGGGCATATAAACCGGAAGAGAAGAAGGACCGATCGCACTTACAAGTCGAGGCCATTACTATTCTCGGAGGAGAGAGGGCAAATAGAGACAAGAGTCAAAAAAAGAGTTCGAGGCGCGTCGCGTGCCTGAGAGACCGAAGCAAGGCCAGGAATGTAGACTATAGAGTTCCTCGAGTAACCGGGAAACAAATGGTTGA